TTCTACCAACCGACGACCACTCTCCCAAGTCAGAAGGCAACTGGGCGAGTTTTGACAAGGGAGTAGGTGGACTGTAAGGTCAGCCGAGCCTTTGGCATCCTACCTTCATCGTTCCGATACGGGCCAGCCAAAATATCGCACCGTCTAGTCTGATTTGACCCGAATTACTTTCCACTGCCTCCTCGACGCGGCGACGACGCATACCCGAAACAATCCGTTGTTCGACTTTGTAACTTCCCCAAGCGCCAATCGCGTCGTTATTATCGGAGACAACTCTTAAGCTATCCGTCCTTTCTTCTTCTTTTTTTTTTTCTTCTCTTTGAATTCTCTCGTTTACCTGGCTTTGTTCAGCCAAGTTTCTTCGATTTGCGGTTATGGACCCTCAGAGATCGTCCCAAAAAGTGTCGTTGGCCGGCGTCCTTAACCCGGATGATAACCGTGACTCGGCCTACTTTTCCAGCACGGATGCGTCTAGCAAGCGTACGCCGTGGCCCATAGAATCCCGCCTCCGAGTAGAGGAACGACACTAACAAGCCCCTTTCCCAGACAATTCGACGGCTTCCGGCGTGGCAGTAAGCGCTCTCAGCCCTAACGGCTCAGGTTACCACTCTTCCCCGAACGACAAGACGCCTTCGCCTGTTACTGCGACCTCCGCCCTTCAGCCACTCGTGTCGCCAACACAGAGTAATATGAGTGTTGCCTCCATGGTGTCCCCTACCACTCCTGGAGGCAGTGCCCACCGTCGACCTGACCGCCCTACCTCGCTTGAGTCAATAGGAGGGTTCGATTCCGCCATCGTTCGCCGAGAGAGCCTGGATAGCAGAATGAACCAGGGATTTAGTGATATGCGATTGAGCAACTCGCCTTACGCCAGCCATAACCAATCCACATCGTCCATCCAGAACACGCTGAACCAGCAACGCAACCCGCGTCCCGGCCTGGACAGCGTCGCCGTTCACCGCATCTCGAACGGGTATCAGCCGAACGCTGAACGAGACCCCCATTCCAAGCACGCCAAAACGGCACCTACCATCACAGGCCCCACGACTAGCCAGATTGCTCGGGCGGCCGAACCTACAAAGGGTCAGGCATGGGCTTTCCCCGACGGGGACGAAGTGGCGAGGATAGGGACCGGTACTTCTTACCTGGATTCTAGAAGGAGCAGCATCACCGAGTCCATCGCAAGCAGCCAGTTCACGACCGAATCCAGACTACCAGCAGGGCAGAGGCGCCTCGAGGACAACACAGACTACAACCGCCTGCAAGGTGGCTCGGACTTTCCCCCTGTTCATCACCATACCTTTCAGCACAGGCAAATAGGCGATCTCCGGGACGAGGATGCATCGTCGCGTACCGGGTCGCAGCCCTATAGCAGGACCCCCGAGCTGAGAAAGAGCCACAAGCTAGCGGAGCGGAAGAGGAGGACAGAAATGAAGGAGTTGTTCGACCAACTACGCGACCTCATGCCCCAAGAACGAGGCGCCAAGGCGTCCAAGTGGGAAATTTTGACTAAAGGTAAATTTGTTGTCCTCCTTGCTTTGTCTTGAAGCCTCTATGCTCCTGCGTTTCCACCATTCCCCTACCGTCTATACGTCGAGCAACCCAGCGGCAGATGCTAATATAAGGGTACAGCCATATCTGAACATCAACGCATGGCCGATGCCCTCCGCGTGATGCAAACCCAAAATGCGACACTAGCACAAGACATCGAGTCGCTGCGCAGGGAGAACCATGCATTGGTTCTACAACTCCGGACCGGCAGCCAGCACCCACCCCCCACGGGACCCCCTCCCCCGCCCCCACCTGGCACATATTCGTCGGACCCCTATGCGCACCGGCAGGAACTGCCACCACTGCGTGCCTTGAATAGCGGCCCGCCCGTTGGCCCCGAGTCCATGACCGGAGTGCAATACGAGGCGCCTAGGGGAAGCGGCTACAGGCCATCAGAGAGGTACTAGTAGCCACCCACATGTACCACTTCTATTACCGGGTCATTTTGATATTCTGTGAGGCCGACACCCCCATAACAACGGGGTTCAAAGCTTTGCAGCCGCCTATTTTCAACGACATCATGTTCCCTAACGGGGACATGTTCATTCATTTTTGTTTTTCCTGAGATGTTTGTTGACGGAACGGGGGTTGCTTACTGGTCGAACTGGAAAGAAGTAGCCGAACTTAGCACCGAAACAAGGGGCGGAGCTTTGCTCGGTACTCGCAACAACAACAGGGGACCAAAAGTTCGGTCGGCATTTTTGGTTCCTTTTGTCTATATTACTGGAGACGGCCGGACCATTTTGACCCAGGACATTGTATTTCTTGGTGTTCTGTGTTTGGGGCGGGCGGGGGTTCATTGCTGGTGAGAGGAGACAGGGGTGAGAGACAGAGAGAGAGGCTCTGCCTAAGTGGCTGAGGGATGGCGTATATACCCATTTTGGTGGATTCTAGAGAGCTCCTTGAAGGACCAGGCTGTTGCTCTGGCGGGCCATGAGACGGAAAAACTAAGCAATGTTTTGTGCAGGGCTTCAGAAGCGTTTTCAGATACGGATATCTGTCCGCTTACAGCTACGAGGAGCTGCGGGCCATGGGGTCAATGGAAACCGGTCCTGGAACCGGCCTGTATTGTTGTGGCTCTGCTATGCTATGCCAAGCGTCTAGGCCTGCAAGACAATACACTTGCAAGCTGTATTCTGTACCTTGCTTCAACAATTGGCAATACAGCTGTAGCACGGATAATTGCTTTTCATGTGAAGATCACGTCTCCCTCTTCAACTTGCCTTTTCGTTTCTGTCAGATGCCCACAGCCACCTTATCGAGGTGTGACAAACCATATTATGTTAGACGTGTGGAGTACCTTAATCTATACTTATTTCCCGTAGTTTTTGGTAATAGTTAGATATCCCCGTAAAGTGCCGCGAACTTCACTTAGATAAATATATATATGATTTTCCGTGCCTTATTTATATTCTAATAGTTAACGTATAGCAGTGAGGAATCTTGGTCAATGGCCTAACGGCTGAACTGGCAACTTGAGTAGTTTTCCGCTAGCTTATAAGCGTTGTCGAACGGGGGCCTTAATCAATTTACCCTTCAATTTTCCCCTTAATTTTGATCTGATTTGAACGGTTCCGGTTACACTAGGTACATATAACAGCTGTCGGCACCTGAAAGGTACCTTGTAAGGTAGGCAGCGGAACTTCATGCATATAGCCGAATCCATTGTTTTTTCCTTCCTTATTTCCAAATGCCTGAGACGTACAGCGTACGTACCGAACCTACCTAGCTAGGATCTTCGTAATTGCTTCAAAATCTCTGTCGACTGCCGAAGTTTTCCAGCCCTCCCGACCCTATCAACTCGTCCCCATTCAGGAGAACTCAACCCTCTGTGAAGAATCAAAAGATGTATGTCATCGTGAAGCCGATTCAAGCTAGGGCACATGCGATTTGTGAATTTCTCCTGACAAAGCACATTGGAACAGGTCCTCTTTTCGCAACGTAGCAATCCGGGCCGTGGCCTGGGCCAACGTCGCGACCTCGCGAGCTGCGTCCATTGCTCCCCGCTCTGCCTACGCGCAGAATGCCGTTCGACCTTTTTCCGTGATGGCGCCCCGGGCGCTCGCGCGGACACTTATGCTCCGGGATGAACCCAAGCAGGAGACGGACGACGCCGCAGCAGCCACGAGAGCGGGAACGTCGCAACAAGCGGAGGAAGCCAGACACGAGGTTCCTCGCTCGCTCTGGGTCCAGAACATGGTGTATGGGCTTGCCGACGAGGAGATCACCGAGGCCTTCTCCAAGTATGGCGAGGTCAGCAGAGTGTTCCGGACCGACGACAAGTCGTAAGCAAACCCAAGACTCTCACCCTCTTTCAACTTGCTATCGCTTTCATAGCGTTTAACCCGCAGCTGACATGTTTCCCTCTTCCCTAGGAACTGGGCTTTTGTTATTTTCAAGGACGTCGAAAGCGTCAGGATCGCAGCCGAGAACGTTGACGGCACATTCTGGCACGGCAGACGGCTCCGGGCAATGCCCAGGCGGGCACGGACACCGGGCCTCCGGCGGGAGCAGAACGATGTCCCGATGAATGATACATTGTTCATCAGCGGACTCCCATACGACATGAAGGACGAGGAGCTGAACGACTTATTTTCCGACATGGAGGGCGTCAAGAACGTGCGCATCGCGGTAGACAAGGCCACTGGCTGGCCCCTCGGTTACGCCCACGCGTGGTTCAGTTCGGTGGAGACGGCTCAGAAGGCATTTGACAAGCTGCAGGGCACCCAGATTCGGGGGAGCAATCTCCGGGTCTCGCCGTCGAGGGGCAGAAAAGAGAAGAAGCAGCAACGAGAGCAGCAGCAGCAAGAAGAGCAGCAGCAGCAGCAGCAGCAGCAGCAGCAGCAGGATGGCAACAATGCCTAGGGCGGGTTATCCGATCTTCTCTTGTGCGTGGAGAGGTATGGGATGAGTCGAGAAATCTTCAACTCCTCTCTTTGTTGTGTCGCGATATAAAATGGATGGCTGCGAGGAGCTGAGAAGACTGGAAAGCTCCAAGCAAGACCATGGACTGTACACTATGTATGTATCAAGTTGACTGCATAATAATAAGTATGGGTTGTCTTGGAGGGACAACTTAGCATATTGTCACAACACATTATTACTACCTATTTACGAATTGCTGAAGCCACCGTTGGTAGAACTGACTATCTGTAGGTAGGGGGGGAAACGGTTGCCATCAAGCGCAGATGGAAAACCAGCAGTGAAGGACGTTGGGACCCACTAACCCCAGACGGGTGTGAAGTATCGGTACCGGTACCTTGAACATGAGAGTTACGAGATTTTTCGCTAAGGTAAGGGGTAGGCACCTGATATAGTGCTGTATAAGCTAGGCTGTGTACTGTACCTATCATACTTGGTACCGATTCGGCGAAAGGGCGTATAGTTTACCCCGTCCCCAGATCATCGGGCCGGTGAGCCTCGGTATATCCACCTCGTGCCTGTCAGGTGGTGACCTCAGTGCGGAGGTTTTATTATTAACCTTAGAAATCAACCGCCAACGCAACTCCCCAAAGACATCACTCTTTTGCCATCTCCAGCTATCACTTGGGCGACTTTACCGCTACCTTTGTTTTTATTGTATTTTATTCTATGTACCATTTGGCGATATTTCTACTCCAGCGCCTTATGCCGACAACCTTTACGACCCGTCTCTGAATTTAATTTTTACTCGAGTGGCTTCATTCTACCCCGCCAAAACCCGTCTCCCCCCTTTTCTCCCTCATCGCCCTCCCCCCCGCGCCCTCTCGCTCTTCTACTCAACTACCCTCCCCCTCCCTACGAGCTTGACCATGTCATTCCTCGGCGGCGCAGAGTGCTCTACTTCAGGGAATCCCCTTAGTCAGTTCCAGAAACACGTCCAGGATGACAATCAGTTACAGAGGGACAGGCTGGCCCAGAGAGGTCCGACTGCGCTCTCCGGCACCTTTAGAAATGCCACGGCGAACGCACCACAAGATGAGGTGAGTTTGTTACGAGCTAATGTCCCTACCCGACCATCTACCGTATCTCTTTTCCATTGGGACCCCGTTTCTTCCATACTGACACAAGGTCGCAGAGGATGAACAGTTTCCTCAACCAGCCCCCTAACCTGCAACAAGACATCCCGATGGCCAACGCTGCCGTGCATCTAGACCCCGCACACGCCGCTCACATGCGCGCTGCCTCAGCATCACCAACATGGGCCAACGAATATCAGAACCAGGCTGCCATGGAGTCAGCCTTCAACGCCCCCCCAGGCACCCACTTCAGCCCCGAGGACTTTGCCCGGTTCCAGCAGATGAACCAACAGCAGCAGCCTGCTTCGGCTAGGGCAAGCCCCATGCCAGGAGTTGTTCATGGTTCCCTCTCCAGCCCCCTCAACGCGCCCCAGTCGTCGTCTTCGTCCATGAACTACCAATTTGCCCCGAGCCCTCACATGATGATGAGTCCGCAGCTCTTCCAGCCCATGATGTCCCACCAAGCGCCCCTCCAGCAGCAACAGCAGTTCCAAGATATCAAGGGCAAGGGGAAACTGGTAGAACTCGACGAGAATAAATGGGAGGAGCAATTTGCGCAGTTGGAGCTCCAGGACAAAGAAGATACGAAGCAGGCCAGGGCAGCAGAACCGGAGCTCGACGAGATGGACAGGGCGATTCAGTCGGAGACCAACGAGTTCGGCGACTTCGAGTCCATATGGAAAGGCATCCAGGCCGAGACCGAAGCCGCCCGGTCCATGGTGGATGACGACGTGTTCGACAAGTTCGACAACAACGACTGGGCGCCACCCGACTTTCAAGGGCTCAGCGGCGACTACTGGGGCAGCCGCCTGGGCGACCCCGTCATCGAGCCCTACCTCTTCGAGGAGGACAACATCTTCGGCGACGAGAAGAACGCATTTGACGAGGGCGTGCGCATCATGAAGGAAGGCGGCAACCTCTCACTAGCCGCGCTGGCCTTCGAGGCCGCCGTGCAGCAGGACCCGCAGCATGTCGACGCCTGGGTGTACCTCGGCCAGGCCCAGGCCCAGAACGAGAAGGAGACGGCCGCCCTCCGCGCCCTCGAGCAAGCCCTCAAGCTCGACCCGAACAACCAGTCGGCCCTCATGGCCCTCGCCGTCTCGTACACCAACGAGGGATACGACTCGACCGCCTACCGCACGCTCGAGCGCTGGCTCTCCGTGCGCTACCCGCAGATCGTCTCCCCGGAGGCCATCCACCCGCCGGCCGAGCTCGGCTTCACCGACCGCCAGGTCCTCCGGGAAAAGGTGACGGACCAGTTCATCCGCGCGGCCCAGCTCTCGCCCGACGGCGAGCACATGGACCCGGACGTGCAGGTGGGGCTGGGCGTCCTCTTCTACGGCGCCGAGGACTACGACAAGGCCGTCGACTGCTTCACCGCCGCGCTCAACTCGTCGGCCCAGGGCGACTCGACCCAGCGGGAGAAGCTCCACCTGCTTTGGAACCGCCTCGGCGCCACCCTGGCCAACTCGGGCAAGTCGGAGGAGGCCATCGCCGCCTACGAGAAGGCCCTATCCATCCACCCCAACTTTGTCCGCGCCCGCTACAACCTCGGCGTCAGCTGCATCAACATCGGCTGCCACAACGAGGCCGCCGCCCACTTCCTCGCCGCCCTCGACATGCACAAGGCCATCGAGCGGAGCGGCCGCTCCAAGGCGTACGAGATCCTCGGCGGCGGCGGCGGCGCGGGTTCCGCTTCCGCCGCTGGTGGCACCAACACCCACGAGCTTGACGAGAGGCTCGACCGCATGACGGCCCAGAACCGCAGCTCTACACTGTACGATACCCTTAGGAGGGTGTTCACACAGATGGGGAGGCGGGACTTGGCAGATAAGGTCATTCCTGGTGTGGATCCCTCTATCTTTAAGGGGGAGTTTGACTTTTGAGGAACATACATCTCGGGGGGGTTTTTTTTTCTTTCGATATGTATATGAGCATCATACAGAAGAAGCCCCTGGGTGGGAACACAAGAAATAAAACAAGACGGAAAGGTTGGTCTCCGTGCAAACAAGGTCTATCCGTTGAAAGTCCCATGGTATTGTGGTGACTTTCGTGTCATGATGGATGAACAAACAGTCGTCCCCATAAGCAAACGGTTCCAAAACGTACAAGCCCATGCATGTCGTCTCGTCCCATGCCTCGGGGATGGCTGATATCCGCTTTGTTCCGTGGTTGAACAGCAACTGTACCCATACCTATGCCGAAATTCCCCTTATCATGCCCTACATTGACCGGATCGTGTGGCATATATGCCAGCTGCCGCTCGTTTGTCACATGAATCCGGTGTCGCTGATGATGACCGAAGAAGAAACCAATACGCCCTGCCTTCTAGAGCCCCCCTCCCCCCCCTCTTTTTTGTAGTCTAACAGTGTGAGCAAAGATTTTACTCCTTTCTGAACCACAGTCCTGGCCAGTATGCGACAAGTCCCTTTCTCAGCCTTTTATGTCATGCCAAGCGAACCGCCTGCATGTGACATCGCGGTTCATTTAAATAGATTCCTATTCCCGCCACAGGGGATGAATTATATCGGTGGTCTTCATTTCACTGATACGAAACCGATGCCTTCTCGTGCCCGCCGGACCGCCCGGCGCAGAGCCTGGTCTTCCGCATCGGTCCACTTGACGCTGAGCTGGTCCCACTTGCGACCAGGGGTGTTGTATTCCCTTTTCCACTGGGCGTGCAAGGCTTGCAGCCGTGCCATCTCCCTCGGGTCCCCAGAGCCGGAGAAGACGATGAAAGCGGTGCATTTGGGAAGAGCCGCGTGGATGCGCTGCAGCCGGTCGGTGAGACGGGCAAGGCACTGCTCCAGGGACGAGCGGGGATCGGCGTCATTCTCATCGGCCAGTTGTGGTTGCTGGCGCTGGTGCTGCTGCTGCTGCTGGTGCTGGTGCTGCTGTAGCGCCGGGTCAGTGTCCCCGCCGTCGCCGTTGCGGGGATCCGTGTTGGATGGCGGGCCGCCGTCGCTGTTGGACTGGTCGGACCGGTTGGTATTCCACCAACCCTGATGGGCTTCAAGCTCTCGCATGCGCGCCCAGACGAAGTCAACGCCTCCGCCGCGGATCTCGCGGCCATCTGGATCGCCCTGGACGGCGCGGATCACGCCCTGGACGACATCTTCGTCGGACTTGCAACCGATCCGATGCGTAGCTCCGGCGCCGGGTCCCTTGGAAGGTTCGCCCCAGTCGATGGCCGCGGTGCTTTTGCCCGTGGCCAAGCCACCCAGAGCGCTCTCGCCGGCTTGGGCTTTATAGGAGGTGCCCGCTCGAGCGAGGCGGCGGAACAGGTTCTCCCCTTGCGCGTCTGATGTGCCCCAGAGCTTCCCCTTCTCGCATTTCTGCCGCACAAGGTCAAGGCAAGCGCGTGCGTCCTCGACGGGGTTGTGGCCCTGGGCGCCACCGCGCTGAATTTCGCGATGCAGGTATTTTTGCGTCAACCACTTGAGGGAGGACTTGAGCGGAGGGCCGCGCGGGTGCGGGTAGATCAGGCTCGTATCGACGATGAAGGGGTGCGACAGACGGAGGGCTTTGAGGTCGGACTCGAGGGAATGGCCAATGAGAATGGTGCGAGGGGTGATGAGGTCGAGAAGTCTGGCTTGGATATCTTGGAGAGTGATGGTGACGGGGGCCAGCATGGCTTCGGTGATGCCGGAGAAGTGGGTGACGTAGTTTGTGATGGGCTTTTCTGGCTTGACCAGCTCGTCCATGATGATCTCGCCCGACCACGCCAGGACGCTGATACGGGTGAGGGAGTATTCGTCTTCGCCGGTCATGCACATTTCGCAGTCCAGCGCCAGACAGTCACGACCTGCGGTCACGCTCCCCTGTTCGACCTCTTCTTCGGGCACCTGGGCGTCTTCGAGTGACTCGACGCGGGTGGCGACCCAGCCCTGGGGGGGTTGGAAGGCGGCGCGCCTGTCGGGATCCTGGATCAGAGCGGGATGGAGGAGATGGCCGTTCGACTCGAGCTCCTCCTCCGAGGCCAGGTATTCGGTTATGCGGGTGCGTTCGTTCTTCCAGCCGTGAGGTTCTTTTGCCGCCTTGACGCCTTTGGCCTTATCCTTGGGCAGCGGGGCGGTGAGGAAGGTGCCGAGGGGCGAGTGCAACTTCATATGCTTATCGTCTCCGGGGGCACGGACGGGCCAGAGGTGGGGGAACATGTCGACAAAGGGCTTGAGGACATCGGGCAGCCATTCCGACTTGAGCAGACGGGGGTAGAAATCGTCCGGAGACGTGATGGAGCGGTTCTCGTCCTTGGGGGGAGTCGAGTTGTAGGTGTCGAAGTTGACCTTTTCGGTGAACATGGCCTCCTCGAGGCCGGGGACCGTTACGACGACAATCTTTCGGAACTGCGGGCGATGCTGAACGGCCACCCATTGCGGCGCAGGACCGTCGGCGAAGATGTAGAGGATGAGGTCGCGTAGCTGGGCGATATTGATCTTGGAGTAGAGCTTCGCGGCGGAGAAAAATGATATGGCAGGGTAGGAATTCGAGCCGTCACGGGGAATCTTCTTAGCCTTCTTGCTGGCGCGTTCGACCTTCTGCCAACCGCCGCCGTCGTCTTCCTGCTCGTCGTGGGGTGCGGCTCGCTTGAGGGCGCCGCTGCTCTGGCTCGTAGAAGAAGAAACGTCTGGAGAACTGGCCCCGGGACCCGCGAGGTTTTCTTCCTGTCCGATCACGGCATCGTTCTTCTGTTCGTTCTGTTCGTTCTGTTCGGATTCGACGGCGACAGCCACTTGGAGCTGTCCAATGGTGTCGGCAAGGCCGCCGGGAGCGAGTGCGGCGGTTGCAGCTTCAGCTGCTGCAAAAGCTTCGGCTTCGAGCCTCGCACGTTTTTTTGCATTTTGTTTCTTCCCCATGATCACACGTAGATCATGTGGCACGGTTGATGTCGGTCGCAATGATCTAGGATTGTCTTTGAGGCAGAAGAGTAAGAACAGATGCTTCGCTCCGGGGGGAGTGATGGTTATAATGCTTGGGGAGGTATCTCGTGGAGGGGTTGTAGGGAAGAAAAAAAAGAAGCTTGGGACATTTCTTCGCAAGTATGGAGTACGTCGTGCAGAGGGACGTACTTCGTACCTTAGTACGGTATTAAAGATTCAGAGGTAGCATCGTGTTCCCATAATTTCAGAGTACAAAGCTCATGCAAAGTTCCTACGGCGGCATAACTACCTTAGCTAGTTTTAAGAAGTATTTTGCTAGGGGAGGTTCAGACAGAGACAGACTACTGTTTTGCTTTCAGAAGGTATATCTGGCGTACCTTACCTACCTACGTATATATGGCCATAATATGAAGAAAGGTACCTATGAAGGCACGGAGGTAGGTACGGAGGTAGGTACGAAGCATCGCGCCTGCCATCTCTGTGTTCTGGGGGTGTGGGTCTCTAGTCTGATGCTAGACCAATGGCAGGAAAGAATATTATGGGGAGCTCAATTTATCTCCAGACGCTTCACTCCTTCAACCTCTTTCACCCTCTTCAGTCTTACGGAATTTCATACAATCGACTCCAACCTCAACCAACCTTTGCTTTGTATACCTTTAGCCAGCAACTCCTTCGGTCCCATTGTTTCTCTCATTGGATTAGAACATTGCGTGGTTGGATTCATTTTCTTCATCTATTCGCTCTGTTTTCACTACTCTTCAACCAATACGCATACATATTCCAACATCCTGTATATCAACTTACCGAGCAAGACAACCCGTTTCTTCATAATACATCGGCATCTCAGACATACCAAGCTCCCGAAGGAACCTGCCTCAACTCCATGGAATTCGTCACAAACTGCTTAGTCTGCTCCCACCTCAACAATCTACCTCTTGCTACCTGGTAGACGCATGTCCGACGACAGCCTTCCCGACGTTTTCCTGGACGCCTCTTTCCATTCGTCATGGAGACCCTGCGCTGCCAATGCGTCTCCTGCAACTCGGACTTGGCCAGTTTTGTCAATCTTTGGGTACAGATTGGAAAAGGCTACTGTAGTCCCGTCATCGAGGCCGAGAACATCAAGTTGGATCCGAAAGGACCCCAACGCGGTGGTGAGAGCGGGACCCTTGTAGCAGATTGGTACAGTAGTCCCTTGATATGTCGGCTCTGGTACAGCATATCCATGTTGCTGAGGCGCTGCCGCTAACACGCCTTGCTCTTGCTCTCACGCCCTCAAAGTCTGCTTCAGGATCTCGTGTGCATCAAGTGCCAGAGCAATGTCGGACTTAAATGCGTGACCTCTCCAGTCAATCATGTGTTACATGAGTGAGTCTATGTCCTCATAAATCCTAGTCCGCACGTCCCACTGAGAAAGAGGGGGGGAAACCCACAAGCAATCAAATTCTTCTCCGCCGATCAGCTGTGACCTTGCGGGCCCCTAGAGCTCGCAAGGAATCCGAGTTGAACATCCAGAGGTCTCTCAAACTGAGGCAGCCTGTCACGTCCGAACCCCAGCAGGCTACCTCATCGGACGACCGCACCCCCGGGGATAGGCCGCGTGCCAGTGCCGCTGAGAATGGTGTACACTGTCAGGGGAGCTACGCTTCAGTCAGTGCAACGCCCCTCGGGCTGGAACGTCTTCAAGCCGATTTGGAGACCCAACGCGCCGACATTGATCGGATCGACACGGCGGCATACCAGGTGGTGTCATCGTTCGACAACTCCATGAGCCGCATCGACCGAGAGATGCAGATGCTCAACGACACCGTCAGAGACCTACGCCGGGACCTGGAGGCCAACAAGCATGAGCTGCGACCCCTGAAGGCTGGGCTGTCTGCCGTCGAGGCAAACGTCTCCGACAAGAGTGCCCTCGCCAAACTCGAGAGCCAGCTGGAGATGACCAACGCCGCCGTCTCGGCCATGCGGAAGTTGGCTACCAGCGCCAAGACGGCCACCCATCACCTGCAGGCCGACCTCCAAGGCTCGAATAGGGAGATGCGCACCTTGCAGACCGAGACGTCCTCTTTGCGTCAGGAACTGAACGCCGCCAAGAAAAATGCGAAAGATGCCCTGGCTGCATCCAAAGAGCAAGAGCGGCAGTTTTCCGTCCTTCAGTCGGAGCTCGGGCAGATGAGGGAGGCCATGGCCCAGGACCGCGCCAGGCGGCCCGAGCCGCCGAAATCCGATTATCCCACCAACGAACTCGAGATCATCACTGCCAACGTCTCCAAGATTGGCAGAGAAGCTGGACAGATCAGCAGCCTGCAGATGGAGTTTGACCTGTTCAAGTCACGAATGAGGAGGCTGGAAGGCCGCGTGAGCGTCTGTGAAGCGAAAGATGTGAATGAAACCCAAAGGGGAATGGACGTCGGCGATGGGCGGCAGCCCGCCGGGGCGGCAAACGCGGGTGATGATGATGATGATCATGCGCAATCTTGGTTCCCCCAGGAGGGTGCCCGCAAAAGACGAGCTGCCGGTGTGAGAGACCCCGGGACAACAGGTGCTGACATCGAAACCCCCCCAAAACAAAAACGGGTTGCGCATCCTCGAGATGACGTACGGCCCGACACCGCGAGTTCGCCCATCGACGTTCCCTTGCCCCACGCATCATCCGGCCGGAATAGAACCGTCTCCGCAGTGACTAGCAGTAGCAGTCGACAAGTCAACAGTCGGCGACAGACCATGGCTGGAGTCCAAGGAAGGAGCGCGGTAAAACGGAAGTCCCGAGGAGGGGACGATGCACTTGACGCCATATACACTCCTCCGGGCGATTGAAAAGTGCCATGACTTAAGACAGGCTGCCCCATCTCAATGAACACTTACACTAACCATCAGAAACCCGTACGCGTACGGCTTTACGTCCCTGTGCATCTGGGTACATCAGCCAATCATCCATCAACCGCTCTCATCACTCCACGCGCAGAGGTCCTTGTTCAACCCGAAATCAAGAGCCAACACCGCCTTCCCCAAGGCAGCCAGGGCACGAACTGGTTTGATCACGCCAAAGTCGAAAAAGTCCGCCATCTGCTTCTCAAACGGTCCCAGATTCCACGCCTTGATCAACCCGTTTTCCCTCTCGCGTCCCTCTAGGCTCTCGAGCTCCTCCAAGGTCTCCTTGGCTGTTCGGTACACCGCCCACTCTTCCGAGTGTCCGAGCGGCGTCCAGCGGATGATGAGGAGTAGCACCATCTGGCATAGCGATAACTGGTCCAGCTTCTCGAGCGTATCCAGATCCTCCTTGTCCAGGGGAACCACCCGACTCACGCGCCTCGCGAACCGGCCTAGTTCTCCCTCGTTGGGGGCCGTGTTGGTCAGAACGGTCGCGATGGCTATGCATCCCTTGAGTCTTTGGACGTGGAACGGTTCGACGAATCGAAACGGGTCGCTCTCGACCGCTGCTAGGCAAGCCGCCGCCAGGGCTGCCTCAAAGTTGCCCCGGTTGGCGTAGTACCCGACCGTCTCGGAGAGCAAGTTCGGCACCGGCCCGATGGCCCACTCATTAGACTCGGAGACGCCACTCTGCACGTACGCACGCTGTAGCTGGTGGCGTCTGTCTATGAGGGAGGCGGACTTCTTATTGGGAGGGAGGATGTCGTCGGCCGCTGGCTTTCGCTTTCGAGTGCCTTCCCTAGTGTCGCTGAGTGCACCGAGTGACTTGTCGAGGTCCGGCACGAGGCTGATGGCGTTTAGCGCAATGACGGATGCTGGGGCGCGCATAGCCACCTGGTAATTGTCGAGGTCTTCCTTGCAACGGAGGCATCTACACTCGAAGAAGTACAGATCCAAGTCCCGTTTTCGGCGGGCCAAGGGCTGCGTGCAGTCTGAATCCGCGGCATGTCAGTCAGTCAACCATATATATAGCAAAGGGGACCAGGGAGAGGAAACGTGAATGATGAAAGGGAAAGAAAAGAGAAGAAAGCCATGCAAGGCAAGCAGTGTGGCGTACCAATGTACGAGACTTCAACTTCCTCCCCCGGCTTGATATCCCTGAGAGCCCGGAGGAATGCCTTCCTCCCGCTGAAAGTAACAGTTGCATTAGGAATGCAAGAATGATTGACCATGGCCAACGTAGGGTCGAGGAAGATGCCATCGCTCTCAGACGAATCATCTGCCCTGCTAAACGCATTGGTCTGGATCTAAAGTTGAAGAAGAATGGAGAAAACACACCATAGTTAGCCAGAGTCTCATTGCACACTCCCGCTCTTCAGTCCCTTTTGAGGGGATAAAAACAAACCTTGCACATGATTTCCACAACCCTCCTCACGTCCGCCTCTGCCGTGCCAATGCCAGTCTCCTGCTTCACAAACGAAGGCACCACCCGCCCCGGCACCTCCATGTTCAGCCACGCCTCCCGCCGCGCCTCGAACTCACGGACGTTTCCCTCCAGCTCCGTCTCCACAGCCCCGTACAAGTCCGGACGAAGCAGCACCTGCATCGCGGCGCGACAAAAGGCAGGCAGCGGCGCGCCGTCAGGCAGAGTCGAAGGAGTGGTTGACGAACCTGACCCGCCCGACCGCCCGGAGCCAGAAGAGACGGCCGCGAGGGCCGACGCGCCCGCCCTTCGCAACGGCTTGCATTCCTTCCCGTGGATCAGCGCCCAGTGCGCCTTCTGACACGTCGCCCCGCAGTACGCTACTGAACGGCAGGCGGTGCACCGCTTCAGCGTCTTTCCCGCCGCCGTGAGGCAGTAGTTGCAGGTTGAGGTGCGGGAGGCCGTCGCCGGCAGCACGAGCGGGTTGGAGGAGGCTGAGCGTGTTGTTTTAGATGGGTGAGAAGCAGAATATGACGAGGGAAATTGGCCGATGAGAGCGCCGGGTGCGAAAGACCGCGTTGCGTGGACCGAGCGGCCTTTGGGAGAGCTTCTCGTTCCACGAATTTCGAAGCCCTGGCCGTCAGATGTCATTGCCTCTATCTGCATGTCTCTGAAGTAAGTAAGAGAAAATAATAAGTGGTTTATACATACGTATATATCAGAACAGGCTTTTGATTTTGATCTTTCAAACTTGGTTGTCGAATCGATCTGTTATCACTATCAATGAGACGACGTCAAAGTCGGGTGGGGCAGCTGATGGAGCTTTGTGAAATTGTTAGTACAACTGCGGTGAGACCAAGCGATTCGTTATCCTCAGATGTCGCTCGCCAAGAACGGGCAACGATATTTCGCATTACTGTACTACTTCCCGTCGCCCATCGCCCGCGGCCCACGCATCGATTTACCAAGGCAGAGGCGTATTTCTTCCTTCATCTCCTCTTCCTCTTCCTCCTCCTCCTCTGAGGAACAAACAATCAAGCACCGCCTAATGCACGGTAGCTTACGTTTTTGCAACCATTCGTCCGGCTGCAGGCTGCAGCTACATATCCATGATGTTGGGAATCTGGCCGCGGTCGACCAACAAGTTGTCGGACTCAACTGAGTGTTCCGGCTCGGGAACGTCGACGAGCTTGTCCGTCTTCGCAGAGTCAGCTGTTGCCTCATCGGAACGATCTTGTACTGGGGTCGGTTCCGTGCCGGTAGCACGAGCCGCACCATGAAAGGGCTTTACCCAGGTTTCGACAATGTCGGGGTAGCCGTGGCTACCTGGGTGGGTCTGTACCTGGATCTGCGATGTCTTGATTCTGTCAACATGACTATCAACAGGCCGGTTGACAGCAGGATTGACAGCACGATTGGCAGCCTGATCAAGGGCAGGTCGGGCAACTGGCGCAGAGCGGTGCAGCTGCATTCTGTCACTCCTATCCCTTACGTTGTCCCTCCAACGAGAGTGTGGGCCCGGGGTGTTGGTTCTGTTTCTACCACGGGAAGGGCCAGCTTTAGCTGCGTTGCAGTTTCTCTGGGATTCGACATTCGTAACCCACAATTGGATGGCGGCAGCAATATCGCCGGGCATATTCCTTCCGAAACCGATGCCGGGAGTCCGAGTCGTCCTGCTCCCGTTACTGGACCGAGAGCTCTTCGCCTGCAGTGCAGGATCAGTTAGCATTGGCTGTCTGGTAATCGGCATCGTGAGGTCGACGTACTGGCGCTTCAGAAATAAACTGAAAAAGGCATGTAGCCGAATTCAGGTCTGCTTGGGTCTTGGCACCAAAATAGATGGTGGTGCCGGCCATATTGCAGGAAATGAGGGCCTTGGTGATTTTCTCCATCATCTCACATCCCTGCTGAGCATTGTCGTAGCCGCAGTTCGACATGATGCTCGCTAGGGTGCCCGGCGTGCCAGTATTATTCGACAGGTTGAGCATCGCTCGAAAGGGCTGCTCAGCAAAAGCCTCAGGGAACCTCACACAGTCGTATTCGTCAAGCCTAAGCTTTGTATGGTGAGGTTGGAAAGCATTTCCATCGAGTGTAAGTTTCTCCGTCACCACGTTGTTGACAAGAGCACTAGCTGCAGCTCCATGGTTACTCTCGCACAGAATTTTGAATGCTTTTTCTTCTGGATCGAATAGAATCTCGAGTATCTATCAAGATCATAGATGCCCGGACGCGTCAGCGAGGAGGAACGCCCACGGAAGCAGCTGGAGGCAAGATCCGAGAACTGAAATGGCTGAAGATACTTGCACTCGCGTATAGGGTAGCATACAACAACCAGCCAGCAAGATTTCTTGGGAGATATGAGAAGACGGAAAGGGTACAACTGGAGGGGGAAACAAAACTCAGTCTCTAAATCACTTCACTCACCTTACGATCCCTAGCCTTGACATTTTTGATTATATTGAGGGCCATGCCAGGAAGGGGCCTCTTGCCTGGGACAACGAGGATCTCCTCGTAAAGTCGCGCCATAGTGGTGGAGGATGTGACAAGTATGCTGCACCGGCTGAAGGCAGGAGGAGAAGGAAGATAATAAAAAGGGCAAAGCAATGTTGGCCAAGGTTGAAGTTTTCGATTTCGACAAATGGGTTTTTGGAACACAGGAAGTGCTGACGAGACGGGGACCCGTTAGGCTAAGTACCCTCCCTGACCGAGACCGTCGGCTATCATGGAGTGATCAGTGATCACCGGGTGATACGGGGGAGAAGAGGAGGAAAGGTAATAACAAGGCGCTTTCCTGTTGTTTACATCTTCACACAGCCTTGGGCTATGAACTTGGCTATTGATCCCGCTTTGTCAGAATACTGCAGATAGGAAAACGAAGGGATGGCGAAGGATGAGAATTGCAGAGTTAGGGCATGCGAGGGAAGAGTGTGGGTGAGGCTAGAGATATAGATATTGCGTAAATTACTCACATCGCACAGCATAGTGTGCAGCCTCTGGTTAAGAAAGATGGAAGATGGAAGATGGAAGAGATGTTGCTTCTCTGTTTATCTTTGTTTCTTTTGTTCTTGATTTTGTTCTTGTTCTTGTTCTTGTTCTTATTATTGTTATTATTATTGTTATTATTAGTATTGTTGTTGTTGTCGCTGTCGTGGTCGTGCGTCTTTAGTAAAATACATGACAGCACAGGAACAGTCTCAATATTGGAACTTAGGAGGAAAAGACAAAGGAGAGTAGGTAGGTCAGTCAGAGTAGATATGGTGGTAAGTAAGCTGGTGGGAAGGGTGATGAGGAGTTTAAAGGAAAAATCTCCTTGATTAAAGAAGCAGGTAAGCAGGGACCTCCTTCTACTCTTATACTTATACCCTAGGGACTCAAGGAAGGCATGACTGACAATGACAGCCATCTACGACGCCTGCCGCAAATTATGTAAGTTTGCTCCTGCCTCAATCTTGCCATATTTGCCAGACTGCACAGATATAGTACCGCCATTATATAACATTAGTGATTTGACTATTAGTTCTTACCTTACCTTGGATAGGAGGAGATCAACGAATCACAGCTTCAAACATGTTACACCCGTCCAATAGCTACCAATAAATCATGCCCCTTAAGAATCATATTTTATGTAAGAAAATCTCGGATCCAAAATTCTAAACTTCTAAAGCAACGACCCTGCTTCACCCCGGAGTTAAGAACCACCCAGCTACAGACTACACGGCCTAATATAATAGTAATATTTGGGGCTGTAGAGTAACATGAGGAAACATATTCTTCGTTGTCAAGTCCTAGGGATCATATATGCACTTTTTGGGTGATGCTAAGCTACTCAAGAACGTTTGGAGGTTGGTGGGAATATATGGCAGGCCGCAGCCTTATTTCTATGTCCCTCCATCATGATAATGTGGGAGGATCCGTCTGTCTCAATGTGACATGTAGTTCTCCAAAATGGAGTAGATAATATATGTAATTATCCAGGCGTAGAAGCACGTTCTGCACCTAAGTCCCAAGAAACGAAGACCAAACTTCGGTCCTCGATCTTGGAATCGTCTAAGGTATAGTCTATTACCTGAAGCCCCTTGAATCAGCTTTGCTCCTCTTTTCTGTTTTGGGCTGCGTTCTCCGTAAAAGTAAACCATGCAGGCCAAAAGGGTACGTTTCTTCCACAATCCAACCCTTCTGCTGCTGCTGCTGAACGGTGACTTGGTGAGCGTACTGCTAGACCTGTTCCCTCCAAACCCCTTTTCTCCTCCCAAGTCTAACCCTCCTCAAGCTGAAGAACCTCCACTTGCCGCGGCTGCTGAACAGGACCGTCCCCCTCAGCATAGCAGTCCACCCGAGCCTTGCGGAACATAGTCCACGTCTCATACTCTTTATCCGCTCCAAGAACGTGCAGAGCGGGACTGATAACAAACCTGACTCGCAGTTCATTGACGGACGAAGTTGCGGCGGCCGCGGCCTCGGGGCGGTCCTTATCCTTAACCTTGAAGCCGCGGGCCATCATCTCCGAATCGAACAGGTCAACGTGGCGGGGGAAGCTCAGCTTCCACATCTGACGAGACGACATGAAAGCGTCGTCGAGCAGGCGGGCCTTGTAGAACATCTTCTCCAGCCGCCCACGCAGTTCCTGGAACGCTTGGAGGTTCTCGTCCGGCTTGGAGGAGCGGACGAGAAGAGGCTTCAGAACGCGGAGTTGGTGGTCGACTGTGTCGATCCAGGACTGTTCAACTCCAGTGCTCTCATCATTGCTTTGAATCTGGGAGAGCATGTAAGCGCCACTACTACGCCACCAGCAATAGGCGGCAACCTTTTCCGGATCGTTCTCCTGGTCAAGGAAATCTGTAAGAGCACGCCAGTTGTTTGAACTTTGTTAACAGGATAAATTATTATTGTTCGATTCCCCCCCCCTTTCTTCTCGTTTAGATGGGCAGATCACACTGAAACTGTCAGACTCACTGTTGACGATATTCTGGCAGACGCTTCGGAAAGCGTTTCCCATGGAACCGCCCCAAACACCATTAGGACCGAGGCTGCAATACTTCTCAACCTGGGCCCAAAGATAGGCTTCAACGACGCCGGCACGGATAGACGGGTTATCGACGTGATCCTCCCACTCAGGCCATATCTCATAGAGCTTCGTGTAAAACTCGGGGAGCATGCCAGTGGTGGGGATGGGACCCCTGAGAGTACCGCGAGCGAGAACAGCGACCTGGACCTGAAGTGGCTTCCAGACGGACTCTACGACCTTCTCACACGGAGAGGATTGGTTGAGAATGCTCAAGAGAGCACGAGGTTCCGTCAGCTGATACCGGGCGTTGGCTTGCCGAGCCTCAAGCTCCTCTCGCTCCTTGCGCAGAGACTCGATAGTGCAGGCATCAAAATCACGCTGAGTTCGGTAACTTCGGTTCGCCTGCACCTCCTGTTCAAAGGAGTCATGGGCCTGCTGGAGCTGGCGAGCCATCTCATGGAGTTCCGCGTCCTTCTGACGTAGCCGGTTTAGGGCCTCGTGATGTTGCCCCTGCGAGTGGCCCAGGGCTGCGTTGAAGGCTCGAGCGCTGTCCTGGGCCTCCCCAAGGTCGTAGATGAGATCCTCGATTCGGTCCTCTTTCGTCTTGTTTTCATCAAGGGCGTCCATGATGCGACTCTCGAGGGACTTGATGCGGACAGATTGTTCACCGACGAGGCTTACCATCTCCGTCAGAGCGGCGTCGGCGAACGTAGCAGCAGTAGGATTGGTGGTGGCCGTAGCGGGCGTGGCAACGGTCGAGCCGCGAGATGTTGGTCTCTTGCCAGACGATTTGAGCCTCTTCTGGGTTCGGAGTCGCTTGTTGCGAGCCCGGAGCTTTTTCATGTCTTTGCTCATCTTGATAAGCATCTCGCGCTTGTCCTGGTCATTTGCAGAGGGAAGCCAATTCTGCATTGAGGGATGGTTCTCCTCTTCGTCAGTAGTGCCTGACATCTCTGTTGGTGAACACAATCTTGTTAGCATCCTTCTATGTTATCTTATTCTCGGGGTGGGCATGAAACATCAATGCATTGGTAACTACATACCGCTGTCCTCATCAGAAGATTCAGAAGTGAGTACCGAGTGGATTTCGGTGGAGCTGATCGCCGTGGTATTCATGCCCGTGGAATTAAATTGAACATCTCTCTCGGGAGTAGAATGGTAGGACGAAACTAAAAGACTCTGATTAGGAGGCTCTTCGCGAGCTCCAGCGAGTCCAGCATAATCACCACTACCGAAACGCAGGGACGAAACTCCCCCCTGGGTATCTCGTTGTTCGGTGTCTTCCCTACTGGATGCCCGAAGTTCAAGCGAATCAAGCTGATCCGGTTGGGACTGAGTCTCTTCAGCGCGATCCTCGATGGTACCCATGCGCATTCCGTTGCCGAAGTGTCTTCGGAACTGACGATCCCATTCACTGAGTACCTCCTGTTGGTGCTGATCTGGCAGAGGGGCAGGAGCTGAGGTCTTGATTCGGATGAACGTCTTGCGAGGAGTGATATCGGACATGATGCAAAGACAAGCGGAGGGGCTTTTCTGATGGATAAGTCGGATTAGCAGACTGCATAGATGGAGTTCCTTCGCATCTGGTCAAGAAGCAGCACGGTAGCTCAGGAGTTGAGTAGAAGAATGGATACTCACTGCTAGTTGCGAGTGTCTAGGCAAGATATTTGCGGTGGCAGGTCCAAAGACAGCAACCGTGCAACAGAAGATGATGGCTGGGGATGACAAAGAAAGACGTAACTCGTGAAAACTTCCCAGAGGACCTGGACCTCTATTGAATAGGGAGGTGGATGCTTAAGAAGGAGAAGCAATATTTGCTCTCCCTTTTTGAAGAAGGAGAGCTCGAATATGAGAGAGAAAAGGATAGAGACAGGGAAGAGAGTCGAAGATGGTTGTTGGCTGTGGAGAGGATCTTGATACCCGTAAACTAAAAGGGAAACAGAAGATACAGCAGAAGGGCAGAGAAGAAATAGTTGTGCAATTCTCTCGGGAGGGAGGGAATAGGATCAAAGGGGTTGGTTAACCGCGAAAAGTTGAGAAGACAATAGGAAGACCTCTATGTGACTATGTGTTGTGAGCTCGAATATAATAGCAGTTGTCAATAAGCCGAGTAATTCATAGGCATAGTGACGAAGATTAGAATGGGAATAGAAACGAGGCATGAGCACATCTGGAAAGTCTACTGTAGACCGATTTACTGTCATCTGGTTAATCGTGTATAATGGCTATTCAGACTCCTTCCATCCGAGTGTTCAGATGGAAGGAGGGCAATGGATAGATATATTACTTCGATTTACGGTTCATTATCAATGGTAACTTTATAGAACGCACCGAGCTATTTTTCTGAATTAGATAGGCAGGTAAGCACTGCTTCAGAGATATTGGAAACTGCCCAACACTTAAAGAGTAAGCGGGACGCAGGTTCTGGATTCGAACATAACTATTCTAGTGTCTTGAAAATTCGAGTTGAACTATCAGACTTGGGGAAGCTATATAGTCTATACTCTATAGTAAGAAAGGTATTTAGATAGAGGCCATTTTCAAATTCTCACTAGGTAGGAAGTACGGATAAGACCTATCGAGAGGACTTAGATTAAGACTCACTGAATAGGAGTAATTCGGCCAGTTTCTTTCCTTAATATTCCCTCACATCTTGCTCCCAGCTCCTCCCGAGACTGCTAGAAACGGTAGACAGCCCTATTCCTGGACGGCATACGATGATACAAAAATGGGAACTCTCGGAAGACGATCCGTACTTGGGAGGTTCGTACCGAACAGGAACAATGCTACGGAGAGCCTGGAGAAACGGTATGAAAACAGACGCACAGCATCAGCATCAGCATGTGCATGTGCATATGCATACATATCATTCTCTTGCAATTCGGTCAAGGCGCCGAACAATTATTCTATGTGCTTGCGCGAATAGTCTATCATAGTCTATCTGAAATTCAAGGCTCCGGCTCATACCTCTTCCATGGTCTTTAGGGATTTGTGATTTGTGGCCCTCACGAAACTTATCCAGTCGAGCGCGAAGTTTGAGTTTCTGGTCTTCATGCGACCAACGTCTTGTCATCCTGACCGTGGATAGTCTCGTCTTGGTCCTGGGGCATAGAAGTTGACGGCTTCGCATGGACGTCGTCATCTCGTCTCAATCGCCAACCTCCTCTCCATCCAATCCACCGCTGTTCACGAGGTCCCCTCGCAAAGCCGACAACAACGGATAATGCGACGAAACCAACTGTCAAAAGAAGAGAAAAAGAGAAAAAAAAAACCCCGTCAGATGAGTATTCCCTTGATAAGTTCGATAGGGGTTGTAGAGAGACAGGACCGTAGTTGTGATGGGAAGAAACATACTGCTAGCACTCCCGCTCCACGTCCACCCTCCTGCAGCGTACAACCTGTTGCCGACAGCCGTACCGGTGAGCTGCCCGCAAAACGCTGACACCATATACGCCGTGTTGACGCGGTTGCTCGCCTTGGCATCGATCGAGTAGATGGCGGCCCGGTTGGCGATCTGGGACATCTGAATACCGGTGTCTCCGAAGACAGCCTGGATGATCGGCCCAGCGACGGTCGTCTCGCCGGTCCACGTACCGATGACGACGCCCACCAGGGTGAGGACCTGCCCGACGAGGGACGCGAACGTGGACACGAACCGGTCGACGACGAACCGCCCGTACAGAGGCCCGCCGACGATGCCGACGACGCCGATGAGGGAGAACAGCCCGATGACGAGCGAGCCGTACTCGTAAGGCGGCGACGACAGCAGGAAACTCAGGGTGGTCCAGTAGGATGTGAAGACGGCGCTGCAGAGGAAGACGATCAGGCAGGCCTGCACGAGGACGGGTTCCTGGACGAGGATGGTGACGATGGTCCACAGGGCGCGGAAGTAGTTGAGCCCGTCCGGGTTGGCAGAGGGGTAGTCGGGCATGAACACGAAGAGCAGGGCGGCGAGGAGCCACTGCGCGCCGAACGAGAACCAGTATATGTTCCGCCAGTCGGTGAAGCTGGCGACGATGCCGGAGAGCAGGCGGGCCACGAGCATGCCGAGCATGAGACCCGACACGACGATGGACAGGGCGGTTCCTTTGCGCCGCGGGGGCGCGATGTCGCCGACGAGAGGGAGCATGAGCTGAGGGGTGACGGTGGTGGCGCCGCAGATGAAGGAAAGTGCCGAGAAGGCAGCGAATGAGTCGGTCACACAGAGTCCTAGCCACTATGAAGAGCATGAATAAAATGTGTGAATAATGCCAGTCAAACCTAGGCAACGTTCCCCGTTCCCCGTGCCCCGTGCCCCCCTTCTCCTCCGACCTCCCCCTCCCCCTTTTGGTTTCTTTTTCCTTCGAGAATGAGAAGAGGTGAACATACCAGCATTGAGGTAATCCAAATCAAGCCCAAAACGAAGGGCCTCCGCCGGAGCATGTCTCCCAGGGGACATATGAAGAGTAAGCCGGCGGCATAACCGGCCTGCATCAGGGTCGCGACGGAGGATGCACGTTCAAAGCTGACATCGAATGTCTCGGCAATCCTGTTCAGTACCGGCTGGTTGTAATACAAGTTGGCGACAGAGATGGTGGCGGCCTGTCCCGGTGGTTAGACCTTGGAACCAGTTTTCGGGGTCTGGGGGTCTGGGGTGTCCAGTTTCGCTCTTGAATCAATGAATACGTTATAGGTAGGTAGACACGTACGAGGGCATACAACATGTTCAGACCGTAGCCGAATTCCGGTGGATCGCCGGGGTCATACCTCAGCCTGCGTGGCGTCCAGGTCATGACGGCGAGGACCAGGCCGAGAAGCCCTTGCTTCGATGGAGTGTCGGCATCCTTCGTCTCGGGACCGGAGTTGGGCTGCGGTGTTGGCGTCTCATCCGGTGGGTCTTGCACATCTTCGTTGCGAGCTGCTGTGGAAGTCATTTCTGCTGGTTTTCGGGGCACTTGAAAGTTGACGCCAAAGCAACACAGTCGTTGAGCCGACAGAAGCACCGATGGGACGGTGGTGAACTCAGTCGCGACTCGCCGGCGCAGTGCAGATGACCAGATGATCGGCTCAACTCAAGAACAAACCCTTGTCTTGTGATCCTCGAAATCCGGCGAAAGTCCGGTGGAGCTCATGGACAATAAATAGGCAAATCCCTTGGATATAGAATAGATAGCGGCTTCAAATTGGAAACTCTCGTATGAGTCTTCCGGGAGAAGTGATGGAGGTTGGGAAAGCTTGTTGTTCCATCACAAAGCCTCCCTCCCGTTATCCCCATGATAGAGAAGGAGACGGAACCGTTTTGGTTAAAATCATTTAACCTATTGGATCTAACTAATAAAAGATGGAGATTCGGAGAAAAATCCTTGATGGCGCGATATCGGCAGGGGATAACCGATTTGTCGTGATTGGAATCGCAACGACGTAATAGGTAATGCGGATACGGAGACACCCGGCGGCTTGGCGCTAATTATATCAATTAATTATAAAGGGCCAACGTCTATCACTTCGCTGCCTTACATGTACCCATCCCATACATAAACCCATAAATATTATCACGGCGAGAACGACTAGTTAATATGAAAATGTCCTCGATCACAACTCGTAGGACGAAATAGGTCGTGTTGACGGGGCATAGAAAAAGGTGAGCTGGGACGAGGGGAAATGCCAGGATACCTCGAATGTAGGTAGCCCTCGGTGGGCTGGCCTCCTATTTATATCTGATGTAAGTAATAAAGCAGCTTGTGGTAGAACTCGGACAAAGGGGCATTCGGCTACTCATTTAGCTAGGATCGCCTTGCGCGGTACATTATCTATAGATGATGCTAAGCAGAGTAAGTTCGAGATCCTCCCTCTATCCCATGCGCCCATCAGTCTCTTTTGATTTGTGATCCTACCTCTTGTGTTCTGTTCTCTGCATGAGAAGAGGCCCAACTTCTGCTTCTCTCCTATGCGTTATGACGACTTTGGGGATCTGGCGTTGACAAGATAGGACAGGAAACCGTCTCAGACTTTCGTGAGCTTTCGTTAGCAAGGGAATGGTCCATCCTGGTAGTCAGGGGTAAGTAACGGGTAGTCTCTCTTCATATCAAGACGACATGCACTTCATCTCGTTGGTCTCATGAGTCTCTCATTTCCAACCAGAATCACGCAGACCCAAAGCTTGGTGAAGTAGGCAGTTTCGCTTTTGTCTCTTAACATGTTAACGAACCCATACGCCTCATGGTGAACGTCTCCTGCATGGTACTCCATCCAAAGCACAGCCCTTCCACCCCCCACGGTACCTGCTTACAAGGGGCTTCCAATTCTACGCCGACACCTTGGCGCTGTATTTCGTGGCAGCCTTATCGAAAAGGGCGCTTTTCTCCTCGAGGTCGGCGAGAAGAAGATGTGTGGGCGCCGCGGCCTCTAGGTTCCTGTTGTACGGTTTCCGAGTCAGCCATGCCCCCCGCCAACACGTTCGTCCTTCTCTCGACTGCTCGTCATGGGATCGGAGACTCACGCTCTCATTTTGGAGGGATCCCGGCCGGTGACCACTGCAAGGACAAACAGATTCGCAATGGCCTCCGCATTGGTCGGGTCCTTGTTGAGGGCCTGCTCCAGGGCGGCCTGGGCCTCTTCTGTCCTGCCGAGATGCAGCTCAGCCACGGCCTGCGACACGAGCGACGCAACGGACGAGGTGGCCGGGGCTTGTGCGAGCTCTTCGAACACGTAGAATGCTTGTTGGTACTTCTCTCCGCCCTGTTCGTTTGGTGTTTGGTGACGCCAAGATGTATTAGCCAAAGGAAGAGGGAAAAGCAAAGAAGACGCGAGACTGGGCCGCAGGGAATGTAGGAGTGCGAACACACCTGGCGCAGGCCGACCCAAGATTCTGCAAGGTTGACGAGCAGGCTATCCTGCGCCCACCTCCTAGCGGCGGTGACTTCCTTAAGGGCAAGGTCGTTCCTGTTCTGTTGGAGATGAATCTGGACAATAAGAGAAACAGCATCAACTGTAGACACAGAGCAGATGCAAAGTCAGCTTGGGTATTCTTTCTCCTCGCCTCTTTCTCCCCTCCCCCGTGTCTCCATCTCCTGTGGTCTGTGGTCTGTGGTCTGTGGTGGTTGGGTACAATCCGGGACACGTACGGCTTCCCTGGTGCTGTGATAGCAGAGCAATGGCCTCTTCCGGGTGTCCTGCCGCTTGCAGAACTGTGCCTCCAATAACTTGTACGGTAGAGTTACCGGCGTGGGATTCGGCGAGTGTTTTGATGGCAGCCACGGCCTCGTCTGTCTGGCCTAGGGACTGCTGGGCTAGTGCGCCAATGGAGGCGAGCTCGGGCTCAGACTCCCCCTGGACTTCGGCGAGAACATCCTCAAACTGGCCAAGGGCAATACGTGCGCGCAGGACTAGAACTTGGGCGGGTAGGGCATTTTCGGGAGAGAGCGCCGAGGTGTCGTAGTCGATAACTTCTTGGTACTGGCCCTGGTGGAAGTGGTTGTGGATGTTGATCAATTCGCCTTCGGCTGAGTAGGGATCCATATTATCGGTATGGCGTAAGGGCTCGAATGGACGGTAGAAAGGCGTTTGTTCGTCGCAAGGGTAAACGTTTTGATCGTGGAGGGTTTTGTTTCGACTTGCTGTCTTGCTTCACGATGAGCTGTGAATTATTATTAACTGTTCATTTGCTAATAATTAATATGGTACGTACTTCACTTCGGACTTCAAATGCGAACACCGACCGACCTCTGAGGGAGCGGTCGTCCAGGAAAGGAGATGCGGGGCGAGAGAGACATGCCCCGTGCAGGGCTTAGTCAGGAACCGCTTCAGGTTGAACGACCTGGAGTACTTTCCTCGACAGCTTGATGTTGCCGCTATCTTCCGCGACGATGGACTGAAGACTTGTATGTGACGTTGTTTATATCATCTATTCATGAGAAACAGGAGCTGTCAGCTACCAATCTCGCTTTCGATTTCCTCCGGTCTCTCCGCGAACCTTGGGACGTCCAAGTACGGAGTAGAATCACTGAGGGCCAAGTACCTAGATAGAGTAAGGTAGGGAGGGCAACAAAAGGCAACAACGTCCCCTCAGCCGACACCACCCGCGTACCTTAAGGTACCTTAGTTACCCCCTATTAGGCCCGGCGTTGGGCAATAGGATTGCCGTCGTCATGTTACTCCGAGCCAGAATAGCATAAACACTAACATCGCTTTTCCTTTTTCCCTCCTCTTTTCTCCTGCCCCCTTCTTTGCCCTTTCCTTTCCCACTTCTTTTCTTTTAATTTTCCAAGTTAATTATAACGGTAACGTGGATTCCCTGAGGAAGGCTGTGATTATTGGTACGACAGTTTCAGCCTCTCTTACCCCCTTCACCCGGGGCGCAAAAGGCGCCGAAGAGGAAGTTGTTCCCGCTGCAAACAAGTACGAGGATATGCCCAAGGTAGGTCAAGTCCTTGAGTTCTGCGTAGGCGAACTACGCCTAAGGAGTGCTGATGCCGCCAGGGTCTCACCACTGACCAGCTCGACAACAGGACGACGACCGCTATGACGTCCAACGACGCCGTCAGCTCAAAGGCTGAAGAAGCGCAAGCGTTCTAGAGAAAAGTTCGCGAGTCTCTTCATATTTCCTATGAGGAGCTAGAAGAGTGCGAAAATGACAAAGAGGCGGAACGCGCGAGAATTAATGCCCAGACTGAGAGGACGACCACCCGCCAGGCATTACGTGAAGCCCGGTTCTCCAACCACAAGAGTACCAGGGGACACAATGTCTTTTTCCCTGCTATATCCGAGGAGATAATGGAATGGCGGAACCAGCGAATTGCCATGATTTGGCCCGTCGATTAGGTTCAGACCGAGGCTGAATTCGAACGTATGTATGCTGCGCGCAACAGGGCTGCATCTAGCTGCGCAGTCCTGCCTCGAAAGAGTTAAATGGTCATCGGGTAAAGGTTGGTGGATTATTCTTAGGCTCGGTGGCAGTATTACAAGAGGCTAGGTATTGAATTAGGAGTCTAGTGAACCAAAGCATACTGTGAATCATGATCGCTTCCATTTTGACCACCATCCCAAATACATCCCCCGGAACATCGCTTATAGAGAAGTAAGACGAGGAGGGGAAGAAAAAGTACAGAAAAAAAAAAAAAGACAAGAGAGAGAAAGGAAATGGATTCCATTCCAGTTCAACGCCCGACCATGCATGCCAATCCTCTAGCCCTTCCCGCACCAAACCTCAAATCGTCATCCTTCGGACCTGGACAACGATGGGCCCGACTCCGCATGCGGGTTCACCCGTCATACGTAAATACAGAGAGTAAAGGCAGCCCTCTACATGAACCGGTCCAACTAATCTTCCACTGCGCTCTCGTCCGGGGCAGCACCCCCATCTGGCCGCGTCTCGGCAGCCTTCACACTGGGCGACAGCACCTGAACATTGCCGCGGGCCTTCTCCTGGCTCTCGACGAAACGCTCCCAATATTCCGGGTCCAGCACGCGGAGTGCTTCGCGGATCTGCTCGCGGTCCTCGCGGAACAGCCGCACCACGCCCTTCTCGCGCATCTTCCGGCTGAGGTCCGGGTCCTGCAGTTCCTCCACCATCTCCTGCATGGCCGCGACGTGGTTCGGTTCCACCAGCGTCTCGTCCAGCCCGTTGAGCAGGTCGAAGTACTCCGGCTTGATGATGCCCGAACGGAACATGTGGCCCGTGCGGAGCATGCGGCCTTCTTCCTCGGCGAGCGCCCGCGACGAAAGCGACATGGCCGAGTTGGTCCGCGAGAGGCTCGGCCGCACCTCGAGGTCGAAGTCGTCTTCGGCGTCCGAGGGGATCGCGACCTGTTCGGGTTCGACTTCCGCCGGCAGAGATGGTGTTGCATCCGCGAGCAAACCGGCCCCTCCGCCCACCCGCGTGTCAGGGAACTCGTCCTCGAACCGCTTGATGATGTTGGCCAGTGTCGTATCGAGGAAGAGAAGCTTGCGGAGGTTTTCCTCGTCGCTGGCGTGGGCCTTCGCCCGGGCCACAGCCGGCTGCAGACGGATCCTGATCTTACGTGCCGCAGCGAGCAGGTGCTTCGACATATCCTTGGCCTTTGCAGATGGGAGTTTGGGTCCTATCATGGTCGGTGTTTCCACGCCTTCCTCCTTACCTCCATCCTCGGCCTCTTTCGTGAACTCGACCGACTGCCGGCGTGAGTCGTCGCCTCTGTTTTCCAAGCAGCAAGTCAGGGCCTTTACCAGGCCCGTGCCGCCAATCACGTAGTCATCATCTGGCGCAGACTCGTGGTCGGATGGACATTCGTCCTGGTTGAGCACGTCATGACCGACCAGGTGGACGAGGACGTCTGGGTAAGGAGGCTCCTGGCCCTCAGGGACAGCGTGACCATCTGCCAAACCTTGCACGGCGGAGCTGATTTCCGCGATGGGGATGCGCTGCATATTGCGCAGACAGTATGCCACGACCTGCTTTGCCATAGCCTTGACCACCTCGCCCGACCTTTCGCTCGGCACGTCGATATCGACACATATAATCGAAGGAGACACCCGCGTCGCCGCCAGGAGAGAAGCGTACAGGGCGCAAGCTTCCTCGCGCGACTCTTCTGTGGTGGCGTCGGCCAGCTTGACCAACTTGGGGTTCTCCAGGAAGCTGATATGAGCCAGCCCATGCACTTCCGGAAGAATCTCGGCGAGAGCAATGGCCTGCTCTGAAGTCATGGAGACGTCTGCTAAATGAATGCGCTTCAGATTTTGCAGCTTGGGGAGATACCTACCGTCGAAGATGTCAGTTAGAACAATGCGCGAAGAAATTGGATGAAAGGGCGGGGAGAAAGGGGGATCCGAAAGGGGACCAGTCCCTGTGGTAGTACATACTTCCGCAGGAGGCCGACAGCACTGGGCTCAGAACTACACAGTTCCTGGTTGTGCGAGAGGTCGATGAACCGTAGGTTTTTCAACGGAAGAAGCTTGGGGAATATCTTGCATAATGAGCCTGGGCGCAGGTTACACTCCGCCAAGCTGAGACCCCAGAGCGGAGAATTGTCCGAGATGGATTGGGCGAGCACTTCAATACTTTCGCGAAGATCATTCCCGCCAAGATCAAGACCCTCGCAGTGGCCGCTCGAGATAAACCTGGCCACGTGCTCCAATCCAATGTTGTCGATGTTGTTGTGGGGGAGACCGAGGCGGCGTATGCCGCATTCGATGATGCCGTCGATGAGAGTACCGAGATCGCTCGATGAGGGGTTAATGCCGCCAATGTTGAGGAGTTCAAGAGTCGGTCCACCCAGGCGCTGGGCGAACGCCTTCGAGACTAGACCCGCTAATGTGATATGTTCTCGGCTCCCGTTGTTGTCGTTGCTGCTTCTGGCAGTGGTGGTGGCGCCGATGCTGGTGCCGGTGGTGTTAATCTGAGAGCGTTGTCCTTGTCCGTTTTGGGTCGCAAGTGCTACCGACCTGGGAAACGGAACCATGGAAAGATCGAGATATTTAAGGCTCCGGCAGAGATATATGAACAAGCAGATATGTTTCCAGCCTTCGACTCCAAACTTATTTTCTTTCAGGACCAGACGTTCCACGAAGCCGCCTTGCTGGGCAAGACCGTCGGGATGGGTAGCAAGCCTCCGTCTCCTGGTTTCCGGCAGTTTGGCTGCTAGAAGTCCAGCCAGTATCACTCGCAGTCCTTCGTCTGAGAGTCCACAGTTCTCGAGAATGACTTCCTTGACTGGAACGACTGCCAGGTAGTCTCCCAGCGTTATTAGGTCAGGTAGCTGAAGCCAATAGCCGGTTAGGTCAAGCTTGTCTACTACGCCTGGGCGAGTGGAGCTGTTGGCCGGGTCGCTGAGTTGCTCCGCGATCTTTTTCAAGATGGGCGTCTCACGCAGTTGACAGCATCGGCGGTATATCCTGACGGGGTTTGTCGTAGGCGCAGATGTTGTCTTCCGGCCACCGTTGCCCGTCGTCCCGGATTGTGATGTCTCCGCCGAGGAATCGCTATCGTCGAAACGAATCTCCATGGGAATGGTGCCATTGGCCTCGGCTTGTTTCCGCTTCTTTTCCTTCCTGGCCTTTCGTTCCTCCTCGCTCTTCTTTTTCTTCTCCTTTTTCTTGGCCTCCCTCTCCTTGTCGGCCATGCCGGTTGCTCCTGCGCTTGTTGGTGGCGTAGTAGGTGGTGGCGTAGTGGGAGTTGAGCCCGGCTTCGCGGGCCCTCCCTTTGCCGCCTTATCATCCTTGATCTCTTTAGAGCCTGAGGATTCGTTAGGGCCTGGGGGTTCCTTGGGTATCTCCGTTCCCTCCTTCTCGGGCTCTTTCGGGAGAGGCTCTCCGGTGGCCTTGACGACGCCCTCGTGCTCCTTCTGGATTTCCAAGCTCTTGGGATGTTTAAGAGCCTCCCCCTCCCCCTTCTCGGTCATCTTACGCTTCTGGGTCTTGTCCGACAATGCTGGCTTCGCAGAAGACGGGTCGGGGTCGGCATATTTCGGCTGGGGTGCGATCTCGACATCGACGCTGAAGGCGACCCTGCGAAGGTTGGGTTGTCGGAGCTGAGGAAGAGGGCAGCGTTCACGGTTCCGGTCGACGTTCAAAACTCTCCGCTCAACCAGACCGTGGTTGTACTTCTGTCCCGGCGTTAGGCCCCCCGTAGAGGACAACCTACGGAAAACTCCGAGGAAGCTAGCCTGGCCGCGGCCAGGGGGCGCAGGTGTATAGGGCTGGTCCCCCTCCGGTTTGTTTGCATGTTGCAAGACAGCGTGCCGAGGCGGGGAATAGCGAGGGGGAGGTGCTGGTGGGAACTCTTTCTCTTTCGGCGAGGCGCTCTGGGGCTGGTTTGTCGCCTGGTCGCCATTAATATGATGTTGCGTGGGAGAGGAGGAGAATTTGGACGAAAGGCTGGAGAACCACGAATTGCGGCGGCTGGGAGATGTGCCGTTCGCTCCCGGGCTCTTGTCGCCAGAGTCAGATCGTTTCAAGGGGGGCCGTGGCGTGGGTATGGGTCTGGATGCCGTGTTCGTGTTCTCGCTACCGCCGCCATTTGATTGAGGCTTTGCGCCGTTGCCGTTCGCGGCCGGTATTGGAGATGACGAGCGAGGAGTCTCCTGGGAAGGGGGAGAAACAGGTGTGGGTTTTCGAGTCGTAGCAATCTTGGAGCCCTTATCTGCAGGACAGAACGCTTGGTTAGTGGCGGTCATGGGACAGACAAGACGGCAGCTATGCTGCTATCGCCCGGCATCATGTGAAGACTAGGACGCAAGTCGAGAGAAAGAAATACCTCTGGCAGAACCGTGGGTCATCCAGCTCACGTCAACTCCATGAACTTGCTCCATATTGTGTTGTCGCAAATGTCGAAGACCGAGAGAGTGGCATCAAGACGATGTGATGTGTATGGAATGAGTTGAGACCGGAGGCGGAAGGGCCCGGTGAGTTGTGAGAGCCGAATCTGGGTCGAAGAGAGGATATGATGGGCTGGGTGATATGGACTCGCTCTATGTTGAAAGCCGCTGTAGAAGAAGACGGGATAAATTCATATGAAGGAACTGGAGTGTGCTTGCCCGGGGACGGACCCGGCTTGAAGGGGAGAAGTTTAGGTATATCGAAGACGGGAGTGGTGCGGAGCTGATGTGCTCGACATGTACCAAGGTATCTATGTACTCCGTAATCCGCAACCCCGAATTTCGCGAGGGTACAAAGAAATACTTTTGTAGTGTACTAACATTAACTTGTACTCCGTGCGGAGGACAAAGTAAAAGACAGGCTGCCCGCCCAATGAAGTAAGGTAAGCTAATAAAAGTGCTACAGATGCACACTTACTCAGACAAAGTACCGAATCATTCACAATTCAACTCTTATCGTAAGGTAGGTAAGGTAGTGTAGAGCAATAAGCGATTCTAATGGGTTCCGGAGGCAATTCAGAGCCCCACTTTTGCTTCTCTTGGTGGGGGATCTACCTGGGTACCACCCTACACTAGACAAAATTCAGAATTCGGACAGGGAGCGGGGTAATTAATTACGAAAGGCATTGACTGTCGTTGGATTCCGTGTCGATATGGTCCGTGGTCGACTACGTTGTACGTCTGAGGGATCCGTTTTCGTTCTTCAGGTAATAATTAACCCGCCGATGGGAAATAATACTGCGTAGGTCTAGTGCTCCAGATAATTAGTGTGTAAATAAATACGTAAAAATGATACCTCGTAATAGAAGTCTTTATAGAAGCGGTAGCCGAGCCTCCTGCCCTGGGGTCTTGTGGTGAGAGCCGCTCGTTCTGGTTCGCTGAGGACATCGCGTCAATGCCCATGGCTGGGTTGCAGGGCACAGCACTTCATCACAGCAAGGATTGTCGTCACTTGGTTGCGGCGTGTCGTTCTATTAAACTCCGTGCGATTTATGACTCTCTCGTTCCACGATGCCCGGAATTGGGTCGGAAGAAAGGTGCCCCATATACACACACCTCCATCGACTCACTGCCAGTACACTACACGAGGTACGTAACTTGCCTATTCGTACTCAGTAATTCCTTACTTCGCAACTTGATGTTAAATAATCGCCACCCTGAAACCCTGTGGCGCAGAGCTACTGAAGATCGTGTCAAATTAAGGTATCCGTTACCTAACGTACGAATCCACTACTTCTATCGCGAGGAAAAGGTTATTCATCCCACATCATCCAACACTCCTAAGATGAGTAATGCTTCTCAAGGTATCTAGGTAACCAGCACGGGGATGACTGTTTCCCCCAGCCCAGCATTCGCCGTCTCGTGACGACGTTCTTGGTTTTCCTTGACCCAGATCTGCATCGCGATTAGACAGGTACCAAATCTGGGGGACCAGGGCGCAGTGTCTCGTGGCATATCCGTGTTGTCGTTGGTCACTTGGAGGGCCGAGGGCTCCGCTTGGTACCGTGGGAAACCAAACGTCAGAGCTCCACCAAACGGCTCCCGTCGTCGGAAAAGAGCCGTGGAGGAACAAATCATTGGGCCATTCTATACCAGAGAAAACGGTGCAGCAGTTCAAGGGTGGAAAGACTCAGAGACTGACTAAATGGGTTACTCCTTGCTGCAGTATCAAGACCCGCGATCTCTAATAATTACGGATACTATGGGCAGCATACGTGATTTGTCCGACAGGTCATGCTGATCTACTACGGATAAGGACCCTTGAGCTGCACGAGGTAGGTAAGCAATGCGCCTTGAGCCCTCGGAATTATCTTCCCAAGTACGGATGCCCGCAGGAAACGGTTTCCGGAACAGCAATTAAAAGTACGATTAGACCATCTTCATCCGATGGGTGGCACGGATGCACAACTTTTAGTACGAAAGCACACGGATCCTGTCGGGGTTCTCGTTTCTGTTGTCAGAGACTGACCGACTGCCAGAGGGCGGGCTAATTAATCAGTGGGACAATCCTGAGCCAAGATGACAGAAAGTCTTGATCTTTTGAAAGCAGCCAAAGGGGAATCATTCGCCATGTTGTTTACGACATCCTTTTTGACTATGAACCTGCCGGAATCCTCATAAAACTCCCGAGCCAGCCATGTGTATCATGTAAAGACGTCATGTTTGACCCAAGTCTTGCTACAAGACCCGGACCCAAAAAGAAACAAGCTCCCATTTTGTATCGAGACCTCCGTTTCATCATCCCAACCAGAAAAGGTGCTATTGTGCCGTTCCACCACGCGCTTAGTCCTCCTGCTCGCGGAGCGCGGCAATCCGGGTCTGCACGTTCGCCTTCCTCTCTTCGAGGGTGAGGCGGACCGGCCTGTGCTTCTTGGACTCGGCCTTCCATTCGTCCTTGCTCTTCTTGGGGGCATCGCTGACGTGCTTCTTCCAGGGATCCTCGCGGATAGCGGCGTGCGCCTCGGAGTACAAGTCCTCAATACCGTCCGCCTCAATGTCGTCCTCAATGTACTTCTGGAACTGACTCTTGTAGCGCTCCTCGTCGTCGTCGGCCAGGAGCTCCATGTACTCGGCAACGTGGCCACCGAAGATGTAGCTCTTTAGGGTGTCAGCGTCGAGCTCCTTGGTCTCGATGTCGTAGCCGGGGAAACGCTTCTGGCTGTGGGGAATGAGGATGCCGCCGTCCGAAGCACCCTTCATGGCGCCGAAGACGCGGGCACCGGTGGAGGTGCGGGTCAGGCCGACATCGAGGAAGGCCTTGAAGGGACGGCGCTCGCCATCGTCGGTCTCAATAGCCTCGGTGAGGGTAAACTCGCCATCGGCCTCCTCAACGCCGGTGAAGTCCTTGTCCAAGCCGAGCTTGCTCAGCGTGCGGCGGGCGAGCAGCAGGCCGGTGGCATAAGCGGCGGCCCAGTTGGTCAGACCATGATTGATGCCGTAGGCGGGGAGCTCGTGAGAGTAAGCCGCGGCAAAGACCTTGTCGCCGGTAATTTCTGAGCTGACAATCTGGGTGATGATGTCGCGGTTGGTGAAGCGGACGACGAGGCGGTACTTGGGGGTGTTGTACTTGTTCTTGGCCTGGGTGATCAGGCGCTTACGGGCATAGTAGTCGGTCTTGCCTTGGCGTCTGCGCTTGTACTTCGTTTGGAAGCGGCTGCACGATTCTTCAGTTAGCAAAGACCCCTGGGAAAGAGGAGATACACAAGCCCCCTAAAAGCACAGGAACGAAAAGAGGAGGAATGGAGGAATCGTGCTACTCACCTGAAGTACGCGCTGTTCTTGACCACCTTGTGAAAGGGCTATAAAAACACGACGTCCTCGAGTCAGCAATTTGCGCTTCAGAGAGTGCCCTCAATCCGAAGCATCTTGCATTGACTCTCTCTCTCTCAAAAAAAAGAGACAGGCATTTCTGCCTCCTATGAGGGCATGGCCGGTGGTTGAACCAGTGGCGGTTGAATTCGTGGCTCAACTTACCATGGTGATGGTGTTGGCTGACGGGTGCTCAGCAAACTGGTCGGGATGGGTGGTGGTGGTTGACGGGAGAAGAATTGAATGTTCAGATCCCAGCCCCTGCGAACTTGTCGTGATAATTTCTGTGGGGGAATTTCTTTGCCCTAGGGTGGGGCCCGAGGAAGCGCGATCTGTGGGCTTGAGCGCTGAAAGCTGCAGGGTGGTCGTTCAGACTTGGGTCGGCGACGAGCAAAAGTGCAATCGATCATAGGGGAAATCACGTGACCTTCTAATCCATAGCTTCTTTTCCCCCGCCACAACGCTTCGTTGCTTCAACGTATGAACAGACACACCCCCCCCCCCCCCCCCCCCCACGTAAGATACCCACCAAAGCTTAGGCCGAGGTTCGCGGTAGTTGTTCACCGAGTTCCCGTCGTACTGAGACGGGCCATTGAAGACACATGTTTCTATACGAAGGATGTAGTAGCATTCGTCTCTGATGCAATCATTAACCGATCCAGATTCTTCCTTTATCGAGCATGTACTAGAAGCAGTAGACGAGATGGCAGGCCCCAAGCAACCCAAGGTCCTCCTATTTGATATAGGGGGCGTGTGTGTAAGTCGCCCGGTCTGAACGGTACCCTCCGTTTCGAAGCAGATGAAGACCCGACGTGGGGATTATGAGCTTCATTCTCACTCGTGCTTTTTCTGATGTAGGTCGTCTCACCGTTCCAAGCCATTATCGACTATGAGCTCAGCCTCGGCATCCCACCGGGATGGGTCAATTACTCTATTTCCAAGACGGCCCCGAACGGGTTCTGGCATCGCCTCGAGACCGGCAGCATCCCCCTGGATAATGCCTATTTCGTTGGTTTTAACCGCGACCTGCACGACCCGAATCGTTGGCGCGACTTCTACCTCGCCCAACAGGCCAAGGACCCGACTCTACCGCCCGAGGCACCGCCCATGCCGACCATCGACGGAGAGAAGCTGTTCCTTGACATGATGACAAACTCCATCCCCCAGGACCCCTGGATGTATCCTGCCCTGAAGCGCCTCAAGGAGAGCGGCCGTTACATGCTCGCGGCCCTGAGTAACACCGTTATCTTCCCACCTGGTCACCCGCTGTGGAAGGAGGATCCCCTGGATGACCCAGTCCGCAGCCTGTTCGAAGTCTTCGTCTCTTCTGCCCACGTCGGCCTCCGTAAGCCGGATCCGCGCATCTACGAACTCGCACTGCGTACGGTCAACGAATACGCCGCCAAACACGCGGGGTCACCAAGGGGCAAGGCTCTGGGTTGGGATCAGGGTCTCCAAGCGAGCGACGTCGTCTTCCTGGACGACATTGGCGAGAACCTCAAAGCTGGCCGTAAGCAGGGTTTCCACACGATCAAGGTGCACCTTGGGAGGACTTACGAGGCTGTTGAGGAGCTCGAGAAGATCACAGGCCTAGAGTTGGCGGGGGACCACCCCAAAGTTCCCGTAAAGCCCAATTTGGGGAGGTTGAAGAAGAGCAAGCTATAATTGCGGCATACAATGTTTTCCTTGCGCGTTTGGTTGGTAGACATGCGGCCATCAACGTTATTCGAATACATTTACGTTATCACAGCTCGTCCGCTGCAATACAGGAGCTTTTGGTTAGTTTAGTTTAGACCAGCAGGAGAGGGATAGGAGGACCATATGAAGCGATTGAAATAAGAAGTAAAAGAAGAGAATATCTTTAGTCCGTCTGCACCACTGTGTCATTCCAACTATAATTCAATTGTTATCTTGACCTTTTGGAATACTGCCCGGCTAAATCATGGCCACAAACAATTACGCCAATATCTGCTAAACAGTAAGCTCGTCAGTCCTGACCAAAGTCTCAGAAGGCGTAATAACAGCTCCGCTACCACCACCACCACCACCACCACTTTAACCACTTTGTTATCGTAGTTGTCGTCACTGATATTCTCATCGTTATCGTTATTATCGTCGCCATCGTTGTTTGTTTTGTTATCGTCGTCGTCGTCGTCGTTGTTGCTGATGATGATGTTTCGAGGCGAACGAACAGACTACACTTGAACCTTTAACAGGCCGGATCGTGATAAAGTCCCTCACGCGGTCTGCGGTGGGAGGGCGTCATTCTTGTCCGTGTCAGATTCGGCAAACCCGACTTTCTGAAAGCTTGCACTCTCCACCTTGGGCGCAACAAGTTTCTCCAACCCGGAAACGCCGCTATCGGCCTCGCCGAAGTTGATGCCAAGGTAGTTGGACTCCAGCTTAGCATCATCTTTGGCCTTTTCGTCCTCTGGGCCCTCGTCAAGGTTCATCAGTGCAGGCGGGCGATGCCGCATGGCCCGTGCCTTGGCAAGTGAAATCGTCTTCTGCTGGTAGGTCGTCGTAACCGGCTGGGCGTCGTCCCGGTCGATGGTTGCCTTCATGAGAGCCGCCATCCATAGCCGGCCTTGCTGGAGGTTCGGCACGGCGAAGTAGTGCACCGTGGGCTTGGTGAAGTTGACCGCCCGAGACAGCCCCGACCGTGGCGGCACAAGCTTGAAAATGAACATCGAGTCGTCTCCCTTCTCCAGAGTTGCACCAGTAGAAGGCGTCGGTGCAGAACCGGCACCCGTAAGAGTGGCGTGGAGACCTGTCAGTTTCTCATTGTCCGCAGGCAAGACACGGTGGAAGGATATATCGATGAGACCCTTCTCCTGGTCGTCATCCTCCGAGTAGAAGTACGCCAATCGGCGTCCCTTGAGCACGAACAGGCGAGGTTTCCATGTCGTCATCAGGTTGGAACTCTTCTTCTTCATCCAGCCGCTGTAGTCCGCATCCTTCATCGCCTCGCGCGGGCTGATTCTCTGCAAGCCACGCTGATAGGCGCTCGTCTCCTTTTTACTCTTCTTGCGGCTGCCCTTGCTAGCTGTTGTTCCTGCAATGCTAGGGCTCTTTGTCGTATCGGGAGAGTCTATGTCCAAGCTTGGTGCTGCAGACGGCGTGCTGGATCCTGTCCGCGCAGGTGATGGCATGGGAGAATGGCCCAGTGGCGAATCTGAAGGAATGACGGCCTTGAAACGGTCTCCCGCCGAGGTATCTGAAATGGCTCTCAGTCCTCCGGCCTTGGCGAATGGCTTGTTGACCATGCCGCTGAGCCAGTCATTGCTAGCAACTTGGCGATTCGCCGAGGAGCCAGATGCCAAGGCAAAGTCCCGACCGGAGCCGTCGAGTTTTGTGACCGTGGGCGACTGCGATTCTCTCACCGAAGGCACACGTCTCGCCGATCGCGTCGTGCTTGTCGAAGTCGGCCTTACGTGGGTCGTAGGCTGGATGCCGTAATACTTCTGGGCCGCAGGCGATGGCGCACCTCCTTCCCGCGAGGCATCGATGCTGCCGTACCTCGAATGTCTAGAGAGGGCCGTCCCGCTCCTCATCCGTTGCTCGTCGGCGTAGCTACTCTTTCTCGAATGGGCGCCGCTGTCGCGCTTCCTGAGCACGTTCCTCCTCTTGCCCTCGGCTTCGGTCCCGCTGAAATAACCGCGATCCAAATCGACAGCCGAGTCCTGCAGGTCGGAGTTGGGCTGCTGCGGCTGCCAGGCGTCCTGAAGACCAGTCGAAGACAGGGGCCGCGGGGAGGAAAACGCGTTGCCCATGCTCCAGTTGCGATCGAAGGAGGGCTCTTTCTTATGTGCGCCGTCTCGTAGGGGAAACGTCCCGCTAGTGCCAATTTTTGGCGTGCCAGAGTGCGGCAGCGGGGTGCCACTCGCGCGGAAATCGGTAGACGAGTGTCGACGGGAGTGGTTCAGGTCCCTGATAGAAGCCGCAGACGGCCGTTTGGTGTGAGTTGCCCGGGTGGGGCTATCTAGAGTGGAAGTAGGGGACACAAGGGGGCTGGGTTCCATTGGGTTGAAAGAGCCCTTGGCCTGGGCAGACGCGGGCCTGTCGTCGGCCGGCGGCAGCCTTTGAATGGAATTAGTTAAGGTCCCCGCCCTGCTGCGCGCCCTCCACGCGTCTTCCGAGCCCGCTTCACTTCCGTAGGTCTGTGTTGTCCGTCTCGTGGGGGGGCCCTGACCGTCGCATTCGTCTTGAAGCGCCTTGATCTTCTGCCACGTCTTCAACCGCCTGCCAACGGATCCAAGGTCGAAGGCTTTGATGAAGAGGGAGCTCTGGTCCATACCGAGTAATACTTCGCCGCTAATCTCCTGGTCTCGAAACACTTCGCAGTGATGCTTTTCGACGCCGGCGGTGAAGAGATGTTCGGCAACCTGGTCGGGGGTCCAATTCAGAACCTCAGCACGTGTATGCGTAGATTCTTCCTCTTCATCCGTTTCCTCGCCTTGAATGTACGACATGCGTGGGTCGAGCTGGGCGCTGTATTCACTATCCGAATCGTTTGAAACACGAAGAGCGGAGGTGCTCGGGGGAGAGCGAAGGTTGGTGATGTGCTCGTCAATGACATTGAGGGTGTCATGGAGTACCTGGCTATCTTGGCTGGCGTTTGCCAAAGCCCCCAGGTCTGGACTGCTGGTCGCGGGGACGGGGAGCGACGAGACATCATCCCTAACGGAATTCAGGGGAAGAGTGACAGGGGGTTCGGGTGTATCTGAAGGCTGAGGCGGAATTGCAGCAGGAGGAGGAGGGGTTGCGGCCGGGTCTTCGGGCGTGGAGCCGACAGCGGAAGCTGGCCGTTCGTTTGGTACAGGTTTGGATGCAGGTTCGCCTTGGGGATTCATGAGAGGCCCGGAAGGCGTCGTGTTGCCGGTCGTGTTTGCAGGTGCGGCGTTTGCCTGAGAAGGTTTAGGTGCTGGGCGGGTATAGACCTCGGGGAAGAGGCCACTGTTCCCATTGCACAACTGTTTTCCCAAGAACCAGCCATCGCCAAATTCGTCGTCTGGTTCGAGGAGTTCAACTCGATCACCTTTGGCCAGGCTAAGTTCATCGGAGCTTCGGGCTTGGAAGTCATCTAGACGGAGAAGCGCCGAGGTCAGCGGGGAAGCCCGGAAGGGGAATATGAACAGGAAGTCACATTGTCAGCAGTGAAACTTACGGATAACAATGAGGATATCGCCAATCTCTGGGCGAGCCTGAGACTGGGCTTCGTTTGGCGGCTTTGCAGCCATTTCGGTGGCGAGGACGGTGAGTCGCGGCGAGGCGCGACAAGGGCAGCGCGAGCAGCGCAGGTAGCGCGGGGCGGCTTCCAAAGAAAGAGTAAGAACAAAGACCCGATATCGTAATGGCAGGATATAGGCGATGTTTTCCAAAGGAGTGTGCCCAGGTAATTAAGGATAGCTCTAAAGTAAGGGCGTTCAGAAGATGAGGGCGATGGCTGGAATTCCGTGGTTACCTTAGTAAAGAGACTTTGTCATCTTCCGGACAAAGTCGACAGGCTTTGGTAGCGAATGTTACTTTGACTAGCTGCCTCAGTAAAAATATACGTGCACCTGTCGGTATCGGATACCTTAGGAAAACCTGCCGGAGGATGCAATCTTCGGCAACTGTGTGAACTGGTTCGGGGGTCGTACGGAGTATGAAGTACAGATACTAAGGTAGCTAATAAGGTAGGTAAACACGAAGTATTACTGAGTAAAGACCACCTTAAACGGAAAGGTTCGTCAGCATTCACCCCCTGGAGGCTTGTTCACAAGAGGGACCTTTGTATCCGTCCATATATCCCCGTATTCTTACTCCGTACCCGTACCTGAATCAGGGTGTCGCCCTTTCAGTGTTGAGGATCCAGCTATCCGTGATTGGTGCGATGGCTTCCTCAAGGGATATGAAGAGCGTGGTTTGCTCCTATTGGTGGACTCTGTTAGGTAGCTATGTATTGTTTAATATCACGGGCTAAAGTCGGTCCGACGTTGTGACAGTGAGTACTACGGTAGGTACCTAGGTCATGAAGGTGAGCGGAGAGAAGCTGCTGAACTTGTATCTAAGTGATAGCGTTGTCTCTGGCTAATCGGACCGGTGCTTGGAGGGTGTCCCTTTTAACTTGATCTCCGCTTGTGACCGCGAGGTTTGTGGTGGATTAAGATGAAGACAGGGGGCGTTATGTCAGATGCATTGTAGGTATTAACCAGAGAAGACAGATCGTTGATTCGGAGGCAGTGTCCCATGCGCATATGAAGTATGCTACATGGTGTGATGACCAGTAGCTTATGTTGAACCTCAGCGATGCTGTATTGGTCAAGTAGAGTAAACTCGTGTGTTTGACAAGTGGGGGCTTCTCGCCCAGAGGTGTTCCCGTGAATCCCGTCATGATGCCCTATCACTAGCGGACCTTACTGAGTAAGGACAACATTTTAAGATGCGAGCTTCGGATAAAGACCCTAATCACGTACTCTGATCGTACGCAGTACGCTATCAACATCCTACGGAGTATCCGTAGCATGTGGAAGGGGAAGGAGACCAGCGTATAGCGTTGCTGGCTATTCATATGGTAAAGCGTTCGGTGGACCGTTGCGCGAGCAATCGAACGAGCTCCCGGTCTGTACGTACGGAGTAGATGTGAAATAGCACCTGAACGGGTTGTAGGTATTTATTCGTAACTGTCTCAGAAACCCCGCCCCGCGATAGAAGCAGAATCTCTTTGGCCACCCGCTATCAGGGCACTTTCGGATCCTGCACCGGATTTTCCGCTCCCCCAAAATCCAGTCGCTCATTGTCTAGGACGTGACGTCCGAGTATGGTACTGATATTAATGTCGTAGTTAAGAGGCTCCCTAGGCATTGGGCCGCGCCACCCTTCCACTACATTGCACTTGTGCTGCATTCTCCAACTTTCTTCCTTGTCAAAACCATCATCACGGCAACATATCCACATTCTGTTTAAGTGGGGTAGTTCTCAAGGTTGTTGTGCCTTAACTTCATCGTCAAGTCCGTTCCTTGCTCTTCCAAGTCTGATCGGCGTGGGGGTGAATTTCCGGTTCGTCGATGTACTTTCTCACCTCCTCCTTCCTTTTGTAGTCCGACTTGAACCTCCGATCTCTGTCCCCGACATACTTATCAAAGTCGAACTGGTCCCGCGCCGTGTAGCTCGTCATCAACTGAGGCTCACCCAAGGGTAGCTTGTCGCCCCGGTCCACCTGCCAGAGATGATAGATCTTTCCATATAGGCGTACGACTTCCTCCATCTCCTTATTCTCAGCAATCTCCCATACAGCATCCGGCACGGCGGGCTGTGGCATGATGAGCATGCCCGACTTGACCTCAAAGACGTGGCTGTGCCATAGTTTGCGTTCCTCCGGATCCAGGGTTTCGTACAGTCGCGGTGTGATCATGTACTCGATGCCGATGATGCGCGCGTTGCGCTCTGGGCTGTCATAGAGGATGCACTGGCGTACCTCGTCGTTGAGGTGGCCGCAATAATGGTTGGCTTCGACGACACGACTCGGGTCGGACGCATAGGCATGGAAGGCATTGAGATGAGCGCAGATGTTCCCAAGAGGAGCGAATTCCTGCACATGTCGTCTCAATTACAAACTTGTCTTTGTTGAACTTGAACCTTAGGGACCACTGTGAGACCTAGGTAGGTACTTACCTGCGTAGCTGCAGCTCCCGTTAGGAGGGTTTGGTTCTTTGCCGAAAGGGGCTCACCGGCCGTCTGGTCGTTTTGGGATACTGAAGCCATTGCTGGGGACTTTACAACTTCACAGAGCGAAGAATCCGTGGTTATACTTCGTGGAGAGATGTCATTCCGTCTGTCTGTCTGTCTGACTTTACGAAGTAGGTCTTTTGGGGGAGGCAGGCTTGTGTTTCCTCATCCATCTGGTCGAAACTACGTCATAGATGTTTAGCATGAGGGAGTTGAGATGCACTGCTTGTATCCGCATATACGTCTACCTCAATATATCCCAACATAATTACTTCGTACCTGCCCTGCTTGCATCCTACGGAGTTCCCTAAATTTATTGCAGGATGCGGAGGAAAGGAAAGAAAGTGACAAACACACCAGTAGGAGTAGCTTCTTCAAGACAAACAAAATCATAGGCACTGGCCATGATCATGGTCTTGAGTATATATTCCCCTACGAGTACCGAAGACATTAAGACACACCTATGCAGACAAGATACACCTAAGGTAAGGTACGCAGAAAGAGATGTCGGATGTCTTGACCCGGGAATTAAGTTTTTTTTTTTTCTTTTTTCTTTTTGCTGGAGCATGAATGAACGTAAAATACCAAAATAATAAACCACTAAAATAACACTAACTTAGAAATAAGGTAAGGTAACTTGAAAGGCGTGCTGTTTGAAGGTCGAGTGCTGCGACACTTTTGCGGACTCGTAGTTAATTTCGCCCTGATCCTTCCAGTTCAACCAATAAAGCACTCCATAAATGGTTCGAAGCAGTCTCCCTTTGAATTGGACCGAAACCCTTGCTTACCTCACTTCCAAGTAAGCGCTTAGTGGATTGGCCCCAAGTTAACTAAGCTACGGTAGGGAGTAATTACGGATGCACCACAGTACCTGCTCAGCACATCTGTGAGGTACCTTAAGGTAGGTAGGTATGTATAGAGTACTCGGGATGTTAAAGGTACCCGATTCCTAAGTTAATAATAAATGGAAGGCTACGAAGTATGAAGTACAACACCCTACGGTAGTCGAAAAACGCCTGCGTTTCCTTGCCTACCTTATCGACGCGTCTTCCATGCCTCTTGCCCTCCTGCGACGTTGCGGGGGCATCACAAACCAGCAGATAAACAGGAAACAGAGCAAAGTACATCCATCTGGCGAAGTGTCAGGCAGAATATGGGAACGAGTTTCCTTACTAGAACCGTCGCTCAGCTTCTTCACACCAGATAGGCTTCCACCAGTTCCAGATTATCCATGGTACGAGAAGATATCGCTTCCCATACTCATCCTCCGTTTGTTCTAAGAAGGGAGCTATTTTGTCGTCTCGCTGCGTCTCACTAACGGGGGTCAATACAGTCTCAACGACGTAGCCGAAGCCTCCCCCTTGTCGTGTTTCTCTCGGCCACGAGACCTTCCCCAGCATGAACCCCTCGGGGGAGCCCGGGAATCTGAATAAAGACACCCAGTTCAGAGCGGCGAATAAGACTGCGAACGCCTTTCTGGGTGCCCATTTTCTGCCGACATGGGCCTCTAAGGGCTCTAAGCGTGGGATTGAGGCTGTATCCACGGCCAATGGACAAATCGCACAACCTCGCCAAGCAAGGAAGAACCTCCATCGGGTGCCCGAACCCGGCGATGACATTATGATACGGAATCCTGTCCAGCCTGATAGCACCCAACAATGTCCAGATTCCGCCTCGTTAGAGAAAACTTCCGTACCACAGTCCACGCGCACTTCGCCTTCAACTGCGACTTGCGTTGCAAATAGATCCCAACACTCAACCTCGCCGGGCCCTACTGAACACCAAGTTGGAAGGTATGAGCTTCGAGACTGATCTTGTCTCGTATTTCTTACTTGGCTGCCCTGTAACATTTATCAGATGCTTGTCTGACCCCTGAGATCTCTAGGAAAGAACCGACAGTCTCTCTGCCCTCCGCTGCTCCCACGAACGAGTCTACCCAGGCGGTATCAAATCCGCAAGGCGTCCGTGACCAGACGGCGGCTTCTAGCGACAGCTCTGTTCACCTCAACCCCTCTGTTTCTCCTATCGTCACGAATGTGCCCCTCCACGAGCCATCGAACCAGCCCGGCCCCATCGAGCACGGCCTGCATGACACGCCCTCTGGGGACCGAGAAACTCCCGCGAGGAGGACCTCAACTCAGGTCCTATCCTCAGGCCCGGGGACCCCGCAAGTGTCAGATGCTAGTGTTCATGGTACAACCGGGGAGATACTCATCCCCGACCCTGCTTTGCTCGGAGGAGGTGATGTTTCCAGCAATCCCTCGGCAGCTCCGTCTCGAGTGAACCAGCTTGGGGCTACAGAGAGAGGCCAGATTCCTCCGCAAGACCCTCATCCATCCGCCATAGCTCCTCCACCTGCCTCTGCTCCGCCGCCATCTGCTCCCACTGTCTCTCCGTCTACACATCTACCACCTTCAACGGGGTTGCAACGAGGCGCCAACCGAACAGGTTCAGAAGCAGGCGAATGGGACAAATGGTCAATGCAGATCACTGAACGTGTCCGGCTTGTCTATCACACCCTGGTGGAGAGCAAGGATGTGTATACCATTCCAAGATACGGAATCTTGAAAAAAGCTTTGCAAAACAAAGATGCGGCTTTTATAGGAACTCACCAACTCTTTTGCACATGGACCCTGGAAGGGTCCATGGTGAGCATGCATCTCAACCTGGAAATGCCTGTGATAGTTTCTGCGTTCAACATCATTCAGGATGGCCTTGCACCCAACAACATGCGAGGAGAGGATCTGCTCTGGCTTGCACGTTTCCCCTACTCGTCTCCTCTTCACTGGATGCAATCTCCTTTTGTCCAAGGAAAATTTCTCACTTGGCTTTCCATCTTCCTGAACAATCTTGCGTCTCGGTGGCCAACCTTGGTTCGAGAAATTAGGGAGCGGCAGTATCCGCTCCTTGCTGAGGAGCTACGTGCTCTACTGCTTGTCAGATCACCTCTTCTTGAGGTGATTCTCTTCATAGCCAGTCGAACACATCTCGGCATCCCGAACGTCATGAATAATGCGATTGCGGCTCAAATGCTTCAACTCCATTATGAAGATGCTCAAAACTTCTCCTCGCCGGACCAGTCTAATCGAGACTCTTTTAAGGCAAGGCTCACAGCGGAATATTCGGGTTTGTATCGACGGCATCTCGACCTACAAAACCAGATGCCCCGAAAGTCTTTCCTCCGAGACAATTTTAACGCTCCGGACTTTTCTCAGACACAACCCTCCTTCCAGGGAGACTACCCAGCACTAAGGAACATGTCACACTCCGATCATATGGCTCAGGGGAGCCCATCGGCATCATCTGCTTTGCAGCATCATTCTTCCTTCGTACCGGCCATGCCCTATCACTACCCGGCAACACAGCCTCAGCACCTGCCGAATATGAATGGTCAATCTTCCCACCCAATGCCTACACCCATGCGCGTCAATTCCTCGGTAGGTCCTCGGCAAGGGCAGTACCAAGGCGCTCATCCTTCGACCGGTAGGAATTCAACAGCGTATGGAATGACACCCCAGGCAGGGGTCTCAATGTTTCCAACTGCTGTCAGCCACCCTCAACAATATTGTGCTCAAGGCCGACCTCTCCCTGCCGTGCATACGGCCCTAGATAGCACTGAGTCGTTGCCAAGGATCGCCGCCCACGCCCGCGGCATGCAGAATGGGTATGTGACCCTTCAAAGTCAGTCGTACGGCCACGGGTATCCAGTGAATCGTCCAGTTGTGTTTTCACAGAATCCAGCCCACCGGACGAGCTCCGTGTTGTACCAAACGAATCCCACCCAACAGGCGAGTGCTACCCAGCGTATGAATCAACTTCAGCTTCAAGCACAGCATCACGCCCAGCATCAAGCCCAGCAGACGAATCAGTCCCAGCAGACGCGAGGACAGGCGCAACCAGAGAACCAGCTTCCGACGGGACCCCCAGTCCAGCGTTCTCGCCTGTCCTCCCAGATACCTCTTGTGCTTTCTCCACTGTCTCGTTCCCCTTCCCAGACCATTCCGCCGGGGTCAGCGCCGCCTGCATCTGGGGTGCAGATGTTACAGTCCCCGCTCATGGCACAGCCCGATCAGCAACTCCCAGATGTCAGACTGTCGTCAATACGGCCAACGAGGGGGACTGGTCCATCTGGCCCAGCTCAGCATGATACGGTTCGAACGACACCAAGCCACATGCTTCTGCCACCGGCAAACTATCGGATAGGGCTAGATCGATACCCACCATCACCGTACACCCCCATGTCCTTTGCAGTGTCGCTTCACCAAGTGCAAGTCCATAGTCCGAGGCGTGCTCCTCAACGTCTTCCGGGAGCAGGAGTGCAAGAGCGGGACCAGGAGAGGCATTACCAATCCGTCAAGAGGCTCCTCGTCGGCCCGGTGAAGGCCAAACCTGTTCTTGTCATAAATGAGCTGGAGTTCACTTTGTCGGATCCAGATTCACAACCGCCGAGACTATCCACTCCTCAAACCAAAGCAGGCTGCTGGCTACCGGTGTGTGAGTACTCCGACGGCTCGTTGAGATATCGCCTGCGCATCTGCAAGTTCCAAAACCAGAATAACGGAAGTACCATATGCGAATCTGACTGGGTGGTGCAGCCGACTGACTGGCCTAAACATTTATTTGTCACGGTGAATGATATGGCGGCGGAAATTCGTCGCAAGACACACTATGGCCAAGACCAGCCCCTCGAACTGACGCCCTTTGTTCGGACCGGGACAAACAAGGTGCAAATCAGCATCACGAGCGACATGCCTCGAGATGGGGCCTATTTCATCGCTGTCGAGCTTGTGGAGACTCTCAGTCACGGCCATATAATGAACATGGTGCGCAAAGACGGGGTAATCCCGGTCGAGTCGACCAAGCTTGTGATCCAGAATCGCCTACAGCCGAAAAACGTCGCAGCCGAGGGGCGGTGCGATGACGACGACGACTTAGCCATCATGGGTAGCTCGGTGAGCATCGACCTGGCAGATCCGTTCGCGGCGAGCATGTTCACCATCCCGGCCCGTGGCGCGTCCTGTACTCACCTCGAATGTTTTGACTTGGAGATATGGCTTAACACGCGACCCAGCAAACCGATACCCTACCGCACGGAGCACTGTTTGTGCGATGCATGCGAGAACGAGAGAGGCCTGGGTCCAGAGCCTTCGCTCACGGACAAGTGGGGCTGCCCGCTGTGCGGCAAAGATGCTCGGCCGTATAGTCTCCGAATTGACAGCTTCCTGGCCGACCTTGGGGCAAATTTGAAAGCCACCGGCAAGGCCGGAACGAAGATGATTACCGTCGCCGCAGACGGTACATGGCAGGCGAAAGAAGAAACGGCCGAGGAGAGTGGCACGGAGAGCCCAGTTTCCGATAACGAGAGGCCCCAGAAGCGTATCAAATCCAGCTCCGGCAAGGTCGCTCGATCGGTTCTCGAAGTGATCGAGTTGGATTGAGACATCCGGCTTGTCGTCTCTCTCTCTCTATTTTTTTTCTTCCCTTTTTTGTCTCCATTTCATTTGCATTTCATTTACATTCCCCCCCTTTTTTTTCCTTTTTTTCCCTTTTTTCCCTTTTCTTGTCTTTCATCTTTGTTCATAAGGACAGGGATTTTTAGGGAGGGCTTTCAGGCGCTATCTTCAGATGTGGTTTTCTTGCTTTTTGTCGGTTGGGCGTTCGCTAAATCTGTGTCTTACGGTCTTTGATTCCGTGGACTTGACAGGTTGGGAAACGACTAGGACTGGGTAATAAGCTGAAGCGTAAAATACCCCTTTCTGTTATCGTACTTGGGTGTGTGGCTAGGCGTTTGGGATGGCTACCTTAAGGACAGGTTCACCGACTGATCAGGAGCGAGATACCCAAGGCATGGCTAAACAGAAACATTAAACGGAAGGGGGAGCAAGAATTTTTCTCGATCAATGCAGGTCTCCCAAACATTCCCGAGAAAATACACACAACAAAAAATAGATGATACCTATTTGACCCGGCTCTTTGCTATAATGATCAGCAGATGGAGTATGGAAGTGTCCCCAAGTTCAACTTCCGTCAGGACAGGTTAACATGAGAACACGGCCGGGCCGGACCGAACGGGCGAACAGACGAACTGGGCCTTCATTGGCCAACTCGTTCCCATGATTATCTATCTGGGTATGTGTCTGTCAGCATAGAAGACAAAGGTAATAACGTAGCCGGCTCATAAGTGAGTCGTGGCGGAGGATCCCATGATTCAATACAGAACGGTCCAAGTAGCGTTCCCCGGCCTCCTTGCACTGCCCCAAGTTGATGGCTCCCCGACGAGTTTCTGTATTCCCTTAATCGTTACAAGTTCTTATGGACACTTCGTGGTCGGGAGAGGTAGGTACCTTTAGGTACCTGAACTAATGAAGGTGGGAATGACATCAGACCCACCACATCGAGTATCTTTACGTAAGGTACCTTATGTCAGATACAGCGTAACCGTAAAATAACGTAGAAGAACAGTAATAGGGCACTCCACACGTCTAACACAATGTGGTATGTCACACCCCGATAAGTGTGTGGTGGCATCTGACAGAAATTAAGAAGGTACGTATAAAATATCACTGCTTATACCTCTATAGCCGGGACCCCGGTCAATATAAGTGGTTTATATATTAAAGAACCTGCCTCTGTATTTGTATATTTTACCTGCTGGATATCTATATATGCCTGCTATTTATACACACCCTATATTAAACTGTCTCTATTGTCCTTCCCTTCTGACCTCTGGGTGGAGGCCTCCATGGCCGACACTTGACGATATTGACCATTCGAACAGGCCAGGAGCCCATTCCAAGCTCTCTCCAATCTGGCCGTTGCAACACCGTTCTCGATCACAACAGAGTACGACCGACCCCAAGCGAGCCAGGTGGCCTGACATTACACGTCGCCCCACAACACGCGAAGCGACACGACGTGAGGTCGGAAGTCCCGACAAAAACTTGCGGCCATGTCAATACGAATTGCCCTCGACAACCAGCCCGAGTTATACACCAACCTAGATGTTATTCAAGGCCGCATTGTCCTTTCTCTGAATCGGGCTGAGCAAGTGGGCGGGATCGTCGTCAAACTTGAGGGCGAATGCAAGACGGCTCTCACTCTCTCCCCTACCCCTTTCGACCAACCCCACCGCCCGCAACAACCCCGCCTTCCCAGCGCCGGTCCTCCGGGCAGTGTCGTCGACGAGAGCCACAAGATCCTATACAAATTCCAACAAGTGTTTCCAACATACGAGGATGACGCTGCCAACAGCTCAGTTGGCGGGAGCTATGTGCTACAGGGTGGCCTCCACGAGTTCCCCTTCAGGTTCAAGTTACCTCTGAACAATATGTGTAGCGACCAGGCCGCCATGGCAAAAATGGGAGGGCTTGGCGGGATAGGCGGGTTCTCTGATGGAAGCGGCATCTTCGGTTTGGGAGGTATGCGCGTCATGGACGGAAGCAAGCAGCTCTTCCTTCAGCACATCACCAAGACGCTTCCCCCTTCCTTCACCAGTATGCCCGGCGCTGCCGAAGTCCGCTACTACCTCAAGGTCACTATCCAACGTCCTGGCCTCCTCAGAGAGAACTGGCGTTACCAGACCGGCTTCAAGTTCATGCCCGTCGAGCCACCTCGCCCGCCCCTGACGGGTGAGGAAGTATTCGCTCGTCGATCCTTCACTTTCTCACCTCGCGCATCTACCCCGACGTCCCCGGCACCCACACCCACTCCCACGCCCACGCCCACGCCGGCGAAGAAGCGGAGCCCGTTTTTCGGCTTTAATAAGGATAAAGCTCCCGCCCCTAACGGTGGCTCGCCCGCGTCTTCCTCGGATGCCGCTGTGGTACCCCCCTCCGTCGAGATCTCCGCCCGCCTACCCCATCCTTCTATCCTCACTTGCAACCAGCCCATCCCGCTACGTATTCTTGCGAAGAAGCTCCTTCCCTCCCACGAGCAAGTTTACATTACCTCCCTCCAGATCGAAGTCATTGGTAACATGACCCTGCGAGCCCACGAGATGCGTTACAGGCATTCCAACCGATGGATTGTGGTGAACCAGACGGACATGGCCATACCCGTGCTCCGCGATCCGAAGTCGGAGGACCTCGGCGTCGAGTCGGTCGTGCCGGATGACATCTGGCGCCAAATTCCCCTCCCCAACACCATCGGCCCTTCATTCACGACGTGCAACCTCCAGCGGACGCACGAGCTGGAACTCAAAATAGGGTTGAGTTGGGGGTTGCCGTCACCGTCCCGAAGCCTCCTCGGTCGCAACAAAGACCCCACGCCTCAGTCGATCTACCTGCCGTTGCACTTCTCCAAAGTCCAGGTCTATTCGGGCATCTCCCCTCCTGGTGGCCTCGCGACTTCGGCACAGGCGTCCGGTCAACTGAGTCCCGCGACGTCGGGAACGACCTCGGCCGTTCCCGTGGATCCGAGTAGGCCTCCGAGGTTACCCCCACGGACGAACACAAGCCAAAGTCTGTCTGCGCAGCCGCAGCCGCAGCCGCAAACCCAGTCGCAAGCCCAGCCGCAAACCCAGCCGCAAACCCAGCCGGCGCACGATCCATTATATCCTCCACAATTAGACCCTTCCGGGCCGTCGTCTCCTTACGACGACGCGCCTCCGAGTTACGACGAAGCCATGGCCGAGACGGCTACGGGGCCGTCCTCAGGTGGCCCTGCCAATGGCGACAAGGGGTAGTAAAATCGCCGCAGGAAAGCAAAATCAGAGATAGACAGTAACTCATTAGTCTAATAAACAATAATGAACGAAATAGGCTTAACTTGCCTATTAATACTGTATAACTACCACGGATATATATACTAAGGAAAATAATGAACAAAGTGGTACTAGCCCCTTAAAAAATGGTATACGGAGGTTAAATCCATCCTACAGACACCTAAAGTCAGGAGAGGCGTTTCTGGGGAGGTTAGCACAGAACGTATGTATCCCATGCTGTATCACTACCCTGCTCATTACCTTATTACCCTGTATCACCTGGGCACAGTGATCTTCGATCTATCTATCCCCACGTGTTTCTAGATAGAGTTCTTACTACGTACCTGGTACCTTAGTGAAATGTTTGTCTATCTAAATGTTTCTCAGTACCTTATATATGTATTGTCTCCGTACTTGTGACACATGCCGCTATTATCACGTCTAATAGAATCTGCCCACAAGTCTACCTCAGGGATGGTAAGCAAGGAACCCCCAAACTCCACGTTGAGGAAAAGGGGAAGAAGGACAACGCTGTGCAGCAACAACGCAAGAATAAACAATATTCAAAGGCCCTCTTTCGCGAGCATATCGGCAATGTCTAGATAAAACGCCACGGCGTTGAAGGTCCTCTTCCGCCCCGTCCAGAGGCGGCGGGCCTCCCAGCGGAGCCAGTTGGTCCAGTTGATGAGATCTAGGTGGGACACACCGACGAGGGTACCGCGGTATTCGCCCCAACGACTGCTCGCGACGCTGACGAGCCCATCGTTGGGCCCCTCGGCGTCGTTGACGACTTGCCAGCTCAATCGGAACGGGCTGAGGAGACCGGGAGGGTCCTCGGAGCGAACGCAGGCGCCGAAACTGAAGTAGCGAACTTCGGGGACGTCGGGGACGGAAGGATTGAAGTCTTGGGCGAGATAGCGCGGGGACAGCTGGGCGAAGGCGTCTCCGGACCCGGAACCGAGGGCGGGGCCGATGCGGGGGTACCAGGAGGACAGGCGGACGGGGCCGAGCATGTAGTCGGCGAAAGGACTGCCGCGGTGCGGGGTGGCGACGGTGACGAGGGAGGCGACGCGAAGGCGGGGCCGCAGGACGGAGATCATGTACCGGGCGTCCAGGCCGCCCATGGAGTGTGCTATGACATTGACAGGTTGGTCCGGGGGGATTTCGGCCTCGATGGAGGCGGCGAGCGCTTCGGCGCGTACGGCAATGGAGGCGGAGGCGGGCACAGTTGGGGTGACGATCTGGAGGGAGGGGGAGAGGGTCCGGAGGGCGCCGGTGATGCCGTGCCAGTAGTGTATTGGTGGTAGGAAGGGGAGGGGAAGACGGAGCTCCGAAAAGCCTAGGAGGCCGTGGGCTAGGACGATGGGGTATCGCGGGGCGGCTATTTTTTGTGTGGGTTCACGGGGTAGCTTGATTAGCCTTGACTTTGTCGAACGGTCGGGGCCTAGGCGGGGTAGTGATGGACGGGATGCCAATTGCGGGACCTGGCAAGGACAGGGGAGGACAGGAGAGGACAAGACAGAGAAACAAGCAGAGGGGAGAGGGTACAGTGCACGTACAGTAGCTATCCCTCAAGCGGGCATAGTCGTCGATAATCTGCCTCCCGGCATCTTTCAGCCTAGAATCGGTGGTTTCGGAATGACCCGACGATGACCTTTTCTGAGCCGACTGGTGCAGGCCTCTGCGCTGGCCGCATTGCGAGAACAGCCCCTGTCGCGGTAAGAGGAGCACAGGGAGAAGGGCGACTGTCTCCTGGCGGAATTGCAGGTGCGGTTGAACTGCCAAAGCAGCCGCGCTTAGCGCTCGTGTGAGTCTTGGGAGGGCCCTTTGGATGCCTGCCAGCATGGTTTGCGTGGGCTAGAAGGGGCTACGTGGCGGCCGACATAAAGGTTCTGCGTTTTTGGGACTAGGTGGTGAGTGAACGGTGACGTGGTGGATAACTGGTCAGAGCGGCCCAGGGGGGAAAGATGCATCCAATGTCGCTCTAGGCCAAAAGTTAATAGCCAAGACCCGCTAGGCTCACAGTAAAGACAAACCGTTGCCACGGTACGCGTTAATTAGCGGAATGTCAGCCGCGATAGCGCTAATCCGGGCAGGGTTCAGGCAACAAGGCAACTGCAGCTTGTGCGGGCTATATTGCGGGTAGTCACGGGACTACCGCCAGCAGCTAATCAGACAACAGGATTAGTGTAGTCAGATCTCCGACGATCTACGTTGTAGAAGAGGATTAAACTTATCTCTTTTCCTCTTCCACACACACACACAATATACGTGCTTGTCACACAGGCTATGGGTTGTGGGCTAGGTAGTTATAGCCTAGGTAGGTATCTGCAGGTGAGGGACGGGACACCCATGTCCACGTCAGGGTATCAGGGTCCCCACTATGACAAAAGTTGTCTCCTTTTGCAGGTGGGGCCTGCCGTCGGTGCCTGCTAACAAGACGGATTCCCCTCTCCATTCTCCAAGAAGCGAAGACGGAATATGCGACCCTGGCTGGTATCCAAGGTACGTTGTACTTCGCACGTTCCAGGTTGCAACGTACTTGGGCTGGAACAAAAAGAGCTACCGAGTTTTAAAGGAATCCGCATTCTGGTGGAAACTTTTCTATTTCCTTTTCTTTTTTTCTTTTGCTTCCAACAGGGCCCAAACACTTCTATCCACTGAACCACATACCGAAAGGTAGGCACACACATTCACTAACCTGCGAATTAAGCTGCATGCATACCTAGATAAACACATTAACACGAAAACGGCTCAGTCAATTAATTCCATCGAGTCTGCAGCTTCAGCGATGGCCTGCCATTTGTGAAGTGAGACATCTGTCACAGCGGTATGTGGGATGTCGGCAGTCCCTACACGTATTTCTTCCCCCATACGTTGCGAGTGTAGACGGCAACTGATCGTCAGCGGAACGATATCCGCGGGTCGATCTATTCCTCTTTTGAATCTCGATTGAGAAGATAACGAAAGAAACGGGAGAAACCAAACAAACGAAGGGGGCTAGCCACCGCAGGGGGACATCAGCCAGACGGCCGCCATATCATCCCTCATTGGTTAAACCACCCGTCTCTAAGCGCCCACCGGTGATCTTCAAGGTCGCGTGTATGCAACATTGCAACCCCCGACTGCGGCCTAATAAGTGGATAAAGTCCTCAACGGCCCATCTCATCTTTCGATTGGTGGTTTCAACGGGTTCAACATTGCCGATCCCTTGGCCGGTGACCGGGGGGAACCGATCCCTCGGGTCCGTTTCCCTCGCGCACCAACAGACAAACGTGACCTTTCTTCACCTTTTCACATCCTGTTCCCCCCTCCCCCAGTTATCTCCGCTCTCCCGTTTCCCCCCTCCGTCCCAAAAGAAACATCCATGATCCCCGTTCTTCTCTCCTTTTTGTCGGGCTGTGTATGCATACGTTGTAGGCATGCATGCGTCTTCTGCCTGCATGTCTCGGACTGACCCGAATCCTTGTTGATTGTTCTACGAAGTACGTACTGCAACAAGGACAAACTCCGACTGCTTTCTGGCCCTTTTTTTCTTTTCTTTTTTCCCCTCCCTTTTCCTTCCGTCTCCCGTCCCTTTAGCGTTTGGTCCCCATTTCACATCGGGCGCCCGTCATCCCTCCCGCCCCCCATGTCCGGGACTTGACTCGGCTCATCGCCAACAAACAAAAACAAGAGAAGCCAAATGCACCTCTTAGGACGCGTTCCGTATGTCGTTGGCTCTCGTGGTGTCGACTGTACCACCCACATACGCACACACGGCAGAACAATCCCATGCAAGTGGACGCACGCTATCAAGACCTGCCCCATCCCAAATGCGACCCCAAAAGCTTCCCACAGTGCTGGTTACTCGGCTCCTTTTCTCCCGGCCGATTCCCTCCATTTCCTCCATTTCCTCCATGTCCCTCCTCACCCTCCATGAACCATGAACGCATCCTAAGCGCCCCGCCCGCCCTATTATTCCATTTGTTCAATCCTGGTGATCCGTCCTGCTGGGCGACTTGGCCTCCAGCCCGCCCTCCACTCTCTCCCCCCCCCCACGGCCCGTGCCACCCCTTCTCTGCTGCAGTTTTACTGCCGAGGTCCCAAGAGTATATCATCACCAAGACCGCCGAGATCTTTTGCTACTTTCCCCCCTTCCGTTTCCTCTTCTTCCCCTTGCTGTTTTCGCCTCATGGACTAGTCACCTCGTCGGTTGTCGCCTGTCCCCAGTCCTCGTGTTAAACCGGACGCCATGGCAGGCGACTGTGCTCCAGAACACTGCCCGGTAAGAGGGGGCTTTTTCCTCTACCGGCCTTCCCAGCCCGGAAACGCCGTGCTGCTAGCCTTGTTCGCCCTCCTCGTTCCAGTCACCGTCGTCTTCGGCCACCGCTTCAAGACACCGTTGTTCGCATCCGCCTTGACCACGGGGCTCTTGCTCGAGGTCCTCGGCTTCGTTGGGCGCGTCCTACTCTTTCGCAATGTCGCCGACAGGAGCTATTTTGCCCTGTCCCTCGTTGGAACAGTCTTGGGGCCAACCTTCATTGCAGCCTCCCTCTTTCTCGTTCTGCCGCACGCCGTCTCATTATATGGGCCCAGAGCCTCCTCCATCAGGCCCAAGCACATCGGCCTAGGATTTGCAGGCCTGATACTGATCGCCGGCATCTTGGAAATCATCGGCGCTGTGTTTGCAGCTTTTGCCATTATAGGGGTATGCATGTGGAGTCGAGTGTCGAGACCGTCGCGAAACCCTTTTTTTTTGTTTCTTTTTTCTTTTACTGTTTGACTCGACTTGATGTGACATGACAAGCAAGGCAATAGTCAGGTTAGTTAACATAGACACCAGGCTACAGGGAGCACCGGAATCTTGGCCGCTGGCTTGGGACTTCAGGCCGCTGCGTTGATACTCTTCATCTTCACGCACCTCTGGCTCGCCATTAGTTTGAGCGGCGAACGAGAGAAGCTGGACCCAAAGCACGCCCGAGTTTATCGATCCTCTAGATTCAAGCACTTCTTGCTCGGTACGTCTTTCAAACTTTAAGAAACAAACATCCCTAGATGATGGGGCTTGATCGTTGTCAAGACTCAAAAGAATCAAGTGCCCTAACCATTCTCAATCTCTTTAGCCATACAAGTGGTAGCCGTCCTCCTCCTTGGCCACACAATATATCGGATCATCGAAACAGCAACCGGGATGGGCGGTCTCCTCTCTCAGCACGAAATCGCATTCATGCTCGTCAACGGCCTCGTCCCTCTTCTCGCCTGCATCATCCTCACCGCTTTCCCCCCAGGCGCCGCCTTCGGCACGGCATGGGGCTCAACTTCCCCTCGTTTCCGCTCCAAACATAACCTCCAGCCGTTACCCTTGCCTCTTCGCTCGCCCAAGTCTCCCTACGACCACCACTACCGAGACAGGCGCACCAGCCCCCTTCAACAGGCCGGCTTTTACAACACGTCTGAGAAACAACAGCAACAGCAGCAGCAGCAAGAGACCCCGACTTCGGCTGGGTCGATGCCTCTGCACGAGTCCACCATGGCCACAGCGATCCGAAACAACCCCGTGACACAGACGACGACGCAGCAGCCCACCCCCGTGGCCACGACACAGAAACACAGCCCCACGTACTGGAGGGAGCAACAATATCACCTACAGTACGGGAAGCCTAGCCCCACGTCCCCTCATTCGGTGAGCCAACAGTCGCCCTCGCAAAGCCCGACTTTCCCGACAGGAGGTCAACAGCAACAGCAGCACAGTCCTGGGTTGGCTTCGGAATACTCGCCATTTACTTCCTCGCGGAGGACGAGTATGAAGCCTCAGGCCACGCCGAAACAGTTGGTAGATAGTGACAGCTTATGGTGATGCTGCAGGCCTTGGCCATCGCTGCACCGCATCGCTGCACCGCACATGGCAGGGGTACGCATGGCAGGGGTACGCATGGCGGAAGAGAACTCCGGACGAGAGCAAACTTCTCGACAGTGACTCTTGTCCACTTTCTCGTTTATGTTATTTTGTTCCTTCTCCTTGGTGATTGGAAGCAACGCGCGCGTGTGGGTGGTTTCTTTATTTGCCTTTTTTCCTCTTTTTTTCTTCTTTTTTTCTTTTTTCTTCGCTGGCCTTTTCTTTCCTTCACTCAGAGATGAGACTGCTCAGGCGAGTCGGGAACGAATGACGGGGTGGGCGGCAAGGGTTTGACCTTTCCCGCGACTCTTGTGGGCGTTTTTCTGTTCTTGGTTATATATCAGGTCCGGTTTCTCACGATATCATCATCCCTCTTGCTTTAGTATATACCAGGTTCCAACGAGCTGAAATGGGCTGTAAGGTGGCTGTCTGCCCGGCATATCCGCATTCCTACACATATCTTTTTACTTAGATTACCTGATATTATCTACGAGGCGACGAACGGTGTTGTCGTGACTCGTCCCTCAACATGGACCTCAGACATTCATTACTGATCTACTCATGTCATCCTTGTCTCTTCTGAGACATTCTAAATTGGTTCACTGGCTATCCAACTCTCCCGTGTGGGGTGACGCTCAAATGTCATAACTAGGAACCGCGTGACTGACAGATGAGTTCGTACACATCTATCGCACTTTTTGCAATAGGTATTTCTTTCTTCTTCCCCCATCATGGACTTTGACAAAAGGATATTATAGCTAATCCTGCGAGGGCTTAGGGTAAAAGAGGACCAAACAACGAAAAAAATAAAATTGCAGTCACATGCAACACCTGGCATTCGCCGGTCGTCACCGACCCGACTACTACTCTGGCCCTCACTGGTTTATCTATGAGAGAGCGGACGGGATCTCGAGTTTTCCGGTGGGTATGGTCGCATGTGTCAGCCATATGTTGTCAGTCAGTTTATCAAGTTTCAGCCCCAGCGTTCCAACCCCTGGTGTGTGCTAACGGACTGGCCTCCAGGCTCATAAGGATTCCCCTGAATCTCAGTCGGGTCCCTGTTCGTCATACCATGGCAGTTCTATTCATTCTCTCAACATTCTTTGCGCTTTATGAAGGCAGAGGCCAAACTAACCCGCCTTTCATTCCAAAGACCCAAACTTCATCTAAAACATCTCTCTCTCTGTTCTTCTTTATCCCTTGGTGGAACAGTCTCCCTCCCTAAGCACCACATATCCTGTATTCTAGACTCCAGCTCAAAAGCTATAATCATGGTCCTTTGTTGCCAGGATCAACAAACAAGCGCGTTTCTAAAAGTCGCACAAACAAAAGACTTCCATTCCCTCCTTCAAGCTATATAACACAACTTTACCCAATGCAGGCTCACCCTGCCAAGGCGAGTTTGCATGTCACAACCCGTTTGCAGCCATATCAAACCACCCATCCCAGGGTCAAACCAACAAGAGAAAACCCATCCCTTGCTTAATGCGTGGCAATGGGACAACAGAACAACAGCAACACTATGCAGGAACCCAACCAGAAATCCCTGCCCAGGCAATCCGCTTTGCACTGCACTCGCTCCCGGAAAGCCACTGTCTCCGCATCCATCAACACCTCCCTCCTTCGGTGCCATGCGACACTACAACTCGCCCGCAGCAGTAGTGTCTCCTCCCCATCCGTCACCCCCCTTCCCCCATCCGGGCTAGCGGGGACCTCCGCCTCAGAAGACCAGGATCGGCGCGACATCCACCTGTCGGCCCTCTGCCACGCAGACGACGCCCTAGCCACGGCGCTGGCTTTCAACCTGCATCAGGCACGCGCCCGTGCGTATCTCTTCAGGGGACACTCCCTTGTCCGTCTCGGAGAGTGGGAGCGAGCTCACGGGGCTTATGTGCGGGCCGCGAGTGTCATGGGGCCTGGCTGGAGAGATGCGGACATTGAAGGGTTGACGAGGAGGTGCTTGTGCGAAATGGGCTGCATCCCCCAGGAAGTGGGGCCGAACGACGTGCGAGGGCGTCGAGGGCGTCGAGCTGCGGGAAAACCGACCCTGCCTGGCGAGACTTGCATAGGGCCTTCTTGCCAGGGGGGCAGCGAGGGCAACAACAGGCAAGGGGACAAAGGCACTACCCGAGATGCCACCAAGGGAGACGGTGGCAGACGGGCAAGGGGTAAGGTGAGGCTCGATTCTGGTGAAAGCATGCCGGAGTTGTGGTTGTTTCATGGTTCTGCCCATCATGGCGACAAAGAACTACGAAAATCACGAGGAGAGCAGCACCGGAAAATCAACAGGGGTACCTGTTGTGACAGAGACGAGTTGAGACCCCATGCTAACCTTCGTAAAGATATTGCACTGAACGAAGACGGGGAGTTTCTCGTTCGGCTGCAGGACGGGACGGTCGTGGCTGTTTCACGGAAACGACCCATTTTGAGACGGGTTACCGCGATGCGGGAAATGCATCAGAAGACCAGAGTGCCTAGACAAAGGGAGATCCAGGGGGAGACCGAAAATAGCTCCCATGACGCCTTGTGCTTGGGGGTTTGGGCCGCCGTGAAGCGTCGGCCCCCAAAACGTGTGCCCATATAGAGAAATAGGGCAGGGGGCTCGGCGTGGTTGGGTAGAACCTTGACATCAAAGGGTTCGAGTTTACGAGCATCGGTTTCTTTGTTCCCTGAATAGGACACCCCATGGTCGTCCTCGAGACTAGCCGAAGTCTGGATGTTTCTTTGTTGGTGAAAAGAAACTGCAATGTGCTCTCCTTTGTCCTCTGGGTGCGAAAGTCAATGTTGTTTGTCCGGATCCGCCAAGATGGGGATGGCTATTGACAGCAATGGATATGAACGTCCCTTCAAATTCAGCGCAGGGCCCGACATTATCTTCTTCCTGAAATCACATCGGTGATTTATCGATGACACCTCAAAGCAACAAGACTGCCCCATTCGAACTCGTCCTATCTTAACAGTAAAAATCATCATTCACTACAGTGAAAATTTAGTTTCGGGAGCGGTTCAGAGCAGTCCAGATGTCGGAAGATGCTACAGGAGGAGTCGGGGCGGGCGGCCAAAATGTCCCTGCTGGTCAAGGCAAGGGAGCCCAGGACCGCCTCAAGATGTTTGCGCCTCCCGATCCCATGCCGGAATCCGAAAAGGCAAGAACCATCCAAGAATACGAAGACAGCTTCGCCGACGTCATACACGAGTGCGACGATACCCCAACGGATGCAAAGCGAGTGCACTTCCTCGACCCCGAGAAAGGCCGCGACCTGAACCCTGAGGAACGCGCCACCGCTCGCGTTCGAGCTATAGAAACCTCCATAGGCCAGCGACTCTCCGAAGAAGACGTGGGAAGCATCTTGGATTACGCGATGACAAACGACGGCATGGTCGAAAGACTGCGGGAGTGGGCGCAGGGCCGTGACGAAGTCCCCACTGTCTTCTTGAACCAGCTCCTTGAACGCCTCCAGACGGTGACCTACGACGCAGTAATCGAAGAGGCACGTCTTCGCGACGTGATGCGCCGCGACCACGACCAGATGCAGACTCGTCTGGACCAGTGCGAGGAAACCTGCGCCAAGGAGCGCGAAGATGTCAAGGTGGCAGCGCGGACGCAGCTGACAACCGTACACATCAAGAACATCGTGACGCGCATGAACAGCGTGGCGAGGGCACAAGACAGCATCATGCGGGACGAGAGTCCAGCCCCGGGCGAGGACGAAGCTTCCGCCAAGATGGCCAACGAGAAGGCTGCGGCGGAGTGGAAGGAGGCCTATGACGAGGTGGTGCGCGCCGTCACCGAGCGTCAAAGATCCGATGACGCCGTCGACGGAGCGACAGAAGACGAAACGCTGGCGAAACTAAACGTCCTAAGGGATGCAGATGAGCAGCTAGAGATTGCGATCGACAAACTCCGGGACCTCGCGCGAACCAGACACCGCGACTACCTACTGCAAGCTCGCGGTAGGGGCAGTCCGAAACAGCACCAACTCGAACAAAAACACGCCCAACTCCTACAGGACCAGCAATCCCTAAAAGAACTATGGCAGTCACTGGTTACACTGGCCTCCCAAAGAGAGTCCACTCGGGCGGAGCGGCGGGAGATGAAAAGACAGCAGTCGAGACCTACGGAGACACAGGTCCAGAGCTTCGTCCAGTCCAGGAAGTTGGTGGAAACGAAAAGGGAATGTGCGCGCCTGAAGCGCCAGCTTTCTGAACGGGAGCTCCAGGTGGCAATGCTCGAGAAAACGATCGGCGGATTCAGAAACGACGATATCGAAGCTGCGGTCAAGAGCGTGCGGATATACAGGGGCCTCGTCGAAGCCGAACTGCGGAACCGGTGGTACGACAAGGCCGGTCGTCTCGACTCTCACTTCAAGACGGCGGGGAGGCTCAATAGGTCCTTTGAGGGAATTCGACAAACTCTCGACGCGCTCGACCCAGACAGTGGTATCGAACACGATCTGAAAGAACTCCAAACCAAGACAGCACGAATCTCGACCGGTCTTGTAGGAGTCACGTCGGGCATCGGCCAGCTCGTGGCCGAATTCCAGGACCTGGGACATCTGATCCACGACGATGGCCGAAAGCTGTGGAACGAGGCCGACAGCAGGGCCACGACGGCAGTGAAGGATCGTCAAATTGCGGAGCTGGAGCGCAAGGTAGAGAGGCTGGAGGCCAGAGGACTCGGCATATCAGACAGCGAGGGCATCAGGAAGGTGCTTGAATCCGAATCTGGGCAGAGGGAGCGCAGCAACCAACTTGCGGATAGGTACGAGAAAACGATGCTGGAGCTTCAGAATAAGCAACAGCAACTTGAGGCGGAGCAGCGCGACAAGGAGAGTTTAGAGGAACATGTTCACTCGCTGCAGGCGATGCTCGGCCAACCGTCCGAGCTCACGGAGGAACTCGAGCGACACAGGAGGCGTTGCCTCGACGAGGAGCAGAGAGCCAACGACGCCGAGGACCGGGTGGAGGGGCTAAAGAAAACGCTGGAGGAACTCAGCACGCAACTTCTGGAGCTGCGTGCGGCCAAGGCTGCGATGACAGGTGGGGAGGAGATCCGATACGGCCAGGCCCTCGAAGTACCCGCAGCAGACGTGGAGCTCATAAAGGAGCTCCAGAATAAAGACAAACAGATACGAATGATGACGAACAACCAGGCCGAAAGCGAGAAAACATTGCGGGAGAAGTTGAGAGTCTTGCAGGAGGAGATCCGTCGGCTGATGAAAGCAAACAAGATGGGGAAGGAACGAGAGAGCAAACTGGAAGCGGAACTGGCGGACTGTGAAGACGAGCTCTCCGAGCTCAAAGTGAAGGCGTTGTCGTGGCACACGGCAGCACCGGCTGACGTCGACGAGGTGACACTTAAACAACGGGTTCACGAGGAATTCGGCATCAACTTGGACGAGGCGGTCGAGAATTTGGAGGACGCCAAAGCGAGATGGAAGGAGTTGTACTCGGAATGGGAAAGCTGCTGCCAGGAGCGAGACGGTCTGCAAGAGGAGCTGGTGGAAGTCAAAGAGGCGCTGGCGCGGCAAGAGAAGCTTTGCACGGATCTGCTCGGAGGAAACGGCGGGCTCCGGCGCGAGCTCATGGAGACAGACCGCAGCAGGGACCGACTCCGGTCTCTCGAAACGGACGAACTCGAGCGGTACAAACGAATTGTAGCGGCAACCAAGGACCACGTGGACCGGATCCTGGACAGGAGAGCTCGGGGCGAGGATGGTATTGAAGGTATATGGCGGCCTGGAGAGCGGAAGACAGTTCCCGACGTGCTGGAGATATTCTCACAGCAGAAGTCCACAGAGGCCTATGAGGACGATGAGGGGAATGTCCGGCAACTCAGCACGAACGAGATGAACGCTTACTGGAAGTTGCTGCGGTTCCTGGAGTTGCGGCGGTACGTAACTTGGGCGCTCGAGCAGCGAGACTTCGGCAGGATGAGATCGCAACTCGACAGGCTCGAGCGGTGGTTCACAGATTCGGGGAACTGGCACGAGTACTATACCAGGTCGAGCATCGAAGTCTGTCTCGCGTATCTCTGGGCGACCCTTCATGTCCTAGAGGCGCAAGAAATGTACCTGCAGAGACTACCGGACTGGGACCGTTCGGCGGACATGGCGAGGGACAGGTTGAAAGAGGGGGAGGAGCTGGAAGAACAAGATGCAGCGGAGATGGGAACGCAGAACAACGCAGAACCGCTTGTTGTCTCTCTCAAGGGCTGGCTCGACGAACAGCTGAAGACCGTCTTCAACAAGAGGCACGAGTTTTTGTTGCCGTCGAAGCCCAGCTGCGCTTGCAGGGTCCGACCTGCATTCTGTCGTATGCACCGGGATCCGAGTGCGAGAAAGAACACTCGATTCTACCATCTCGCCCAGGTGAAAGGCGCGAGAGCCGATCTGCTGTTTCAGGAACCAGTCGCGAAAGATCTGGAGCCGTTCAATGCTGCGATCTAACCTTCATGCGAAAGGGGTTCGGATGTTCCGTCCCGCCTCAGCTTTTTGTTTTCTTTTGTTCGTTCGTTTCCCCCCCCTGTCATGTCATGTTAGACAAGAGAAGATGCCGTTGATGTGGGCAATGAGAGGCGGCTGCAGCCTGTCATGCCATTATTTCGGTATATAGACTCGAATATGTTACAAATGAGGATCACTTCGAGTAGCATGATTTGAAGAGGTGCTCTTTATGGAAGATTTGGTGGCCCGACTGCTGAGTGTCCTTCATTTGGTCATCGGAAACGGGTTGAGGTTGAGGTTGAGGTTGAGTTTCGAGGAGGGAAGTTGGTGATGTTATTATGAAAATGAAAATGGGGGATTGGAATTACCTTAGTTCACTAATCACGGAAGTCCTTTCCGGGAAATCGTTTTGCCGAATCAGTTTTATCAGACATCTTAGCTAATATTAGAGTAATACACGCAACGTGACATGGCCCGTGTGTTTAAAGACCGCCCCCTCCACTCACTCCACTTCCTTTTATCAACGACAAGAAGCTGCGTTGCTCTGTCCACCAACACGCACAGAAGAGCTTGTAAAACCTACGGATACGTTCAAATCTTCCCCTACACGGTGTGGGAATGTCTTCCGGTCGTCCGTGTCCGGGTCTATGTTGTTTCGGGACTTTCGACCAATAGAGGGGGAAGGGGGGTTTTCACCTCGACATGCCATTCCATCATGATGCACGATATAGTCGGCTGGTTTCATATCCCGACCCCCGAATATCGAATGATTACTGGGCGATATTCTATTGACACGTCGCATTTCGCATTTACCTCTATCTTTCAAAGTATGGATACCCGTCACTCTCCCTCCCATTCGTGCCAAAGACATTTGTCGGCATCGTGGAGCCAGTCGGAGAAGCTACTACCTCCATGACGCACTGTTCCCATGTCTGTCCTCCGTTCGTCCCCTTCGTCTTATCTTCTATTTTCGCCCTCATATTGCTCCTTTCGTCCCTTCTCCTCCAGTTGATTGCTTTTGCCGGTCGACTGGCTTTTCTGGAACAACATGCCACGTCGCCCACTCGCAAAGTGACTGGTATGTGTACTTTGGGGTGTGGGAAGCACTTAGGTGCCTCGCCTTGGGAATCACAACCATCCATCTCATTGTGCGGATGCGAATGTACCGATACTACTCCCCGCACTCTGGTTGGGGCGAGCGGACGGATCAGGATCCGGATGCGGATCCTGGACGAAGAGTTACATGTGTACTTCCTACAGGAAAGAGCAAGGAAAACGAAGATCCTTCCCCCTTCTATTCCTCTCCCAATAACACAACTACCGAGGGGGAAAAAAGAAAGAAAGAAAAGCAGAGACAAAAAGGGTAAATCCGGTCCCGAAAACTAACTCGATTCGCCAAGACGCGGAACGCTAGGCCCCTAGGCCTTAAATCGAATCGAAGCATGTGGCATTTCCACCGACTGCAACCTTACCGCTAGTTATTGCGCGCTTATATGAGCCGCAGATGAATCAAGCACCTGACCATCATCTTGGACCCATCCCTGTCACACAATAGGGACAGAATCAATCCACATCTTTCTTCTACGAAGTACTCGTTCTACTCCGTAACGTAGTCGAGTATCGCGACAACGAGGAGACCTCGCTCAACGGGTCGAATGACAGTGGAGATCTGCCCCTCGCAAAGTCCGGTCCGTGGGTGCTGCCGTCTTGGGCAGCCTTGGTCGGGGAGGGCATAGGAGTAGAGCCGAACGCTCCAAGCCGGGTCCCCCCCCCTGTGTCCGTGCTCCGGACACTCTGGGTAATCTTCCCCACGGCAGGGGGACTGCTTCTGGGACTGCCGTGGCAGGGGTATTGCACGGAACCATGGCTCTGTCCTCCGCTGCTTTCTATCTGGATTCCGGGGGTGTGAACTGATCTTCTGCATGACGACGACGAGCAACCTGCTTTGTCAAGATGACCAAAGCAAGCATCTACGAATATCCGTCCGAATAGGTAATAAACATCCAATCGTCAACGTGGGGACTTTTGCTCGTGGGAGGGCATGAGGGACATTGTACGGGTAATTACAACGTACTTCGGACGATGCACGTACATTTACTTCGTACAGGATATTCTACAGACACCCCGACACTCACACGACCCGTTGATTCAAACCCCTGACAGATCTCCCACCCCCAACATACGGAGTACACGATTCACGATTCGTCTTTTGCCTAGACGTCACCTCGCCCGTACCCGTACGCCGGCACCTAGGTACTTGCCCAGCACCGTTCTCCCGCTGTCGCCGCTATCACTTTGGTCGATTGTTTGGTTCTTCGATGAGCTGCTGCGGCCGGCACTTGTTCAATGGATGACTGTTCGATCAATCAGCATGGGTTAGCTGGGTATTGTTCTTAGCTGCTGGGACTATGGGTATGGACGGCATGGCCATCCATCTGGGGAACATCCTGGGTTCACCTGGGACAGGTTCCTGGCTTGTCGTTGTCCCCTGGTGCACGCCGTTGCACTCTACGGTCGAATTAATTACTTCGTACCTCGGTTGTCTGACCATCCGAAGAACAAATCCCACCCCCTTTCCTCTCTTTTTATCATTAGATTCATTGGACTCCCCATGAGCAATCAGGATAACGGTTATAGGTGTTGATGAAACCACGACCGTGTGGGTCGAATATTCGTCTCGCTCGGCACAGCCTTGATACTCTCCCCCGTATTCTCTCTTCTCCCCTCTGTCGCCTCGCCTCTCCTCTCAGCCTCTCCCCTCTCTGTGTGTGCGTGTTATACACCAGCCACGCAGGAACGGGAAACGTCACTGAAGGGGTGTCGGTGTCCTATGTCCTATGGTGGTGACGGTTCTCCTGCCGCATCTTGTCAGAACATTCGCGAAACCGGCTCGTGTTCCGTAAGGGACCTCATTGACATGAATCATAAGCGGATAGGCGGGAGAACAGACAGAACAGACCGGTGAGAGGATCACAGCCATGCGTCTTCTGATCAGACAGAGCGGCCTTTCTCATCACATGTATGCAGGCTCTCAGGGACCGATGGCCTCGACCCGAGTCGTCCCAAGCCCCAGGCTCTTTTCTTTTTCCCCCCCCGCCCCCCCAACAAGAAGATATTCGATGTGACCTCACGAGGGACGACGGTAACTGTAAAGCGCTGACGGAGTGCAACGCTATGATTTCCTTGACATGCGTATATTGTGTGTCATCCCATATCCCCCCTCGCCCACAATCACCTTGCATATTCATATTCAATCGCAACGGAGCATATGCGGGATGCGTAAATTAATTCCTTACATACCTTAGCTAACCCGTACTTGCGACCACCTACTAGGTACCTACCTTGCCTTGCTCCTGCCTTACTCCCTTGCCCCTGCCTCCTGCCTTCCGGTCCCCATCTCTTGCCGTTGACTGCGTACCTACCTTACAGTTGCTACCTTACTTGGATGTCATCTATCCTGCGTCTCGGGGGCATAATATATAATGGATATATATCTCTCCTCTCCCTCGTGTCATCCACCTACCTTATCCAAAGGTCATACCATTTCAACCACGCACGCCCGTCCAACTGTTTACCTCTTATCTAACATCTCTCCATCTGCCACTTTATATTCTCTCTCGTATATACACACATACAGCCATTTGACCGTACCTCAGAGACCCCTTCTTGGATCGAAGTCAGCTCATCAAAGGCTGCAATACCTCCATAATATCCGCCTCGGTCTACGCTGTCTCAATACCAATCAGTAGTCCATTCGTGGATCGATCCATACCTCCCGGCAGAAAAACCGTATACCTCCCAGAACTGGTCAAGCGGCTGAATATTCAATATAGGATGGCCGGCCCAAGAGCAGGGGGCGGCGGCCCATCGCAGTTCCCTAAGGAATATGCGGCTAGACAGGCACTGAATCGGGAGGCAACCATTTACTTTGCGGCTGCGATGGCTGGGCTCATTGGGATAGTTACCATCTTTCATCTGATCCGGGTGGTTGGGCGGAGAGGCAGTCTTGCCTCAGCGCCCACAGTTCTCGCCAGTCCGTTCTTCTATACTTCACGGTGAGTGCGGCTCCTTCTTCGGAGCCTTGTACGTCCCTATGACGCGGGAGGGTTTTGCTAATCAAAAGGCTTTACTATTTCTTGCACTCAGGGTACTAAGGAATGTCCTTATTCGTAAGGTGCCCGGCCTTCCCTCGGCTGGTCATGCTGGTTTGGCGGTCGCATACGTTACACTCAATATAGTGCTGACCTTCACCCATCTTCTGGATGATCCTGTCATGTCATTGAAGTCGAACGTGGCCGCCAGGACGGGTTGGTAAGTTCACCACTCTCCCGCTGCAGTACTCTTTGAGTCTTTCCCTGGCCGGTAGGAGGCCCTTAGAAGACTAACCGTATTTCTCGCTCGTCCCCAGGCTTTCTCTCGCTAATATCTGTCTCGCCATCTTCCTCGGCATGAAGAACACCCCCTTGGGCTTTCTGACAACATGGTCCTATGAGCGCCTCAACTCCATACACCAGGTAGTCGGGTACACGACCATGGCCCTGGTCATCATCCACGCTGCGGCGTACACCGATTACTTCGCCGATAGTGGGAACTGGGCTCGCCTACGGGTGATCGACGAGATCTACGGTATTGTTGCAGGATTCACCATGCTCACTCTGGTTGTTGTGGGGTTTACCATCCGCCGCCGGTATTATGAGCTCTTCTACCTGATCCACGTGTCATTTTTCGTTCTGTCCATGGTTTTCATCGGCCTCCATCAGCCCGATATCCCGAAGCAAATCTTCGCCATCACGGCGGCGGGAGCCGGCATCTGGGTTTTCGATCGAATCGTACGGATCTTCCGAGTCACCTGGTATAGCTTCAACAACAAGGCGACAGTCCACCCTCTTCCCCACGGTGGCACTCGCATCGTCTTGCGCAAGCCACCCAAGGGGGCACGGTCGGGCGAGCATTGCTTCCTGTGGATACCCAAGATCAGGCTGCTCGAGATGCATCCGTTCACAATCGCGGCCATGGACCCCTTGGAGTTCGTCATCGCTTCGTATGATGGGTTTACGTCGGACCTCCATAAGTTTGCCAAGGCGAATCCGGGTGCAACCATCAGAGCTTCTGTCGAAGGCTCTTACGGCTCCTTCCCGGATCCTGCCGCTTACGACAAGGTGGTGCTTATTGCCGGGGGGAGCGGTGCCAGTTTCACGGTCGGCATGGCACTCAACATGCTCAAGAGGCTCAAGCCCAGATCTCAGCAGAGAATTGAATTTGTTTGGATGGTCAAGGATTGTGGTATGATTCCCTTGTTTAAAACCCTTCATCTCTACTTCAGTTTCTTCTTTTGAATGTTTGGCCATCTCACTAACTTGGCCCCCTTTTTTCCACTCGCATATAGATCACTTTGATTGGTTTTCTGGTCATCTCTCAACCATTCGACATACACTGAATGGATCCATCTCCCTCTTCGTGACGCGGTCACCCCAGCCCAATATGACCATGACAAGCACCACCCTGGCTCAAGTTGATCTGCCCAACTCAGCGGCATCATATACTCCTGATAGTGCTCCTGGCTCACCTATAGACCTCGAGGAGAAGTATCCTCTGCCCCTTGAGCGCCCTGCCGGTGCTTTCTTTCGCCACGTCTCCGATCCCGAGAAGTCAGGCGCCGAGACGGATTTCTCGTCTCCAGTCTCTGCTTTATCCGTGTCGCCGTCGATACCGTATTTGCAACCCCCAAGAGCCGCGGGCCAGAGCCACCTACATGGTATCCCCATCACGTACGGGCGGCCTGACGTGTCAGAAATCGTCAAGAAGGCCATTGACGGCACACCAGTCAATCAGCGGGTATTGGTCATGTGCTGTGGACCCGATGGTCTGACGACGGAGGTACGAAACACGACGGCACGGAATATAAGCCGTAAGGGCCCGGCCGTGGAGCTTCACTGCGAGCAGTTTGGTTGGTGATGGGCATTTGCATAGCGGGCACTGGGTATTCTCCATGACACGTTTGAAAATGATAACTTGGTTCTCTTTCTCTTTACTTTCTCCGAAACCATTTTGCGTTCAAGTGTATATGGAGCGATCGTAACTATGCGACTGATGCTTCAACCATCCCCCCTTTTTTTTTCTGGTTCAACCTCTCCCTACTCTTCCGACGCGGCTTGACTTCAGCAATGGGTTTAGGAAGCACTTCCGGTAGCCACAACCGACTGTAGCCTTCCGGTTCTCTTAGCTGTTCGCCCTATGTCTCGTCTGAGATGGATTGCCGAAAAGAGTAGTCGACGAGTTGTCCCTAACCCCACGCAAACTTCCTGATACCACCCCACACCACCCCACACCACCCACATAGCGAAGCACAAAGACCTCTCATCACGATGACGGCGGCTGGCCGGCCCGTTACATAGGCATGCTCTCAACCAAGGCAGGGCGGGATTGTACCGACTGGACGGGCACACACAGGCACACGCACACGCACCCCCCACTACCACACTGACACACTACGCAATACTTCGTACCTACGGACACACCAGACCAGAAACACAACTACCGCCCATGTTCTCCGCATTCGTCCCTTACTCAGATGCTTCAGAATCTCGCGTGTGGCGCTCCCATGATCTACGCTTGAGACGGATCTTTTCCATTTCAGACAGTCCTGACACCTGGGGAAGTACAACACGAGGACAAACAGCGAACAAACCAGTTAGGGACGACAAGCTCAACGGGCTCCTTGGTTACTTGGAGCTTTTGGTTCCGGGATGTTTAGACGTCAGCGCATTTGCCGGTTTAGGGAGGTGTGATCCAAAATACGGGTGGAAGAGAAGGGGCTGATGACGGTTCAGGTATGGCAGGTAAAATATGCTGGGACATAGCTGGGCTGGTCCAGGACTTGAGCTGAGGTGAGGCAAGGTGAGATCGACGATGCAGATGCTGATTGTGATGTATTTCGTACGAAATACGACGTACTGTGGGAAGTGTGATGCGAACATGTTGCGAAGGCACGATATTTCTCCCGGTTAAAAATACGATTCTTCGCTCCCGGAAGCGAGTCCCCTGGGCCGGAAGACGGTGCCACACGCAGACACAACGCCATCATCATCAGCATTAACCTTCTATTTTTCTTCCCCTTGTTTTTATTCTTTGCCTTTCTCTCTTCTTTCCTGCCGTTCCCCTCGAAACGAAGAGGCCTCTCGTGATATGACAAAGCTTTGAATAAACTTACATCACGATGCACTACGCCCCTGCGCTTACGTCCTCCACTTTCAACCACAACCCCGGCTTGTACGGTTCGGTTCCTTCCGGGGAAGGCGTCGCATATTATTCCCCACAACGGCATATGTGTTGCGGAAGCTAGGAATTAAGGATGCCCATGACACACCACTTTGTCAGCGCAGAAGATTCGGCATGGTAGGGCGGCGTTCAAGTTGCCCCGATCCCGAGCCAAGTCGGCGGTTTCAGGACCGGGCGACCTAAACGTCCTGTTTCTAGCTGTCGTCCCGAATTCAAAGACACGAATGGGGGAAGGGGGGGGTGGACAAGGAAAAGGAAAGGGAAAAGGAAAAAGGGGGAGGGGGGAAACAGGCAGGGGAGTGTGAAAGAAAGGCAGCACGAACACGGATACCAAGCAGTAAGCTTTCGACGGCCTGGGCCTATCTCCTATCCCCTCCCCTACCGGCATTCCACTTGCTGTGATTCAACTTGCCTGTGCTGCTGCTTTTGATTCTGCCTTTCCGCCTGTACAAATTTACGACAAGTGGGATAGAAAATCACGACGAGCGAGACTTAGATGTTTAAAGTACGGGATAGACGAGATGCGTTGGCTGGCACTTGAAAGAAGAATATATCCATTTTGTTCGCGACAACAAGCATTTTTGACACTTCTGGTAGCGAGTAGGCGGTAAATGGAAGACGACGTCCCTACCTTACCCAGGGAGTCGGTGCTTCTTCTGTTGTACTGGCGTACCTTGCGTTGTACGGAGCCTTGTCACACGGGGGAACTCAACAAGGCGATGGATGCCAAGCTTCTTGTTTGCTTTCCTTCCTTTCTCCTCTTTTTTCCCCTCCCCGGAAATGGCTACTCGTTCTGGTTCAGATCGCGGCCGACGTCGTTCCGTGTACGTTGTAATTAATACACCGCCACGGACCACGTACCGTTCCATTTGAAGGTCTCCAAGCCGACGGCCAAATCGTCGAATCTTGGCCCGAGGACTATACCACACGATGTGGCCTTCGTGGCCTTCCTTCAGACATGGATCGCCTTACAAACATCTTACTAAATACAATTCGGCATTCCTCTCTCGGTTTTTGGTTTAATGTCCCTTTTGTCTATTCTCTGCTTAATGAAGTAATGACGGATATCGCTGAGACGGAGGTATCATTGTTGAAACAGATCTAAGCCCCGGCGCGCCTTTTGTGTTGAAAATTGGGAAGGGGGGGGGTTTCTTTTTCCCTTATCCCAATCCATGTTTTCCCTGCCATCAAGTGGCCCCGTAACTGATACTATACCGCACTATTCTGTTCTAGAACAGACCCTGAATTTCACCCGTCTCTACATCGACGTCCACGTTGAGGTAGCCCGGTGCCGTCGGTAGACCCGGAATCGTCTGGATGTCCGCCGCCAGAGCGTACCTAGGTTTCGTCTGTCAGCATTGTTCTTCTCCCGGGGCGAAAAGGGGCGTGGGCGTGAGGTTTGGTTTGGTTGGGTTTGGGTTTGGGTTTGGTTTGGTTGTAGAAAAACTTACAGATATCCTGCACCTGCGGCCATTCTGACGTCCCTGATGGGCACCGTGAAACCGGTCGGCGCACCCTTCAGGTCGGGGTCGTGAGACAACGAGTATTGCGTCTTCGCAACGCAAATGGGCAGGTTGCCGAATCCCTGCTTGGCGTACTGGTCCACCTTCTTCTGCGCGAGTTCGCTGAACTCGACCGCCGCCGCACCGTACATCTTCTGCCCGATCGCCTCGATACGCTCCTGTACCGTACCCTCGAGATCGTACAGCAGCTTGAAGTCCTTGGGCTTCTCGCTTGCCGCGATCACCGCCTTGCCCAGCTCCACGGCGCCCTGGCCGCCCAGGGCCCAGTGGTCCGCCAGCACGGCGTCTTCGGCACCCGCCTTGATCGACTCCTCCCGGACCACCGCGATCTCGGCGTCCGTATCGGTGGAGAACTTGTTGACGGCCACTACGACGGGAACGCCGTACGCCTTGGCGTTCTGGATGTGCTTCGCCAGGTTCACACAGCCCGCCCGGAGGATCTCGACGTTCTCCTCCTTGTAGACCGGACTCAGGGACGCACCCGGTGCGATGGGCGGACCGCCTCCGTGAACCTTGAGAGCACGCACCGTAGCAACAATCACCACGACGTCGGGCACCAGTCCCGAGGCGCGGCACTTGATGTTGAAGAAGCGCTCACCGCCCATGGTGAAGTCGAAACCAGCCTCGGTCACCACGAAGCCCGCCTTCTCGTTGTAGTCCTCCTCGGGCTCCGTGCCCACGAGCTTCAACCCCAACTTGTCGGCGATGATCGAGCTGTTGCCAACGCTGATGTTGGCGAAAGGACCCGCGTGCACGAAGACGGGGGTGCCTTCCAGAGTCTGCATCAAGTTGGGCTTGATGGCGTCCTTCATCAGCGCCGTGAGGGCGCCACCCGCGCCAACGTCGTCGCAAGTCACCGGGTCGCCGCTTCGAGAGCTGGCCACCACCATGCGGCCCAGCCTCTCTCGTAGGTCGGCCAAGCTGGTGCTCAGCGCTAGAATGGCCATGCACTCGCTGGCGACCGAGATGTCGAAGCCGGTATACCGCGTCTGGCCCTTCTCCGTGGGCGCTGCGCCAACCGTGACGCCCCGCAGATGCCTGTCGTTGACGTCCAGGACGCGGCGCCACGTGATGGTGTCCGGATCAATATCCAACCGGGCAAACCGGCGGATCTCGTCCTCGGTCAAATCGTCCGGGTTGGTCTTGTCGATGCCCAGCTTTTTCAGACGTCGGAACATGACGGGGGCAAACTCCCGCTTGCCGCCCTTCCCCGGGACCAGCCGACGGTACAGAGGGCCGTCCTTTTGCGTGTTCTCGTGGAACATGCGTGTCTCGATGGCCGCCGCGAGCAGATTGTTCGCCGCGGTGATGGCATGGATATCACCCGTCAAATGAAGATTGAACTCGTCCATGGGAATGACTTGGCTGTAGCCGCCTCCCGCCGCACCGCCCTTGATGCCGAACGTCGGTCCCTGGCTGGGCTGCCGCACGTTGGCGAACGTGAGGCGACCAAGGTGTGCACCTAGAGCCTGAGCAAGGCCCATGGTGGTGGTCGATTTGCCTTCGCCTAGCGGTGTCGGTGTGATGCCGGTGACGACGACATACTTGCCGTTGCGCCGATGGTCGAGCCTCTTCAGGAGGTCCAGGTTGACTTTAGCCTTGTAGGCACCGTAGGGCTCGAGCTCGTGGGGGGCGATGCCAATTTCCCGGGCGAGTCGAGTGATCTGCTTGGGGGTTTGGTGCCTCGATACCTCGATGTCCGAAGGCACAGGGTTCTTGAGGTGCAGGGGCAGTGGGACAATTTTCCTCAGCTTCTGCCGCTCGAGAGACTTGGTGGCCGCGTCGACCACATTGCGCAGGAGCATGGCAACAGTCATGGGACCCACGCCACCGGGTACAGGAGTGATGTACGACGCAACCTGCGAGGCGGATTCGTAGTGGACGTCGCCAACCAGACGCTGACCCGACTTCTTGGTGTCGTCAGGCACAAAGTTGGTGCCGACGTCGATCACGACGACGCCCGGCTTGAGCCACTCGCCCTTCACGAATTCAGCTTGCCCGATGGCCGCAATGACAACGTCTGCGGTCTTGAGATGATCTTGCAGGTTCTGGCTCTTGGTGTGGCAGACCGTCACAGTTGCATCGGCGTGACGGAGGAGGTAGCTAACGGGGCTACCGACGATGTCGCTTCGTCCAAGGACGACTGCATGTTTGCCCCTGAGATCAATGCCGGCTTCCTGCAGGAGGACCATGACACCCTTGGGGGTGCAGGGAATGAAAAGGGGCTCTCCCCCACGCTTCGCAAGCTCTCCGATGTTGGTCGTGCCAAAGCCATCGACGTCCTTCTCATCGGCGACAGCAGAGGTGATGTTGTACTCGTCGATGTGCTCCGGCACAGGCAGTTGCACTAGAACGCCATGGACTGAATGGTCTCCATTCAGGCGATAGATCTGATCGAGGAGCTCTGACTCGGAGATGGATGAAGGGAAATGTAGCAATTCGCAGGAAATGTTGGCCTAAACTAGGGGTTGAGCATTTGGACAGATGATTTAACGGGGGAGGGAATAGGATCCAGAGAGAAGTATAATATATACCTCTTGGGCGGCCTTCAGCTTCATTCGCACATAGGTGGCTGGAATACGTGAGCTACGGGCCTCTTCAAAATGATGCCATCCATGGGATGGGGGGGGAGGAAAGGTAAGAAGGAGGGGGCGGGGGAGGGGGAGGGGGAGGGGCAGATCGTCGGGGCAAAACATACAAGAGTCGGATCGGTCGCCAACTGGTAGGAGACATTCATCGGTCAGTAACGGCACAGCTTCTCAATTCACGAAAACAATTCGTCGGCAGGACAAAGTAACAAACCTTGGATAATCTTCAGGGAGGGCTGGAATCTCGGATTGATGGCCTGTCGCTCGAGAACCTCGGCGGCTAAGCCCTCGCGGATCTTCTTGGCGATAGCCGTGCCATCAATCTTGGTGGCGGCCATGGCTGCGTGAGATGTCGAAAAGAACCTAGAGAACCGACTGGCACATGAACTGAGGGCAATGGGATTTCCGTTTTTCTTGAGGGCCGGAGTTGACAAAGAGGAGAGGTTGAGTGCCTTGGCTATGGTGGGTTTGGTACGAGTGGATGTGATGTGGGAGCGCGGGGTGAAAGTGGAAGTGGGCGGACAGCAATTGGCGGTGGGGCACCGGTCATGCCCGGGAATTGCTGGAATGGTTAGGCTTCTAGCCCGTGACAATCCCCGCCGGCTTGAGGGAAGGCTAACGGTGTGGTGCTGCAGGTCCAGACTTAATTGTCCACCGAGGCTGACAGTCGCAAATCCATCCAATCCTGTTGGCGCTGTGGCTAAGCTCGTCGACATCGGCCTCAACCTCGTCCTATCTATACGAGAAGACCGAGACAGGTTGAGTACCGGAGACGAGTTTGTCCGTCCTAATTGGAGTATCGAATTGCGAGAGTTCGTGAGCGAGAGCTGCCGGGATGCCATTCTGATGATCTGGCGATTCAAACCACCAGGGAAACTGGAGAGAATGTGTTTGTTTGTCTTCTGTATCCGTGGCTGATCTTGATCTTGATCTTGATATTGGTCTTCTTTTTCTTTTCTTCTTCTCTTTCTTTTCGGACGCTGCAACCACGCCTTCTCCCAACTCACTTCCGAAAGTGAATTCTGCCCAAGAACATGCGATGAGTCTTCGGACTAGAGATGGGCATACATTGGTCGGCGGCGGCGAACTGGTCAGGGAGCGGACAGACGATGCCCTCTCTTCAAGGGAGTGATGTGGCCAGTGTCCTCGATGATGAGATACAAAGAGACGAGGAACAAGAGACAAAAGATGCCCGACAAGACCCCTGAGAGTCCGAACTTGGAGGAGCTTGTTGAGTTTGCTGTTCGATCAGGAGAAGGAGATGCAAAGAGCAACAAACCGAAATCTAGTGAGGAAACGACCGGGCGGTATTATACATTCCCGAGGCGGAACGAACGGGTCATCTATGTATCAACCAAGCAAGGCCGTCGCTGATAAGAGGGAGAAGTCCATCTTTGCGCGGCGCGGCGAGGCGTCAAGTCCCAGGACAAATCCTGTCACCATTCCCCTGCGGGTGGAGCACCTCCCCGGTTCTTGGGTTCGGGTCCTAATAATTACGAACGAGCTAAAAGATGAGACTGAAAGAGGGCAGGGATTAGAAACGATGACTCAAGTAAATCTGGATGGGCCCTTCTCCCGAAGAGCTTTCGCTTGTGAAAGAAACTCGCACTTTCTTTGTGGTGTTGAAATTTTACATCCGCATACCATGGTACTTGCGAGCAATAGCCTACCTATAATAAGGTACTTACCTTTATTACCTTCAATCAAACCACATGCCACGCAGCAGTACGGAGTTGTGTGGGAATCTTACGTAACCCAGCACTAGCTAGCTCCGTCCCAGTGACTCAAATTACTGTCCCTCAAACACTAAGATGGATGAGGAAAGGCGGTGAAAATATCTGAGCGTACTTGGGACGGCAAAACAGCGGGAAAACGGCCAAAGGAGTCAAGGACCATCGCGGGGGGTGAAGGAAATCGGTGCCCCACCGAAACCCACAACCAGCGACGCCCATTGCTTGTGTCTGAGGCCAAAAATTCAGCTCTGCGGCACCACGACATCACGACCGACTCCAAAAGGCGAACCTCCCACGCCTCCACTCCCCTCGACCTACCTCGTGCCGACATCCCTATAGATCCATTCGTTTCTTTCCATTCCAGTGGAACGAGATTCAATATGAGGCCCGTTCTTCTAGCTGGTCATGAGCGAGCGCTCACCCAGATCAGGTAGGGCTCCATGCCTTTGCCGAATAAAACATGAAGGGGGCACCCCCACATCTAACATCGCGAAACAGGTACAACCTCGACGGCGACCTAATCTTCTCGACGGCAAAGGATCAGCACATTTGTGCTTGGTACGCGCATAATGGCGAGCGTCTCGGGACCTACCACGGTCACGTCGGCGCCATCTGGACCGTCGATGTCGACCCCACTAGCACTATGATCGCTTCGGGCTCTGCCGACAACACCATGCGCCTCTGGGACGTCAAGACGGGCAAGAACCTCAAGACGTGGGAGTTCCCTACCGCCGTCAAGCGTGTCGAGTTCAACGAGGATGGCACGAAGCTATTGGGCGTCACCGAGAAGCGCATGGGCTACCTAAGCAACATCGTTGTCGTCGACATCAATCCGGATGTCAACGCCGAACAGAGCGACGAGAAGATTCTTACCATCGTCTGCGACGAGAGCAAAGCCACAGTCGCCGGCTGGAGCTACTTGTCCAAGTTCATCATCGCTGGCCACGAGGATGGCTCCGTATCACAATACGACGCCAAGGTACATAACCCAAAGGCACCCGCCGTACATTGCCCCTGATGGAAGCGCGAGGCTCACGTATTTATCTCTGTATACAGAACGGCGATCTCCTCTACAATGTCTCGGTGCACGAGCTCAACACCCCCGTGACCGACCTGCAGTGGTCTAACGACCGCACGTACTTCATCACGGCCAGCAAAGACAAGACTGCCAAGGTTCGTTACACTTTGAAACCTGATTGACGTGGTAACTCTATAGTGGCTTTGTAACTGACCTTTTTTTTTCTTACTGTAGCTCATCACTGCCAAGGACCTTGAAGTTCTCAAGACTTACGTCTCCGACACACCGCTAAATAGCGCTGCCATTACTCCCAAGAAGGACTTCGTCATTCTAGGCGGTGGCCAGGCCGCCATGGACGTCACCACCACCTCCGCAAGACAGGGCAAATTCGAGGCCCGCTTCTATCACAAGATTTTCGAGGACGAGATTGGCCGTGTCCGCGGCCACTTTGGCCCTCTTGTACGTTATACCTTGCTCTCCCTTCGTGTCATCGTTCCTTCAACACTAGGTCACCAATCAGTTTTCTGACACTCTTCTCTTTGCAGAACACCGTAGCAGCAGATCCCACTGGCAAAGGTTACGCAAGCGGAGGAGAGGACGGCTACGTCCGTGTCCACATGTTCGACAAGGGCTACTTCGACTTCATGTACGAGGTTGAGAGGGACAGACAGAACCGGCTGTAAAGCAGCACCTCAGTCTCTCCAGTCGTTCTCCTTGGGAGATTCGTCTTCGCCGCCTTTCGGGAAGCTTGCATGGTACGGCGTTTTGGGATTACGAATCGCGTTGGGGAAGGCCAGTTCGTTGGGATGTGTTTTGTAATTTAGGGTGGGCACGAAAATGGAAGGGCTCTCATCCGGGGTGATGATGTCGCCCCATGATAGACGATATTCATATCTTGTTGACGTCCGCCTTCGAGCCGTGGTTACCAAGACCATGTGAATGGATCTGAAGTTCCAACTACTATCTCATCGGGTCGTGCAAGCTTGTATCAGGACAGACCCAACAAACTGCGCAATCATGGATAGAAATAATCGAACCAGGTGATCAACGCAATATTCTACTCTAGCATTGCAATATGGCCCCCGGCTTCACCCAATACCACAGTAGCCAAGTAGTATAATGGTAGATTTTGACTGGCATCAGGGGGGGCAATGCTTCTTTGGTATCCGGAGGCTATGACCCCTAGCGAAGCCTGTACGTGCGACAGGCAGGCTGGTCGATACATCAAGCCGTTTAGGCTTCTCTTTACAGTGTATGGTTCCGTCTAGTTCGGTCTAGTTGAGATCCTTCAGTAACCTCCTTTGTGCAATCCTACTTCCATCTGACATGTTAGCGAACCTCAGCCAGTGATGTTATAGGTCCGGCATAGGGGAAGATACGAAGATCAAGTGCAGCGTTAACTAAAACAACGCCACTTAATCCTCCTATAGGTAGTAAGCATAAATACAAAACCTGAAGCAAATAATTCTCATGCCGTAGCCTTCCTAGTTGGCAGTTTTCAACCGTCCTCTGGATCTTTTTTTCTTTTTCTTTTCCCATCCTCGCTTTAGTTGCCGAGAGTATTCTTTCGTTTTCACTCTCAAGTTTCGCACTTCAAGTCAAGGACCAGCTTTTGTTTCGACTTCACCCCTACGTCTCCAAGACAGTGTTGGTCAAGTTGTAGAAAGACGAGACGATAAACTGCATTGCGCGTCAGAAGAAATAGCGACCGAGTCGGACTGGATATCAAACTGCACAACGGGAGAAACCGAAGTCACTGCCTTGTCAAACATCCCCCGCCGGCCCCTTGATAAATGTCTTCGAACCCAGCAACCGCAAAAGCACCCATGAATCTTCCCAACGCCGCTCACTCCGGGCTGCCTTGGTCCTCTATGCTAAAACCCGACGCTATGCTCTCTGATGCCTACCGTTTTCGCCGCGGCCGTGAAAATCCGTTCGCTGTTCGCTGTATTTGTGCGCTTGTATGACCCTACGGGCGAGCCAAGACCTCCTCATTAAATATGCCGGCTTCTCTTCCCGCCGCCCCCTGGGCCGAACATATTCTTATCGTAGCCGAGGCTGCCCAAGTCGAAGATTTCGGCAAAGTTCAGTTTTCTCTTGGAGCCAGCAACGCGACCGAGCTGGTTTGCTTGCCGCGAACCTAGCCTTGGTCCGCTGCCGGGGTGTTGTCGTGATCTGGCGGTGCGAGTTGTCGTCGCATTAGCCGAGGCGGGGCCGGTATGCGTCGGCAACGAATCGTGGGATCGCGAGTCGGAAAGGTCGAGGTTGGCGATGTTCATGTGTGTATCCTGAGCCGGAAAGTGATGGGAGGATTGAAATGTAAAAGCATCTAGGCTGGGGACGACGAAGGAAGCCGGCTCGTCTGTCGAGGCGGGAATGGTAGGTGGTGCAGAGTCGGTTCTCGTCCGGTTCTCTTCTCGCATCGCCGTCAAATGTGTGCCGCTATTTATCCTCGCGAGGTCCGGAGATGATGCCCTCTCGGCTTTTTCCGCTTCGTCGTCGCTCTCGACAGCCTGTGATGGCGACTCTCTGCCATCTAACCGTTCCGTTGCCCATTTGCGGATTCTCCAGCCCTCACCGTCACCAACTCCGAGATTTTCCCGATCGAGGAACGCCAAAAGGTCGTCAAGACAGTCTTGATATCCATCGAGGCGAGCTTTAGTCTGACTCGCTGCAGATGTCTTGTATAGCTTTGTTACCGAGAGAGCGGCTGCCTTGAAGGCATCGAGGAGTTGTTCGGGAGAGTCATTTAGGGCGGTTTGTCTTTGGCTCGAAGTCCCCGGCAACGAAGTATTGAGGCTCCTCATGGACTCCATGCTGGGATGCGGTCTTGACACGATGACTATCTGCCGTTGGAATCATCAGCCTTGTCCTCTGGAGAATGTGATGTTCACTTACGTCGCCGATTCTTGGGAAAAATACAGGTGGTGGGCTGAAGCAGTCGATGTTATCTGGTAGTCCGTTCGACAGGTCACAGAATTCCAGGATGAAGGGGTGGATGCCGTGGTGGGGGTGCAGCCTATGGCTACAGCGCCTGGAGTGGATACTGACCACAGGGACCACACCGTTGGGGGGGGATGAGGTAGTGGCAAAGATGGGTCTCGACTGTGCGGACGCCTACCTGACTGATTACCTTAGGGACTTCGTATGGTTATCTCAAGTCGAAGCCTCGGTGGAATTTTTCGTTAATATCAAAATGAAACACGAGAGGTGAACGAATCAACACCCTTTAGACGTTGAATTAGGATATACCTTACTTGATGAAAATACTGACGGACATGCGCATGTTGTTAGGGACGTCATCCCTCGTGTGCCATTTGTCAGGTGAAGTGATGGAAAAGGTCCGGATGTGCTCAGGCAATACTGTGCGTCTACAGTACTCCGTAATTCCTGGGAGGTACACCATAAGGTACCAAGTAACGTAAATACGAATATGTACCTACTCTGTTGGTAGCCTTTTTCACTCAGGTACCGTAATAAGGTACCTAGATACAATTCTCACCATACCTACCTTACCTTAGGTAGGTATGTACGGAGTATAAGGTATACATCACTTCGGGAGATTATGAATAAGTGACATTAGGGAGATGACGGCAATTCCCCAAGGCCCAGGCAACTGAATGTGGCCAGACGTCTTATTAACCCGATTCTTCTGACACCAAAACTCAACTCATGTCTTCAGTCCCCAGATAACGTCAAAAGCCATTCGTCAATGCAGCCATGGAACGAACATACCCCGTATTATCCGCCGGGTTGATGAGCCATCTCGGAATATATTTTATCCACACAGATCTGCTCAGAAATTACGTCGGGGAACGCTTGGACCATCCCCAGCCGGTGCCCGTTCCGTTCGTGGCGCCCGGCACCACCTTGAAATGATCAAGGCAGCATGGGTAAAAGGCAGGTACACCTTTTGGCTGGTGTCAAACGTTTGGTCTTGCGATTTCCACCTTTCTTCCTCCAACCCAAATCCCCTCCCCGCGACCTTTCTTCCCGCCTTCCTGGAGTTCCCTCTTTCATCCCTGACTCAATTTCCCTTTTAATATCATCAACCGGACTTTTGTCAATCTTCTTTCCATACCCTTACGAATTCCACCTCGCAGCAATCGGAACGCGTCTTGGTCGCGTTAAGTGACCTCTTTCGTGGTCACCATGGCTCCTCGGCCCCGGCCCAGCGCCGTCGACACGGACGCGTCAATGTCGGACGCGCCGGACAATCATCACACAGACAACATGGTAAGTTATCTCACAGTCTACTTGGCCCGCTAGTCCGTCGCCACCGGACCTTCATTCGGTTTCTCTGTTGGCTAACTGGGTTGAACAGGAGGTTGACGAGACGCCTGAATATACCGACTCAGACACTAACCCCAACACAACGGCAAGTAGTGTTGCTGGTGAGCCAGTGACAGATGGGCGCCGGAAGCGATCAGAGGCGAATCAGCTTCGTCGTAGTATATTTGGCAAGAAACATGACCGCCTCGGAGAGTCCAAGGTAAGCCAGCTGCGCCACCCAGAACGATCTTGCTAAGGAAGAAAAAGAAGACAAAATAAAAGAAGATGAAGAGATGTACTGATTGCCTCATGTTTTCGTAGGAAGAGGACACTTTGCGGAGGTTTCGCTATCTTTTAGGATTAACCGACCTTTTCCGCCACTTTATCGAAACCAACCCTGATCCTAAAATCCGAGAGATCATGGCCGAGATCGACAGACAGAACGAAGAAGCCTCCAGTAGCAGGAGAGGCGGAGCTCGTCAGGGCGGCGCAGCTAGCGGAAGACATCGGCGGACCGAGGCTGAAGAAGATGCCGAACTACTACTCGACGAGAAGCACGGGGGATCGGCAGAAACTGTGTTCCGCGAGTCGCCAGCCTTCATCCACGGCGAAATGAGGGACTATCAAATTGCTGGTCTCAATTGGCTGATTTCTTTGCACGAGAACGGCATCTCCGGCATTCTGGCGGACGAGATGGGTCTAGGAAAGACGCTACAGACCATTGCATTCCTGGGTTATTTGCGACATATCATGGGCATCACGGGTCCTCATCTCATCACAGTGCCAAAATCGACTCTGGACAACTGGAACAGAGAGTTTACGAGATGGACGCCCGAGGTCAACGTTTTGGTCTTGCAGGGTGCGAAAGACGAACGGCACGCGTTGATCAACGATCGTCTCGTCGAGGAGAAGTTCGACGTTTGTATCACGAGCTACGAGATGATTCTACGCGAAAAGGCACACTTGAAAAAGTTCGCATGGGAGTATATTATCATCGATGAGGCGCATCGCATCAAGAACGAGGAGTCATCTCTCGCCCAGGTCATTCGCCTCTTCAACTCACGGAACCGCCTACTCATCACAGGAACGCCTCTTCAAAACAACTTGCACGAGCTCTGGGCTCTGCTCAACTTCCTCCTCCCAGACGTATTTGGCGATTCTGAGGCCTTTGATCAGTGGTTCTCCGGCCAGGACCGGGACCAAGATACGGTAGTTCAACAGCTTCATCGAGTACTCCGCCCATTCTTGCTCCGCCGCGTGAAAAGCGACGTCGAGAAGAGTCTGCTTCCCAAGAAGGAAGTCAATCTATATCTCGGCATGTCGGAGATGCAGGTCAAGTGGTATCAAAAAATTCTGGAGAAGGATATCGATGCTGTCAACGGTGCTGGGGGGAAGCGGGAGTCCAAGACAAGACTCCTCAACATCGTCATGCAGCTTCGAAAATGCTGCAACCACCCTTACCTCTTTGAGGGAGCAGAACCGGGTCCCCCTTACACGACAGATGAGCATTTGGTTCAAAATTCTGGAAAGATGGTCGTTTTGGACAGACTCCTCGCCAAGTTCCAACAGCAAGGCAGCCGTGTCCTCATTTTCTCCCAGATGAGCCGTCTGCTGGATATCTTGGAAGACTACTGTGTCTTCAGGCAGTATAAGTACTGCCGTATCGATGGTAGCACTGCCCACGAGGATCGCATTGCCGCGATCGACGAATACAACAAACCTGGGTCCGAAAAGTTCATCTTTCTTCTGACCACCCGAGCTGGAGGTCTGGGCATTAATTTGACCACGGCGGATATCGTTGTTCTCTACGACAGTGATTGGAACCCCCAGGCCGATCTGCAGGCCATGGACCGGGCGCACCGTATCGGGCAGACGAAGCAGGTGGTCGTTTACCGGTTCGTCACTGACAATGCCATTGAGGAAAAGGTCTTGGAGAGAGCAGCTCAGAAGCTGCGGCTCGATCAGCTTGTCATCCAGCAAGGCCGGGCGCAGATTGCTGCTAAGGCTGCGGCCAACAAGGACGAGCTCCTCTCCATGATTCAGCATGGGGCCGAGAAGGTGTTCCAGACTAAAGGAGCCACTGGCTCCCTCGCTTCCAATGGAGCAGATATGGACGACGACGATATTGAAAAGATTCTTGCGTCCGGCGAAGCCCGTACTAAGGAGTTAAATGCCAAATACGAGCAACTTGGAATCGACGAGCTGCAGAACTTCACATCCGAATCCGCGTACAACTGGAAGGGCGAGGATTTCAAGACGAACAAGAAGGATATCGGGATGACCTGGATCAATCCGACCAAGCGGGAGCGGAAGGAGCAGTCCTACTCGATGGATGCCTACTTCAGGCAGACCATGTACCCTCCCAAGGAGAAAGAAAGCAAGCCTAAAGCGCCCAGAGCACCGAAACAAGTTCCCATCCACGACTGGCAATTTTTCCCTCCCCGGCTACGCGATCTGCAGGATCGCGAAACGGCCTACTATCGCAAAGAGGTCGGGTATAAGGTCCCATTGCCTGACGGAGATGACGAAAACCTGTCTGAACGAGAGGCGGAGCGAGCTCTGGACCAGCAGGAAATCGACAACGCCACTCCACTCACCGAAGAAGAGCAGGAAGAAAAGCAGCGCCTCTCGCAGCAAGGCTTTGGCGACTGGAACCGTCGAGACTTCCAGCAATTCATAAATGCGTCCGGTCGGTATGGTCGCCACGACTACGAGAACATTGCCGAGGACATTGATAACAAGAATGCTGCCGATGTGAAGCAATACGCCAAGGTCTTCTGGCAACGGTATAAGGAGATTGCGGATTACAACAAGTACATCAAGACGATCGAGGATGGCGAAGAACGCATGCGCAAGATTGAACACCAGCGCAAGCTTCTGCGCAAGAAGATGTCGCAGTGCCGGGTGCCCTTACAGCAGCTCAAGATCAATTACTCGGTCTCTACGACGAACAAGAAGGTGTACACCGAAGAGGAGGACCGATTCTTACTGGTGCTTCTCGATAAGCTGGGCATTGACAGCCCCGGGCTGTACGAAAAGCTTCGGGATGAGATCGCCGAGTCACCACTCTTCCGCTTCGACTGGTTCTTCCTCAGTCGCACACCCACCGAGCTCAGCCGTCGGTGTCAGACCCTGCTCACCACCATTGTCAAGGAATTCGAGGATGCTCAGCCAAGCAAAGCGACCACCAACGGCAAGGTCAAGAGGGATGTGGAAGACGAAGAGAATGACGAGGACAGCGTTTTGGGAATGGCGCCGGCCAAGAAGAAGGCCAAGAAGGGCGTTAAGGTGAGGCACACGCACCACCGGTGCAACGCTTGGTTTCCTCTTTTTTTTTTTTTTTTTTTGCCCAGTATATTAACAGTGTTACAGAACAAGGCTTTAGACAATGTCAAGTCTGAGGCCGGCAGTAAGAACACGTCGGCCTCCCCATCACGAGCATCCAGCGTAGCATCGACGAAATCCAACGGCGCATCTAAGAGCAAATCGAAGGGAAAGAAAAAATAGAGGAACGTCAAATCCAGGGGTGGCAGGCGGCGCATGCCGCAAATGTTGTGAAATAGACTATGGCGTTTGGAAGACGTAAGGAGAAGGACGTATGGTTGTCATATTTTTGTTTCGGCGGCCTTCCTTGAGGAAGAAAAGGATTGGGTTTAGGTCTGTCTGCTGGCTGTGGGAGCAGATGGGATGTATGTGTATGAAATTCGGACAAACATCAGCAGGCTACCCAACCCACCCACTCAAGCGAGGAAGATGAAGTCGCGAATAAAACGTAATTAACTTTAATCATCCTTTGTATCAATAATAGGCCTTCCTCAGGCGAGGATTCGGCGGATCGTGAGGGTTTAAGGCATGGCTAGGTGTCTCTCAAACAAAGCCTCACTTCCAGAACTCCGCGCATCTTTTCTTCCTCTCCCCATTACCATTACCCCTCAGCACCCTGTTCTTGATCCTTTTTGCTCTTAATGTTTTTTATAGAAGGATGCCTGGCTAAAAATCCATGCATGCATTGCTTTCCGAGAGGTGTTGTGTCGTTCTGTGCAGTCAGAATCTTCTGGGCGAATTCCCTGATCTGGGCTCGGGTTGGGGGGAAGCCCAACGACGCCCGGGCTAGCACCCAATTAGCGACGGGCTCTTCCTGGGCAGGGTTGAGCCGTTGATGTTCTAATAATCGACGGCGAAGGGGTTGTCCTTGGGATTCCCCAACGGAGGGAGATTTGACCCAGGGGCCGATATGGGGTGTGGGACGTGGGCGGGTTTTGGTGGAAGGGAAGGTGCATGATTATATAATCAAGCGCGACGTCATGCAACCCCTGACCTGACTTTTCTGTTCCTCTTCAGAGGGGTTGCCTGGGCATCGCAGCACTGACCCCGCCAGGTCGTTTCGAGGCACGCTCCTTGGACATCATCCCCACGCTTCCTGGGTTGCAGCAGGGCCATTCCTGTTCAAGGAAAATACTCTCCGCAATTCATAAAGCACGCGAAAATACTTTCCATACTGTTGGCTTCTATTCGACATTCAATCCCAAGCTTTCTTCATCTTTTCACGAAATGTCCCTTACCATCGGCAAGATCCTCGCCCCGGCCCCGGCCGTCCTACCTTTAGGCACAGACGAGGGACTGCAACCGACTCAGCTCTCCGTTGACAATAAGGGAGAACGCATAGTCTACGCTGTAAGCCCTGAATCATTTTTTTGTGTACAATTCTTCGCAACTAACTTCAAATCAAGTCTGGCAAGTCTATCTATATTCGATCCATCGACGACCCGTCCGTTTGCAAGCAGTACAACGGCCACAAGAATGCAACCACAACAGTGGCCCGGTTCTCCCCTAGTGGGTTCTACATTGCCAGTGGTGACAAGGCTGGGAACGTGAGAATATGGGATGCTGTGGAAGTTGTAAACACCAAGGGTATGGGACCAAAGTGTGATGCGCGTCCGAATCGAAGAGAGGGGCGGCCCAGCTGATCGTCACGGCAGGCGAGTACCCTATCATCTCGGGTCCCATCAAGGACATTGCCTGGGACGGCGACTCGCAGCGGATCATTGCCGTTGGTAAAGGCAGCGAGCGGTTCGGCCACTGCATTACCGCCGACAGCGGCAATTCCGTCGGCGAGATCAGCGGCCACTCCAAGTCCATCAATGCCGTCGCCCTACGGCAGCAGCGGCCTCTCCGGGCAGCGACTGTTTCCGACGATTGCACCATGTGCTTCTTCCACGGCGCTCCATTCAAATTCAACTCGAAGGTCGCCAACATACACAGCAACTTCATCTACGGCACTGCCTTCTCGCCCGACGGCGCTCACCTCGTCACCGTTGGCGCTGACCGTCGTATCCAGCTCTACAACGGGAAGACGGGTGAACCCACCGTGAAGATTAGCGATGGGGAGCATAAGGGCAGCATACTCGGGGTGTCGTGGGCCAAGGATAGCCAGAGATTCGTCACTGCTAGCACCGACGGTACTGTGAAGCTTTGGGGGCTAGAGCCGGGTCCTGCCAAGCATACGTGGAACCTGGGTGGCCAGCAATTTGGCGTCGTCTGGGTCCACGGCAGGAGTGACGGTTTGGTCATCAGCATCAACCGGGATGGTGATCTCCTTTACCTCCACGAGGGCAGTGACAAGGCAACCAAGGTCGTCCAGGGTCACAACAAGAGCGTCACAGCTCTAGGCGCCTCTTCGGACGGAACTGGCCAGACGCTGTGGACGGGAAGCTTTGATGGCCGCGTGTGCAAGTGGGATGTGAGCAATGGAATCAGCACCGCGGTAGAGGGCCATGGCCACACCAACCAGGTCGCCCAATTCGCCGGAGCGGATGGACAGACTGTCAGCGTCGGCTGGGACGACAAGCTGAGGACGATTAACGAATCTACCGGTTCCTATGTTGGAGAAGCTGTCTCACTCTCCTCGCAACCCCAGGGCGTGGCCGTCGGCAGTGGGCTTACGTTCGTGGCCACCATCGATGGGGTGGACGTGTATCGAGCGGGGAAGCTTGTCGCTGAGAACCGTCCAGGGTACACTCCGGCTGCGATTGCGGCGCACGGCTCCATTGTGGCGACTGGGTCCGGGCAATCAGTCAAGATCTACACGGTGGACGCGAACGGCACATTATCCGAGACCAAGTCGTTGGACAGGTCGACGCACCCCATTTCCTGCCTGTCGTTCTCGAAGGACGGCAAGTATCTCGCAGCGGGAAATAGCAATGGAAGCATCGACCCCTACGACACGAACTCGTGGGAAATCGCCGGCAAGTGCGCCGATCGATGGGCTGCGCACAACAGGAACAAGATCACCTGTATATCTTGGAACGATGCCGGCACGCACGTCGCCTCGGGCTCGCGTGGCGCTGACGTCGTCATCTACAGCCTGGCCAATCCGGGGAGGAAGGTCAAAGCGGAAAACGCCCATATAGAGGGTGTCACGGGCGTGGCATGGGTAGCAGGTGGCAAGGTCGCGAGCGTCGGATGGGATGCGGCTGTCAAAATTTGGGCTACTCCTGCGCTGCCATAGGTGTGCAGTACCCTGGAAGCCCAGTGGATTCATGCTGAATAAATGAGACCGATTAGAATTCCCACCCTCATTCTTTACATGCCATAGAGCTCCATACGCCCGTAAATGAATGAGTACCCTATGCATATTTGCACTGCTCTAAACATAATTTCCGGCGTATGGTATGGATTGGCCCCATGAACCTTGAGAAGGTAGCGGAGATAGAGATAGAGGTTGCAGTTCGGAAGGTGGCCGTGTGAACTCCTAATCCAAAGCCATCTGGCTTGCTTCCTCTCTCCTTAACTCTCCAGCCGGCGTGGCACCGACAATGGGGGCTTGATTACTCTCGCGTGTGCCCGCATAGCGGTTCATCATAGCGGCGCTCACGCTCCACAAGTCGACGTCGATGAGCTCCCCTGAGTCGGGACACTCCTGGGAGGCACGAGAACCGGAAATAGGATGCGACCGGAACTTCTGGGCGTTCTTATCGCAAAGGAGTTCCGACTGCTCGAGGGCATAATCGATCTGGCCGAGGCGGCCCCAGATGGCATACCCCTGAGACTGGACCTCTTCGGCGAGCTCGGCTTGGTGGTTGTCCTTGAGCGTCGGATTGGGGACCACAATGAGGGGAGTCCCGACGCGAAGGCCATCTAGGAGAGTGCCAGTGCCTGGAATGGTGTTAATGGTGTTGCTTTCTTTCTTTCTTTCTTTCCCCTCCGCCTCCTCCTTCGTCCTTCGTCCTTCACCCTCCCAACCCCCTGCTTGTGACGGACACAGGGCGAGCGAGCTGTCGCCTGGTTATTTTCCGATTTCTACTTACCTGCATGGGAGATAACGACGCCGTCACGACGAGAGGGTGCCTGGGCTCGGCACTTGACCATCTCGTGCATCAGGTCATCGACGAAATCAAACCCAGTGATTTGCAGGCCCTTCGTGTCTTGCGAGGAGAGCTTGCTGATGGTGGCGCGGAACCAGTCCAGGTCCTTGCCGCATTGGACCGTTAGGTGGGTGAATCCGTGTTGGCGGAGGACTGAGAGGAAAGGCGATTCCAAAACCTCGGCGAGGAGCTGGGTGAAGCGAGCCGTCGCCCCAACCGTGACAAGACAATGACGCTCAGACGGAGCTTGGGACGACTGTACGGTAGACATTTTCTGCCCTAGGGTTTATCAGATGATGCATTCAGGAAGAAAAAATTGGGTGCATCATCCTGTATTCTCTCAATTAAATCCCGTTGCTTTCATACATTGTAATGTAACTGCCAGAGGCAGGCACTATGTGCGGATAGGCACTGAGAGGTAGATGAACATGGACGCGGCGAGGAGCTCATGGAAGGTGAGCAGGTACGGAGGTACTTTTGGTACCCTGCTGGCTTATTAAGCGTGGAAGATGATGTGGCTAGTGTGTGATGTGGCTTCGCATAATGTGGCTGTGTGTTCGTCTTGTCAACTTCCGTGCACGGTACTCTGTAGTCGACTGACGCCAAATTTTCTGGAACTGGAAATTGAGGAATTGAGGAATTGAGGAATTGAGGAATTGAGGTTCCACCGCGACAGTTCCCGAGTATTCCACCCACGCAGCTGCAGTTGCTAGACCACCACCATGTCAGCAGCTGCGGGACACGCCCTTCGGCTATGCTTTCGAACATGCCGGCAGGTCCCGGTCGCGGCTACCAGTGCGAGCCCGAGAGTCGGGACCCCATTACGCCATAGCATCGTCCAACGTCGAGCGTTCACGACCACCCAGACGCGATGGGCCCGGGATGGCGCACGTGGCGAAGAAGGAGACGATCACGCGCCCAGCCCTTACAACCATCTCGAGGATGCCTTCGAGGATTTGTCGCCAGAACAGCTGAAGACGCTCGAGGAGATCGTCAGGGAAGGGAGCGCGGAGGGAGAGGCCCTCACGCTCACCAAGTTTCTCGAGAGCGAGGAGCCCGAACTCCGCGCGGGGCATTCTTCCGATCCCGAGGACAAAGTTATTACCGCGCGGGCGAAAATCAACAGGAGGTCTTTCTGGTACGACGAGGACGACCCTGACACCATAACGGAGGACGTGGGCGACGAGTTTGACGAGAACGACATTACTTCCATGGCGCATGGCAAGCTTGACGAAATTCGGGAGTACAGACACTATGCCCGGGTTGCGGTGTGGGAGATGCCACTTCTAGCCAGTATGTTCAAGGAGACAACTATAAGCCCACAATACCCCTTCCCCGTGGACTCCCAAGATTCTCTCCCCTTGTTCGCCCAAAGTCTTTCCCGGGGTATAGTGCTGTGTTCCGCAAGCTAATGCATTTTGTTTTCTTTCTTTTCCACATTGACAGAACTGGCCAAGCCCTTTGAGCCGCCAACATCGGATCAAGTTCTTCGGTTCCGATACACGACGTATATGGGAGAGTCCCATCCGGCGGAGAAGAAGGTGGTGGTGCAGTTCTCGCCGTCAGACCTCGACCTCACCCCGGTACAGCGGGAGAAGCTCAGGAAGCTGGCCGGACCTCGTCTGAACCCTCAGAAGGACATCATCAAGATGAGCTGTGAGAGCTTCGACCACGCCGCGCAGAACAAGCGCTATCTGTCGGAGCTGGTGGACAAGCTGGTTGCCGCAGCAAAGGTACGACACGTGTGAATGCTTTCCATGTTGACCTTGACACAGGATTCCTAATGAGGCATACCAGGACCCGAGCGATACATTTGAGGACATTCCTCTGGACACGCGACACCACAAGGTGGAGAAGAAGCCCAAGTTCCCTAAGGAGTGGCGAATGACGCCTGAGCGGAAGAAGGAACTGGCGTCCGTGTGGAAGCAGGCGATGCTGGTGGATGCCGGAAAGGCGGCCGAGGCCCAGCTGACCGAGGGCGACAAGGCCAAGGAGCATGAGGCCGTCACCAAGGAGACCGTGGCAGAATTGCTGGCCGCACAGCGAGGACCGACTAACGCGCGGAGCGGCAGAGAGAGAGCATTTTAAGGGCATAGCCCAGCTATCCCCTCTGGAGGAAGATATTTGCACTGAAAGCTGGGAGGCACGCATCTTAACTTCATTGCAGGGGTGGAAGGGATAGATGGTCGCTGGAACTGAGGATTTCAGCCGTGTAACAAGTCATGTATATCGACCGTGTACTTATACTAGAACACAAACTGTTCACATACCTACCTTGATATTCGAATGGTCGTCAATTATTGTAGTCATTTCAGTAAATGCTACCTGTATACCTTAGGTTGTTGCTGATGGAGGTTAGCGAAGTTCGCGATCTGGGTTAGGGGGCGATCCATAAAGTACGTACAGGTACTATCCGTATTCCGTAGTTGGTACTTCGCATTGAAGACAGGATTGGTTCGAGTATTACTAATCTAGTCTAGCTCCACCGAGTCACATGCTCCTATAACAACGTACACATCAAGTCGCCCTCCTCGGCATAGCCACCAGCGGAATTGCCCATTACATCCCCGTTGCCCGTTCCATTTACAAGGAACTCAGCGCTAGAACTGAAACTTCATCTCAAAACAAGACGCAAGACACAGCTTCGTCTCGACCTGCCCATATACATACCTATTTTCTGGCTGTTGTCAAAGCTCGACTTCATACTGTTCGAAGTGCTCCATCTGTAGCAGCCCCAGTTGTCTGCTCATCTCTCACGTTCAACGGATATATTCGTCTTACCTTCGCTTCAACTCTGACGTCGTCCATCCGTTTCCCCTCTTTTCAGGCTCATTTCCTTTGCATTTTCTTCTGTATTTTCCGTTGTTCTGTGTTTGACAAGTCACCAAGTCGGTGGTAGTAATCGTATCCTCTTGGTTTCTCGGCCGACACAGCACTCTGAGACTTAGAAGAAGCTGAGAATCGTCACATCACCCAACTAAGATGGCGACTCCCGTGGATCTCAAAATCCCCGACTTTGAAAATACCTCGATGGAGGATATCTCCCGCGTCACCGACACTCTCCGTGCAACTTTCCGTTCCAGCAAGACCAAGGATCTCCAATGGCGTCTGGTCCAACTTCGCAAGCTATACTGGGCCATCAAAGATTACACGCCGGCTCTCTGCAATGCCCTCCGGGCCGACCTGCGCAAGTCTAAACACGAGGCCCTCCTCAGCGAGATCGACTGGGTAGCCAACGATTGTATTTTTCTGTCCAAGAATCTCGAGCGCTTCGCCAAGGACGAGCCCGGCGAAGACGTCCCCTTGACTTTCGTCTTCATGCGTCCGCACGTCCGCAAGGAGCCCCTTGGCATGGTCCTCATCATCGGTGCCTTCAACTTCCCCGTTCAGCTTGTCCTTACGCCCCTCATCGGCGCCATTGCGGCCGGCTGCACCGCTGTCGTGAAGCCTTCCGAGAATGCCCCCCACACCGCCATGGTTATAAAGAAGTTGGTTGAGACAGCCCTTGACCCCTCCGCCTTTTCTGTCGTCAATGGCGCCATCCCCGAGACCCAGGCTCTCATGGATATCAAGTGGGATAAGGTCATGTATACCGGTAGCACCCACGTCGCCAAGATCATCTCTCAGAAAGCCGCCGAGACTCTCACTCCTGTCTGCCTCGAGCTGGGCGGTATCAACCCTGCGTTCGTCACCCGTCATGCTGACGTCAAGCTTGCCGCACGTCGCCTGGCCTGGTCCAAGACCCTCAACGCTGGTCAAGTCTGCCTGTCGCAGAATTATGTCCTCGCCGATCGCACCATCGTCCCCCAACTCATCACCGCTTTCAAAGAAAGCTACAAGCGCTTCTTCCCTAGCGGGGCCAAGAACAGCCCCGACCTCTCTCGGATCGTTAATCAACGCCAGTTTCAACGTATAAAGAAGCTGCTCGACTCGACCCGGGGCAAAATCGTCATGGGTGGTGCAACCGACGAGGCCAGCCTCTTCATCGAGCCCACCATTGTACAGGTGGATTCTATCGATGATCCCGTCATCTGTGAGGAGACCTTCGGGCCCGTCTTTGCCATCCTACCGTACGACACCCTAGATGAAGCCATCAACTCGGCCAACCAGCTCTGCGACACCCCCTTGGCCCTCTTTGTCTTTGGCAATGAAGAGGAAAGCAAGAAAGGTATACCCCCCCGCCCCCTTTCTTTTTTCCCCCCTCCTTTCTTTTCTTTTCTTTTCTTATTTTCTTAAACCGCGTACTAACCTCTCCTCCAAGTCCTCGGTAGTGTCACCTCTGGCGGTGCCACCATTAACGACGGCTATACCCACGCCTCGATCCCAACCCTTCCCTTAGGAGGTATTGGAAGTTCCGGCACGGGCTCCTACCGCGGACGTGCCTCGTTTGAGGTCTTCACCCACCGTCGCAGTGTTGCCGTGGTCCCTGCTTGGGTTGACAAACTGCTGCGCGTCCGCTACATGCCATACTCTCCCAAGGAGCTTGCCCGCCTGAGAAGCATGAGCGCCCTCCGCTGCGATTTTGACCGCGCCGGTCGTCCCATCCGCGGCCTACGCTACTGGCTTGTCTTGGTTCTCGGACTCGGTTCCCCGACTTTCAAGGGCGCTCTTTTCCGGTGGGCTGTAGCCCTGGCCGGAGTCTTCGTGGCAAGGCAACGGGGGCTTCTGGACTTTATCGGGAATTGAGTTGCCCGTCTTTTTATGTATTGATAATTGCTGTATATAACGGAGCTGGTATGCAGATCTAGGTGTATTATATGATGTACGAGGTACGAGGAAGCCTCATGGATTTTCTCTCATAATAACAGACCCCAGACGAATCTGCCCATACCCAAAGTAATATGCGCCACAATACTCGGGGTTCCTATTAAACCTCATATTGATCCCGGCCTGCCCTCCCATTCATACCCTCCATGTTTGGCATATGACTTGCTCGGCCTAGATGCCCATGTTACCCATCGAGAAAGTTGTGAGTTTGGTCGAAGATCAGGCTGCGTGTGATGCTATTGATGGCGAGGGATTGCCATAAATTGGAAGCAGAAGAACAGAAATGAGTCGAGTCGATGAGCTTGGGGTTCTCAGTGGCGACCAGACACCAAGATCCGAAAACTGGGGGATACCCAAAAATCCCACTCGACTGAGATATGCGCCGTCCAACCTATGATTTGGTGAGATGCCAGTCGAGACTCCACCGGCACAAAGGAGAAACCAGAAAGGATATGGTAGAAGAAGAACGCTATTGCAAAATTTGGAAGAACATCCAAGTCCCTGTCGTCTATAGTATGTTTGCTAGGTGGTACAGTCTTCTCGACATCGAAATCGGGCGGGTTCCCTCCAAGACCGGAAGACGGGGCTTTTCCTCACTCCCTCGCCGACAATGGAAGCCGCGCTGAGGACATTCTCTACCAGCCACGTCCATCGTCGCGCCTAAATGCCCCTTAGTTGAGTGTGATCCTTCGCGTCTGTGGGTAGGTACCGTTCCCGTAGCACTTCCTCGACACTCTTCTCCACCCGGGGTCTCGCCTCATATCGCTGCTGTAGTGCCTTCTCAACTGGCGAAACGGAAGTCAAGGCAGGGTCAGCAGCGCCGCTGACCTGTGCCGACATGGCCTCCGCGGCTCCATTCAGCAGGGCCTCTCCCTTCTCTATCCCGGTGTCAACCGCTTCAGCAGCCGCCTCCCGTACCTCGGTCGCCGTCCGCTCGCCGGCCTTCTGAAGCTCCTCCACCCTCTTCGCGGCCCCCACCCTGGCCTCCGCAGCCCTGGCCTCGGCGGCAGCCAAGGTCTTCTCCCGCGCGCGCTCCCATGCTCCCTTCGCCTCTTCGCCGGTCGTGACGACGCGTTCTACGACCGCCGCAGCTTGCTGCGAGGGCTCGCCTCCGAATACCGTGCGCCAGGCCGTTCCCACGCCTTCCTCGAGCCCCTCGCGGACCTCGGTCCAGTCGGTGCGCTGGACCCAGTTCACGGCATTGGCCACCTCGGAGTTCCAGCGGTCCTTGGCGGTGTCGACGAGGTTGGCGCGGCGGGCTGCCTCGATCTCTGCTCTTCTCGGGGGAGGTATGGGAACTACTGGCTCGAGAAGAGAGTCGAGGACGCGGGTTTGAGAACGGAGAATCTCGGATTGGTACTCTCGGTTGCGTTGGTGGGTGTAAATGGCAAGGTAGGCGAGACCTAATGTAGCAGTCACACCGCCGGTCTATGTAATGAAGTGATTAGTACAGACAATAGATAAGGAGCAGAAAAAAGATAGTTGGCAGAGATGTTATTGAGGGTGCACGAACGAGACCGGTTGTGAAGCCCATGGTCGTCACCGATATGCGCGAGTTGATGCTGGAGTGGAGAGCGTTTGGATGATGGAAGCGCTCAATTGGAGCAGAGCCAGACTTAAATATATGTCCCCCGTGTATGTGAAGGCAGAATTGAGACTCGCATATCGCGATTGAGTCCACACGAAGGCTGTCCTCGGTCGCTGCGACGTTCAACCCGTGGTTGTTGGTAGTGGGCAAAGGTACCTTATCCGGGCCGAACTGGGTAGTCCAGTGTGTGACGTGGGGATCCGGAACGTTGAAGGTCCCACTTGATACCTACCTTAGGTACCTACCTAGGTACCTAGGTACCCTATTAGGTACCTTAGTTACCTAAGGTACCAAGTGCCAAGGTACTCCGTGCGTGCCCGAAGGTTTTTTCGTACTATAAGGTAGTGTCTGGACAGCCGCCTGCCACCAACTGTGGCTTTCTCCGGCATCAGCCCAGAAGCCAGAAAAATTCACGGGCCCTCAACCGCAACGACTCGAATCATCTCGCGACGGCTTCCAAGCCTCTCACAACGTCCCCATATCGACACTCTTCCACATCAGCCATTCGGCCTCTCCACCTCTTCAAGGCTGGCCATAGGAAAAGCGAAGGTCACAGATAGGAAGAGCAGAGCCCCCCACCCCAACAGCCGACACAATGGCCGGCGGCGTCGTCAAGTATAGGCACTTGAGCCGCAACTCGGCCGCCCGCCAGGCCCTCCTCCGCGGTCTCGTCACCTCCCTCGTCGCCCACGAGCACATTCACACCACCTGGGCCAAAGCCAAGGAGGCTCAGCGTCTGGCCGAGAAGCTCATCACTCTCGCCAAGCGTGACAACGCAGCCACCCGTTCAAAAGCCCAAGCCATTCTCTACGTACGCTTCTCCTGTTCCCAATTATCAACCAGACGTCCTTATATGATGCCTCTTTTTTGCAAATGTACTCCTAGACTAACTCGCATCACCGGCATGCAGACGCCCCATGATCTCCTTCCAAAGCTCTTCGGCGAGCTGCGAAACCGATACCTGAACCGCCCCGGCGGCTACACCCGCGTCCTCCGCACCGAACCTCGGAACACGTACGACCAGGCCCCCTCGGCGATCCTCGAGTTTGTGGACGGTCCCCGCGACATGCGCTTCATGATTACGGCCAAGGCCGTCGCCCGGGCCCAGGTTCATGGCGTTTCCCGGCTCAACGAACTGACCAAGAAGAACGTCGCCAAGGTGACGCGGTATCGGCAGGACGGCACGGAGGGGTTTGACAAGCTCGTGCAGAGCTTTAGGGATAAGCTGCGGATAAGCAAGAAGAAGGGTGGGCAAGCCGAAGTCTCCGAGGCTGACAGTTAATTCAGAAGCGGGAATTGGAGGGGGAAAGATCAGGAATGGAAGAGGAAAGTGGCCAACGACGCTATACTGACCAGCCACTCTACTGGAGTGTCCGATTCCGGCTGGCGTGAGGAGCTGCAGAGCAAGGAGGGATTTGCAAGGGGAAACAGAAACGGCTGTCAACATCACAGCCACCCCACTGTATCACTACGACGAAAGCTCATTCCAGATGTACTACTAGTTCCAAGAACATGTCTGGTCTATCTTTTTTTATGGCTATATCTAGACGGTTCAAATATGTATATATATAAAAATTGAGACAGAAATCCAAGACCGAGCTGTCCACAGAGGGGGCAGAAGGAAATCCAACGCTCAACTCACACAAAGTCAAAGGTGTCACCTTTTTCCTGGATCATCTTTCTTACTCTCTGCGTCCCGACTACCCGCTCCAGCTTCATCACGTCGTATTTGGAGAACATGACCCGTACGCTCCCCTGCCCAGGCGCCAGCTTCATGTCCTGCTCGCTCCTAGCGAGGTATCCTCCTGCAATCTCCTGATAGAAGATGGGATTATCCGGTAAGCCGTACATGATGACGCGCTGAACGCCCCGGAGCTTGTAGCGACGGAAGTGGTGCGCCCGCTCCGTGTATAGCAACACTTTGTGACGGCCACTGAGGAAGTGCGAGCGCGCGCGGGCCGTGTCCGCCGCCTCGGCGTACTCGGAAAGCGTGCCGAAGGTGATGGCTTCGGCCGCAGGCGATGTGGCGAAATAGTTGCGCACCCGCACGAAGTCGAGGTACGACGGGATGAAAAGGAGCGTGCCTTTGAGCTCCCGGGCCCGCCTGGCCAGCGACGGTACGATGGCCGAGGTGAAATACGCAAACCTCGTATCCGGGTCCTTGCCGATGGCGCTGCACTCGAAGCGTGAGAAGGTCTGCTTGGCGCGGACGGGGAGCTGCTGTAGCAGGCCCTGGTAGTCGGGTTGAAAGCGGACTTTGCCGGCCCAGTTGCGGCACTGGGTCCGGAACAGCTCGGTGAGCTCGGGCGTGACGAAGGGCGATAGGATGATGGTCTGCCGGAAATACTTGGCCCAATCCTCGAGATACCATGTCCGGACGCGGCTGAAGTCGCAACCGTGGGAATCCCTCGGCTGTCGGTTCAGGTGTTCGAAGATGTACTCGACATGTTCCCAGTTTTGCATCAGCAGCCCGTCGGCCTGGTCCACGACCACCATCTCGACGGAGCTGAGAAAGTCATAGTCCATGTTCTTCTTGTCCTCTTCAGTCCCGATGGCCATACGCAGGCCTAGAGGGCTCGCCATCAATATGTCCGAGTTGTAGAACTGGGCAAAGTATTTGATCGTCTTCCGTGTGAACTTGACGCCCAACCGAAACATGTCGTCGTCATTCCCGTCGAAGAGATCCAAAAAGTCGGCCGGTTTCTGGTCGCGGAACTTTTCCGACTTGTCCACATATGCATCCTCGAAGCGTTTGCGGTTTTCCCTCTGGTCTGGTTCCCAGAGGTTTTCAATCATGCCCACCATTTTGGCACATGATTGCCTGGTCGGGAGAAGAAACAAGACCTTGGGCCGGGTGAAGCCTTGGTCTCTCAGCTCCAGGGACGAGTTCTCGTCCTTAGAGAGCTTGTAGCTGTTCTTGATAACGCGGTCTCGAGTCCTGGTAGGCGGGTCAGCACTCTGACATGCGAGATGGAAGTGACGCTGAGGGAGAAAATCTTACTTCAGGGCATGATTAACAGCATGAAGGCATGTTAACTGCCTCAATTTTTCCGCGTTCCCAACGTTCCGGGCACCGTACAAAACGTCATGGTAATTGAACATTATCGGCGCGAAAGCTTGCTGTAAACTGTCGAAAGATGGTAGGTTGCGAGATGCCATGTTGCTTAGCTTCTGCTTGAGCCTCAATGCTTGTAGTCCCGGGATCGGCGACGGGAGGGCAACGTCATCAGCTCCCTCCACCTCTGGTAGCATCAAGACGGCCTTGGAGAGCTTGGTCATGATACGTTTTGACGTCCATTTACCGTCTTGGATCGCCTTGACTTTTTCAGCGGTCGTCTCCTGGTCCGGCGTAGTGAAATGACTATCGAAAGGATCCGAGGCATCCTCGACGTCTTCGTCGTCGCTTTCGTGCTCAAACTCTGCCTCGGCTAAGGCGTCTGCGGGGTCCTCCTCGGCCTCATCAGCGAAGTCAACATCCTTTTTCTCTTCGGATGCCTCTTCCTCGTCTTGGCCCGGTCCCTGCTGAGACGGAAGGGCTTCGGCTGCGTTGCCATTGTCTAGCTTACGCCTCTTTGGGTTCCGCTCAGTGTCCTGGGTGAAGCTTTGAATAAGAGCCATATATGGAGGTGGTGCGTTGGCTGTCTCCTCAGCCTCCTCACCGTCAGAGCTAGAGTCATCCAGTTCTTCATCCTCATCGGAAACATAAGACTCCGCTTCAGAGACTTCTTCATCTGATGACCTGTTCGATGTCAGCATTTGAAATTTCAGTTTTCAGTGGAAATTGGATGAAAGAACAATCTTACTCCTTCTCTCCTAGCCTGGTGTTAAATCGCGATGCCTCTGCACCCATGGAACCTCCCCTGGCTCTGCCACCTCGGCCTCGCCCCCTTCCGCCTCGAGCGCCTCCTCGAGGTCCTCCTCTAGATCCTCCTCTAGATCCTCCTCGAGGTCCTCCCCTAGATCCTCCTCGAAATCCTCCTCGAAATCCGCCTCGAGATCCGCCTCGAGATCCGCCTCGAGATTCTCCTCGAGACCCTCCTCGAGACCCTCCTCTAAATCCTCCGGCTCGTGGTCCCATGTTTTACACTCTGATTCAACAAGATAAGGCCTCGTCGGGAGACTGTGAATTACTTAAATAAAAGGACAACAACGACGGCCCAAGATCTTGCCGAATTGTTTGTTCCGTATTAGATATTTTCTCATTAAGAACCCGGAAGGCCGATGAAATAGGACGCAGAAAGAAAAAAAGAAAAAGTTACAGATGGTATTGTCTCTCAGCCTTGCAGTTAGTTACCTACATGCCCCACTAAAGCCGTCTTGGCAGGTCCAGACCAGCCAGCCCGGCACCTCATCCGCATTTCCAAGCCACAGAGGGGCAATCAATCATTCGCCACAGTTCTTATCAGCGTGGCTTATCTCGCCCACAACCCCATAACCGCAATTTTTGCATGTTCGCGAACCAAAGGCGGAAAGAGAAAGAACCGTAAGGGCAGGACAAGGACAAGGAACAAACCGCCCTCGTACCCGCATCACCCTCACCCTCACCCTCAACCTCAACCTCAACCTCAACCTCAACCTCAACTCAACCACAACCTCATATTCCAGCCATCATCCCCCCCACTGGCATCTTGCCCAGCATGGCTGTCGAATCTGAGAAGTTCCTTCATTTGTCCAGGCCCATTGTGCCTGCGGCCATCAATCTGCAGGGCAACATTGCCCCGCTCACCGTGAACATCCAACCCCAAGTATGTTCAATGTTTCCAAACCGTCCATCCCAGAGAAGACCCGCCTTTGTGTTTGATTCTCCTCCTGGCTTTTTGTTTCTCCAGTCTTGCCCGACTCCTGGACATATCTGACCTTGCTCTTCTTCTCTTCTCTTTCCCTGGCAGGCCATCTTCTCCATCCTCGACCATGCCGTCCGCCGCGATATTCGTGATACCCAATCCACCCGCGTCATCGGCGCTCTCGTCGGCACCCGATCCGAAGATGGTACCGAGGTAGAGGTACGCTCCTGCTTCGCCATCCCGCACACCGAGAACGAGGACCAGGTCGAGGTGGACGTCGACTACCAGAAAAACATGCTCGCCCTCACCCTCAGGGCGTCGCCCCGCGAGTCCCTCCTGGGCTGGTACACCACGAGCCACGAGCTCAACTCCTTCTCCGCCCTGATCCAGAACTTCTTCGCCGCCCCGGACACCGGCACCTTCCCCCACCCGGCCGTCCACCTCACCATCAGCACCGATCCCACCGCCGAAATCGAGGCGCGCGCCTACATCTCCGCCCCCGTCGCCGTCAACGCCGAGCGCGCCAGCGAGTCGTGCCTCTTCATCCAGGTGCCCCATCGCCTTCTCCATGGCGACAGCGCCGAGCGCTCCGCCCTCGAGGCTATCGCTTCCGCCCGGGATACCGAGGAACGCGCCGCCCCGATCGTCTCCGACGTCGAGGCCCTCACCCGCTCCCTCGAGCTGACCGCCGGCCTCATCGACCGCGTCTTCGAGTGGGTCAACGGCATTCTCGACGAGGAGGAAGAGCCCAACCAGGCCCTGGGCCAGTACCTCATGAACGCCCTCTCTCTCGCCCCCAAGGTGGACCCTGCCCAGATTGAACAAAACTTCAACAACCACATCCAGGACGTTCTCATGGTTTCCTATCTTGCCAACACCATCCGCACCCAGATCGACCTGTCACAGCGCCTCGCGACGGCAAATCTCGCTGCTGGTGAGAAGGAAGGAGAGGGCAAGACCGGCGAGGGTGAGAAGGGAGGTGATCAGCGCGGACAGAGGGGAGGCAAGCGAGGTGGCCGGGGCGGCGGACGAGGCGGAGGTCATCAGAGGGAGCCCAGGGAATCTGCCGAGTAGCGGGGTTGAACAGAGACACTGAGACAGTGGCTTTCGCCTTGATCCAGCTGGCAGTGGAAGAAAACGAAAGAAAGAAAAAAAGGAAGCAAACCATGTTTTCTATAGACGACAGCGGGGGGGATATTGATACCCTCCCCCCAATGGCCAGCATGCACAGCTCATTCAGGCAAATTTAGTGCTTCGATCGGCGGGGATGCCGAGTTCTCAAACATGAGACATGATAGCATGTTGGGGGCAGGGGAATTCACGAAGATAAACCGTCATGGCGTTTTATGGCAGTGTCAGGATTAGACGGCCTACTAGTTCAGGGCGAGCTGGTATTTTATGAGATCATCGTACTCGAGTCGCACTCGTTCCCACACCGCAGAAGGTTGCTCATCCCTGTTCAAAGCTAGATCTCCTGCCTGCTGGTGCCTTGGCTGTTCTTGGGGGAAATGGAGTCTCAATAGCAGCCATCATCCTCAGCTACCTACTCAGTAATTACCTCAGAAGATTCTGGATGTATCGCTATCTTCTTAAGGGGGTCAGTCGGGAAGGGAGCGACGAAGCTGGCCGTAACCAAACTTATGATATCCAGGGCTCCTGGAAAATAAACAGAATAAACAGACTATTCCGGCTGCAAGAAGAAGAAAAGGGAAAATGCGAGAAAAGAAATAGAAAAGATTTAAAAGAAGATTTAAAATCTAGCCGCGCTGCTTTTCAGCCTCTGAACTCGTTTCGTTGCCTCCAAACCAGACGCTTCAGCTGAAGCATTGATATAGACATGACCTACGCACGGCTGGCATACACCTTATGAAAAGAGACATACTGAGCACCGAGAGAACTACAGTCCTAAGGGACATTAAGTGAGAGAAAGGTGATGTTTCTATATGTTCGGTTGATCCCCAGGAGATAGGGTGAGTGTATCGAATGGGTATATGCTATCGAATTGGAGGCAAGTCGCAGCCCGTATATATCGTTCAGACAACAGAAGCGGGCTTCGCAATTCTCCAATCATGTGAATACGGATCTTCCCTCGGCCGGTTCCTAGCGGTAAGACTATGGTCTACCAGACGAGCAAACGGATCTTCCTTCGGCCGATTGCCGGCGACGGGACCATGGTCTACATTGCTTTGCGCCAGCTCGTCCGCATGACCATCCCCATCCTCGTCCAATGGTTCAGCTTGCGGTGGTTCCTCTTCCGCCAACAAAGACGAAGAGATGGCATCCTGCGCCTTGTTCCCTTCGCTGGGGGAGTCTTCACCGAGTAGGGTACTCCAAGTGACGACGTTTGGACTGACCCCGTGCTGTCTCATCATGTGTAGGATTCGTTCGCCAGACTCGGCCTGGCCGTGACGCATGCATGCATGCATGACAATGTTCCATGTGTACACACTCGGGGACGGATGGGAGCGCGCAGGTTTCCCTCCGGTGTTAGGTTTGCCCTCCCCAGCCTTGTCGCTTTTGAGCATGTCCCCGAAGACATCCAAAGCGGCACGGAGCATATGGGGGAACTCGGCAAGCCGCTTGATAATCGCATCGTGCAGCATCGTATTCTTTTCGGCCATGAATCTCGTGATGATAGGGTCGCCCTTCCGTATAAGCCGGGACAAGTATGAGTATAGAGAAAGGACACTCGAGGCCTCCGACAAGCTCTTTACGTAGGACAGATACATGACCGCCAGCGTCGCGCCTGTCGGGGGTTGCTTTTCCGTGACGAGGGCCGACGTGTCCACAAGCAGGGGGAAAAGTCGAACGACGGGTTTCCAGGTGGAGCCCGACATCACCGGGAGGGAGGCCTTGGCCAACGCCGCCAGGTCAATGGGTATCAAATGCTGCAGTGGTTCGAGCGGGAATATTTTACAGTAGAAATATAACATGGGTTTAAAGGCGGGTATCGGTTGGGGAGGCGAGGTGATCCGTCTTGGCAATCGCCGCCGTGGTGGTGTTGACCGCCGCAAGGCGGTGATGGAGCAGGCCAAAATGTTCGAAAGCAGGATATTGAAGAAAGGGACATTGATGGCCTGATGTTCGACGGCGAGCGACGTGATTAGGTCGATTTTGTTCTGGGAGAGATAACGTCCCTGAGCTCCTTGGAGCAAAGTGCACATCAGAACCGCGTCGGGTTTAATATCGTAGGTCCGCATGATGGCAAGGACGTGCCATGCAGTGCGCAATTCCCCGAAGATGCATAGTGTTCGGATGAGAGAAGTGAAGTGGATTATGTCCGGAACCAGGCCGCGCTCGACGAAGTCTTCCAAAGCTGTTGTGGTGGACGATATCAGGGTAGCCCGCTGCTCCCCAGGGACATAGTCGGGGTCGAAGGACAGTATAGTGGTGCATAATCTCGCCCATGGCCCCGGTGTCAGTTGAGCACCTCCAGAGTCGACCATGGCCAGGACCATGCGTATGGCCACTTCTTTGCGCTCGGGGTCCTGGGCGAAGCGGCTGGCAAATTGCAACAATGTGTTGGGATGAAGTTCGTGGTCATGAATGACGAGGCAGTTGTACAACTCCTCAACCTTCGCGGTCTGCTCGGTGCCCCGTATGAGGTGGTAGATGGTGTGCTGGTGGAGGACGAAGCGCGTGTCGTAGCGGTTGTAGTACAATGGCAACAAGCGTACCACGAGGTCGATCAGAGCATCACCATGGAGCGCTGCCTCCTCCGGCGGAAGTGACCGCTGCCAGAGGGCTAGGAACGCTATCACATCCTGAGCGGCATACCCAGGAGGGAGGGGTGCCAGCGTCGCCTCCAAAACCACCCGAGCTCTGTCCGGGCAACATTCCAAGGCGGTTCTCATAAGAAAGGGCCAGACCTTTTTACGGCGGACGAGCAGGCGGTCCTGCCAAGAAGTTTCCATCTCTTGAACATTATTGCGATGAAGAAACTGTCGCAGTACTGGCGGAGCACGTTCCGGGGAAGGCTTCCAATTCGGTTGGTTGACTTCCTCAAGAAGGCCACGGCGGACGGCAGCTCTCCATTGCGCAAACGCTTTTCTCTCTCGCTGGTCCATTTCTGGGAGTCCATGATTTCGCCGAGGTGTTGTTGATGCGAATTTGACTCGAGATTCTGTTTTGGGGGTACTCACGCTACTTTCCCGTGAGTCCGTCGGCTCGTTAGGAGGGAGCCGTTTGTTCGATAGAGACCGAGTGAACTGGGTGCCATTCGACGACGGGCCGGCAAGGTTTGATATCCCCCTCTTTGTCCGCGCCCTACACTCCAAGTGCATAGGACCATAGCTTTGTAGCTCGGTAGCCTGTCGTTGTAGGGCCGTTGACGGAAGTTGGAGGAGCTGGGCATGGGTTGAGAATCGGGGGGGGGGACGTGGACGTTGGCGTAGCCTCGATAGGCAGGACATGCAAATATACCCGGGGCGCATTATCTCGACTCAGGAGAGTCCTAATTTCGACTTCACCTCGTTGAGTTTGCCGGCTGTCATTGTCGGCATAGGTGACGCAAGACGGGGCCGATGGAGGAATGTATGAATTGTTGAAGATGGCTGTACCAACTCCGTAGCTGTCGCAGAAATTTAGACTGGCGGCGGCCGATAAGATGCGATCTTATCCGACGTTCGAGGTACCTTACCGAGAGACGTACCTAGGTAGGTAGGTACCTAAGGTACCTAAGTGCTCAGCCACAGAGTAAGGTACGTACAACCGTACTTGCAGGGTTGCGGGTGGCTTGTTTGAATATTCAGCCCCACCATCAAATACCAAGCTCTCGATTCCTGCTACCATCACAGACAATACCATCAGCAGATTTGATACGAACTCATACCTTCCCACACTCAGCGCTGTGCGGCCGAATCCATAAAATGTCGAGCATACACCTAAACCTGACCGCAGCCGCAGACGACCGAAAATCCAGACTCGCGCAGCTCAAGAACCTCAAGAGGAAACAACCCTCCGACGAGATCGTCCCTCCAGAGTCGGCAAGGTCGCCATCGCCCCCCGCCGAGCCCGACGTCTCCAAGCTACATCTTTCCGGCCGCAACTATGACCCGGAGACGCGAGGCCCCAAGCTTGGCTTCGAGGCGCCCCCGATAGAAGACCTGGACCAGCCCACGCTCGAAGAACAGGCGGCCGTAGTCGAGGCCGAGGTGAAGCAGGCAGCGGCCGAAGAAGAACGGGGCGACAAGGCAGTGGATCTTTTCAAGTTGCAACCAAAGCAGCCCAACTGGGATTTGAAACGAGATTTGGAGAAGAAACTGGAGATTCTGAACACGCGAACAGACAACGCCATCGCGCGACTCGTGAGGGAGAGGATCGCGAACGTGCAGAAAGAGAAGAACAAGACGGGGTCCCTGGAAGGCGGCACAGACGGCCAAGACGCGTCTCTCCTGGATGGGGCTGCGCTGGTCGAGGGAGTGCGGGTACGAGAGAGGGAAGAAGAAGAAGACGAGCGTCGCGACAGAGAAGACGAAGAATTAGGCGTTTAAGGGTTTTTGACGTTTCAAGCAGAGCGGAATCGGAAATGTAAGCGCATGGATACGCTTCCTCGGGGACAAAGATGTTTTTAGTTCTTCTTACTTCTTTGTTGCTTGGCTGCCGGGACCAACGCCTACGGGAAAACGGTCTCCTCCCAAGGTAGATGTAATGATACCCCGGGTCTATCTACCCCTACCCATATTCATGGCCCGAGTCAAGGCTAACCTCTTGCTGAAGGGGCTAAGACTCCTCTCCCGTTCGGGTTCTCTCTGCGGCGTACGTTGCTGCTGTTCCCTTGGTGCGTCCTCCATCCTTGGGCGAGGTGGATGTTTCTCGCGACTATGGTCCCTTCTGTTCGACCGGACGGGTGACCTCGACAACGACCTGGACCTCGCAGTGTTCTTGTTCCTCGACCGGACCGACCCCGCTGGCCCCGGCGAGAGTTGTCTGTCTCGTCCATGTCTAGATCTGCTGTCGTGTCTCTCGTAGTCCGAGCTCCTTTCTCGGTACGTCCGGTCAAGTCGTGGAGGCGGAGACCGGCTGTCTCTGGACGAAGACCGTTGCCGTAGCCGACGAGCGGGGGACTCTGACCGCCGGCTTAACTCAGATCGCCGAGATGTCGGACGCTCATCAACGTGACTATCTGAGCTTGGCGACCGCCGATGACGACGTTGACGATAGTGAGCGCTGCGGCGGTCGGATGGGCCGCTTGATAAATCCCGTGACCTTGGAGGCGGGGAGGGCGACCTACGCCGCCTAGGAGGGGGTGAAACCGGTGACCTGTTTGTAGAGATAGATGAGGCCGAACCGGACGAGACCGAGCTGCGGCGTCTTGGCGATTGTTCGGCGCCCGAGGCCGCATAGTCCGCACGGTCGGCACGGTCCGCATCGGTCTCTCTTAAGCGGCGCTGCTTCGGCTTTTCGGCTTCCCTCTCAGCCTCTCTCTTCGCCAGCTCCTCATCGGCAACACCTTTTCTGGAATGAGTCAGTTAGAGACATGACAATAAACAAAACACCAGGTACATCTTAACACCGTCTCACTCACTTTCGTAGCAAATCGTCCGGCACATCGTTAGTCAGTTTTGGTGCCAACTTGGGGTTGCGCAGTTGCTGGGTTCGTGAAGGCCGCGGCACATAGGGCCGGGCCTGCGCAGGCTCCTTGCATTCATATGAGTAGTGACGTGCTATGAGTGTCAGCAGATCGGATACCCTAACGGAGGTGAAGGACTATTAAACATATCTCTCTTCAGGCACCTTTGGCATTGAACGTGGGCTGGAGTCGCCTGGCGAGGCCCTCCTCTGCCTCGATACATGGTCAGTTGCCCTGGCGTACCGGCTCTGTTGTAGCTCAATCTCTGATATCCAATCACTGAACGGAATCACCGAACGGAACGTTCAATGAAACCACCTTATCCAGCGTAAGAAAATAACGAGGATATTGTCAACATTGAACAATTTGAAAGACTTTGACAATGCCGTGGTGGGATGGGAGTTGAGAAAGAAATCTTGACGCGAGGATCTCCGACCAGCGGAGAAGAAAGTAATTACCAGGTACTTCCGGATATCATCAGTACCTCACGGTGTATCCCTCAGGTACCTACCTGGCCGTACCTCGACCATAAGGTACCTAGTACTTCGAAGTACGGTCTTCAGCCTCTTTTCCATTGGGGTAAGGTAAGGTAATTAGGGCATGATAAGATAGATACAGTGCAAAACACTGTGAATTGCGGCGCTCAGGCAGCCCCGGATATCGGGGTCAGCCACACAATATACCGACGCTAAGCCACTTCAGGCCACTTCCCCCCAAGTCCTGGTACTGTCTGTACGGAGTAGCCTGTCTTTCACCAGAATTCCTAACCCGCCTCGTTTCTTCACTCTGCTCGCTTGTGCAACAGTCGCGGATGTGCAGTATCAGGGGACCGTCCATAGAGCCCTGTCCCTCCTCCTTCATCACGCACTCACCCCGGCATTCGTCTCTCTGCCGTCCCAGTCAACTTCAGGTTGGTTTGTTTCATCCAACAAACGAGTGACTGTTTTAAGGTAAGATGGCATGGACTTTCTTCTTTTTCCTCACCTCCCACCTCCCACCTGCCACCTCCCCCGTCCCCTTCCCCTCGTCGTACTCCATACTACTCTGCTGCTTCTGGCTGCGACTCCATCTGCTTTGCCTACTTCCCGTTCGGTCCACGACCGCAAACCAAACTCAGCCGCGGCTCTCACATCACAAGCTGAGCTCCCGTTCCTCACGGCGATAGTCTGCTGTCGTCTGAGCCCTTCCAGCCATTGTCCCCCGTCCTTCCGCACTTTTACGTCGTTCGACCTCCAACAAGAATCAGGCGAAGAACTCCGGGCGATCGACTGACTGACAAGCTCGCGCAGTTCACATTTCCCGCCATCGAGCAGCGCCGAGCGACCATGCCCCAGCTGTTACAACGATGATTTACGACACCATCTTCCCGCGCCGCATGTCCGCCTTGATCCAGTTGTTTTCTTGATTTTTTTTTCTAGTTTCCGGGTCGCCGCTTCTTCGTCCGTCGCTTTGGAAGTGAGCTTCTCGCTTGGGCCTGTACAAGCCTTATCCGACTGTGCCGAACGAGATAATCAAGCCCCCGCGGAGTGATCATTCACTTTACTTTTTCTTCGTCTTCTTCTCTATCTCTCCCCCTTTGTGGATAGCATTCGGCAAATAGCCTCTGGCTCTACAGTCTCCCTCTCAGCCTTGACCCAAGTCATGGAGACCACGCAGGTGTCCGCTGGCGTCTCCAAGCCATCATTCGCCAAGGTTAGACTCGTCTTGTCCCTTCCCGCATATTGATATCGACACTTTAACTCGCGATCTCAACTCCCACTCTCACACAACTGTTACGTTGAATCTGAAGGCTGACTCTGATCTTGCTCCCATAGGTGGCCGCTTCTGCCTCGAAGGAGAAAGTCGCAGTTTCCATGGCCCGTCGAGTTGCAGGACCCTCGTCGGCCCAACTGAACAATATGGCAACAGCAGCTTCCACACCTGCGGCAGACCCTTCGCCTACCGTCGCGAATGGATCCAATACAACCATCCAGACGAATGCCATCAAGTCACCAGTCGAAGGCGACGCTTCTTCTTCCTCTGGGAAAGCAGCAGCAGCCTGCGACCCCGTTGTGGATGGTCTCAAGGAACTCAAGCTAGCCGCCCGAACGCCCAGTCTTGTTGTCAACGGCAGCGGGTCCAATGTCACCGACAGATCCAAATCAGTAAATAGGGAGGGGTCGGACGTCTCACAGAGGGCCGACTCCAGCTCAGAACTGGGCACGAAGCCGCCGAGTCTGGATGGAAAGAGCATCACCTCCGGGACGACATTCGCATTGGACGAGAAAGAGTCTCTTCGCCCCGATGATAGCGCCAGCGTCAAAGCGGCTGCCGCCGAGGATGACGATTCCTTCTCTTTTCGGGGACCACTTTTTCCCAATTCGCGCATGGGTTCGGACCTGGCTGCCCGGGCAAGAGGAATCCAGCTCGGCGACATGCCCGAGAAGCGGCTCCCCCAACCAATGTCCGGATCTCTAAGTCAGGGTGTCGCCACGCCCCAGAGCGCCTCATCGGATCAACCACCAATCCCCAAGACGAACATGGCCAAAATCACTGATCTATCCAACTACATGCATGCTCTCCACGGCCAGCATCCTGATGAAAAGCTTCTCGACGCCATGTCGTCCCCCAAAGACCGGCTATTCCTGTTGCGGCTTGAGGCCGAACTCATCAAGTTTGTTCAGAATTCAAAGTAAGCTCTTCGTACTGCAACGCGGAGCGGTGCGCGCATTGCTAACCCTTTTTCCCCGCTCGCTCTTTTCCAAGGGAACCATTCATGGACTTCCCGCCATCAAACTCGTTTTGTAGAATGCTCACGCACAAGCTGGCCGACTATTACCATATGACACACCAATACGAGCCGCGCATCGGATCAGTTCGCATCTTCCGAACACCTTATGCAAGGGTCCCACCATCTTTGGCCAGCATCGGAGTCCCGGAACCAAAGGCCGAGGCATTGGTTCCTGTTGTGCTTCCGAAGAAGATAATGCGGCGTGGTGAAGAGGGCGAATTTCCATCTGCAAGCGGTACGCCATCTAAGGCAACGTCAGAGGTTGGCAGTAACGACGCAAAGGAGAAGACGGCCGCAGCGAACCAGAAGTATGTCGGGCTTTTGCGCTATCCTTCCCTTAACACGGAGACTAACCGAATTTCAGGCTTTCCCGCGAGGAGCGCGAAGAGGCGTACAAGCAGGCACGCGAGAGGATATTTGGCAACTCGGACAAGATAGAAGGGTCTCCAGGTAAATCATCCTGCGCGCGGTCACGTCTTTCCCCAGAGGGCTGCCAACAACTAACCGTGGGAATTAGACAACGAAGGAGAGAACGGCATGTCTCGGACCAGTTCGCTTTCAGCAAAGGAGAAATCCAACGCGAATAAACGGAACAAGAACACGAAGCAGAGGCGGGATGATTCTGACTGCCTTGACTCGAGACACTTGTATGGGCCTTTTGGCCCTCAACAGTCGTGGGTACCACAACCTCAGTTCGGTGGTCCTCCGAATCCCCAGTATATGGGCCCCATGCAGCAGCAACCAATGCACCAGCCCTATGGAAGCCAGATGCAGGCTGTTTACGGATCCCCGGCCCAGCCTTTCCCGGGCGCTATGCCTGGGTATCCCCCCTATCCGAACCCACCAACAGTAGGTGATTTCCTTGGTGTCGCCGGGCCAAAAAAAAAGAAGAAAAAATTGTTCTCCTTTCCTTTTTCTTTGGCCTAATGTGTATCCAACTCTGATGATCCCGGTAGTATCCGCCTCAGCCACAGCCCCCGCAACAACAACCCCCTCAGCCGCCTCAACCTAGCCAACAGCGACCACCTCAGATAAGCCCGAATCCTGTGGCACTTGCGTACGGAGCTCCTGCGCCTGCGGGACCTGCTCAAGGGTGGCAACAGGGCTACCCAGCGCCCATGACTGGGCCCGCTTCCATGACGGCTCCCGCTCCCACGACAGCGCCGTTCTCGCAGCGAGGGGTGTCAGGGCCCCCACCTCAGGTCATCGTACCATATCCGTATGGTCAGCTCCCTGCCAACATCAACCCCCATGATCCAAAGAGCCAGCACCCCATTCCAGGCAGTTACAACAGGCACGCCTTCAACCCAAAGACTCAGTCCTTTGTTCCTGGAGGAACAGCCCCTCTTGGCATGAACCCCGGGCCCGGCCCGATGCAGCAGCAGCCACAGCCGCAATCGCCTTTCAGTGCCGCTGGATCCCACCACAACAGCCCTCAAATTGGATCGCCGCACTTGGCATACGCCGCGTACCAGCAGCAGGTCCCGCCTCCGGCTTATGGCATGGTTCGGCAAGGCTCGAACAACTCAATCCCTCCATATCATACCCCGCCGCATCATATGGCGATGCAAAGCCCTCTGCCTCATATACCTACTAAGCCCGCTGCGCCGCAGGGACCGGCTGGCCAGACATTTAGTCATTTGCCGCAATACGGCAACCCGGCTACACTGCCGCAAAAGCCGAACACGTCCATTTAGACAAGCAAAGCGTACATGCTGGTGGGTGGGAGGGGAGGGATGTCAAGGATATACTTATCTTGGAGAAGGACGGCGTTCGGCTGGGGACAGCGGGGAGGCCACGGTTAAGTGTGAAGACGACGGCATCATCTATCGGCGTTCTCAGGGCGTATAGGATGAATAGGAATTATCATGGTAGTGCATATACTAAGACGGGAGTCAATTTCCCGCATACTACCAACGTCCCGAATAACGAAATATGGAGAAGTCTGAATATCCCTTCCCCTCTCCCCCCCCCCCCCCCCCCCCCCCCCCCCCCCCCCCTCCCTTCTGCACGTCGTGGCCTTTCTTTCCATGACCCCGTCATAACCTGCCACTGTCTGGTCTCTACTCACGACCACCTCCTGCGAATCGCTACCCCCCCCCCCCCAAAACATACATGGGTCGAGTTCCAGGGGACCCGCACAACGGAAGCGAAGAGAAAGGGCGATTGTATCTAACCTCCCTTTGTCCATGGTCACCACGTTACCACCGGTTCTGAACCTCCTCCCCTGTCCAGTCCGCCCCTTGTATCCCCCGTGGACTACGATATCTGATTATAGCCGACCCTGCAATACGCGAAGGTTTGCCTCTCACATATAAAGCAATAATCACTATTCCGTATCCCCCGTTTGGCAGAGCTTCAGGAGGAAACAATCAGGAAAACAAGACTTCCTCGGCCAACGATACAGGCCAGACGCATGAATTACTACTCATCTGGCCCTATTCGCAGCGACCCCTACCTACATCTAAGTAGACTATCTATCCCAAGGTAAGCAAACACAATACACACGACACACGACCGCTATTCACGTCCTTGTGTTACAGTAATCTTTTGTATTTTATGTGCTGAAGCAGATCTTAAGAGGGACAACAACCAGCTGTCGATCCCACAAAGCCTTGCCAGGAATTCGTCAGCTACCTGAGCTATGTATTCATCATCCCCCCTTTTTGATATGTTCCAAGACTGCCCCTGCGTGTCTCAGAACATAGAAATCAGCCTCCATGCTCCTCTCATAAACCTCGCCCTTCTTTAGTGATGCCCGCCTAAAGTAGAAAATAAATAAACAAAAATCGACATAAGTGCTGGTTTTACAGGTTTGTGCATTCGGGTATCACCGCCAGAGAAAGAGAGCAAATAGATAACAGATAGACAGAAGAGCACAAAACATTAAACCCCAAATAGAAGCACGTCAAGTCGCGGAACACCGAAGAACTGTGGGTAGCCGCCGTGTCATGAGGAGATGCCTCGAAGAACGCGAGCCGGGTTGCCCACCACAATAGTGAAGGGCGGGACGTCCTACCAAAAGGTTAGCGTCGTCGTATACCGTCTGGAATATGAAGAGAGCAATAGCAAGGAAGAATGACTGGTGTTGAAGGACTGGTGTTGAAGATGGTTAGAAAAGAAGAAGGAATAGAAAACATACCTTGGTCACAATAGCCCCAGCGCCGACCGTGCTGCCCTTTCCAATTACACGGCCGGGCAGAATGATGGCTCCACCACCAATCCAGCAGTCCTGCTCGATGGTGATGGGACGGCCGAGCTGGGGTCCTTTGCTTCCCATACGCCGCTTGGGGTCTATGGGCAGGGTAGCCGTGTAGATATTGACGTTGGGCCCGATGTGGCAGTTATCCCCAATCTTGACCTCGCACGTATCGATGATCGTACAGTTCCGTCCAACGATGACGTTCTGCCCGATCGTAATGTTGTACCCGTAGTCACAGGTGAAAGGTGCCTCCACCACCACGTTATCGCCCACGCGACCAACGTTCGTCACCGGCGACGCAAGGGTGGGTGAGATCTGAATCGGGTCGCGAGGCTGCAAGATCTCGCGGAACAGGCGCGCACGCTCGGCAGGCGAAACGCCGTTGTTCGGATTCGTCGAGTTGTTGAATCGCCAGCACGCCGCGCTGCAACGCTCCCGTTCGAGTACCAGCTCCTTGTCGAAAGGGTAATAGTGTCTCCCGGACAGCATCTCCTCCTTCTGCGTCCTCTGCCTGTTTCCGGGGAACTGAGCGTGTGAAAGGGCAAGCTGGGCCGCTACTTGAACGTTGGTCGTTGGCGGCTGCGGCGGCGGCGGCGCCGGGCTGTTTGTCCTGGTCGGGTGCAGTATGTTGATCTGCGGTAGCGTGTTGCCGGGATGAGGCGTCTCAGGCTCGGTCCTAGTGAGGTCGTGCAGTGGTGGTACGCGCTGGTACTCCTTCCGCTCCGAGAAACCAGACTGCTGCGGGGGCCCTTGGGCACTAACAGGTGTCGGGAAGACGTTGGCCGGCGTGTAAGGTAGGGCCGACAGCTTGTGTTCCGGACTCGCCACAGAGGCGCTGGGTATTGTCGACGCAGTGGGCCGGTCATCCTCATTCACCAACGGCCTTCCCTGTGGCGGGTCGATGCGCAGAGGCTGTCCTCGGGAATACGGCGGCAAGGGATCCCGTCTGGGAGCGACAGACGGCTGGCCGCCGTATGGGGTCTGTTGGGGCATGCCATAAGCCCCCGGCGGCACGTAACTGGGGTCTTTCGATTCGAGCGGTATGGTGGCGCCTTTATTGTCCGGCTTCTGCCACCCTGTGCCTCTTTGCGGGGGGTATCCTGCGCAGACGAATTCGCCTCGGATGCAATTGTTACCTATCATGTTGGTCAGCATGTCTAGTTCCGGGCTGTTACCGTTGGTGTTGGTGTTGTTGTTGTTGCTGCTGCTGCTGCTCCTTCTCCTTCTCCTGCTCGTACAAACACGTCTGAAAGGAGGACAAACTCACATTCAGGCTTCTGCTCGTCGCACTTCTTCTTTCGCCTTCGACACGTCAGACAGCCAGTCTTCGTGCGGTTACTAAAATTCCGCTTTCGCTTCTTGGGATCTGACTGAAGCGAGGGATCCCGGGAGGACCCGGGAGGGTATGGGCTGTAGGCTGCGGCGGACTTCTCATCTCCGTCGGGGCTCGTGTTGCCATAGTCGCTGTGGGTTTCCATCTGCGCTGTCGCACGTCGGTGAGCGTCGGCTTCACCTGCATGCTCCTCCGCCTGGCCTCGAGCTGAAGATGTCGAAGGCTGTTGGTCGTAGTAGCTGCTTCGCTCATCCCGGCCCGCTCGCGTGTACCACGAGTCGCCGCCGTGCTCCCGGGGCTCCTCCGGGTATGGTCGACCGTCACGCTCGCGCTGTGATGTTCCGTAAATGTCGCGGGGTTCTGGGGGATGAGGCTGGGTCGCCGTGTCAGGCGTTCTCTCTTGGATAGGCTGAGATTCCTTCTCTCTCCGAGGCTCGATTGAATCAGACCTCTTCCTCTTGTGGGAGACTTCCATGTCCGGGTAGCTGGAGACTGGGTAGTTGGACCTGTCCCCAACGGACCCAGACCAAGCTTCTCGATGAGCCTTCGATGTCTCAACCGTTGGTGCCTTGGCGTCAGGAAGCCCGGGCTGGCTGTTAGCGTGCTCATCGGAAGGTGCCTTAAGGGTCTCGCGTGCTGCTGGATTTTGAGACTCTAAAGGTTTAGGCGATGCCCCGTTGAGGGCAGTGAATGTAGACATGGTCTCCTTCCCAAGGCCTCGCCAGAGTCCGGGGTAAAAGCACGGAATAAGAAAACGTCGCCACAGGGCAAGGAGCAGTTGCAACTTGAAAGATGCGGGCCGGCTAGGCTACAGTTGTCACAGATGGTGAATCGACGAGATGTCCGACGGGTGAGATGAGGCAACTCGTTCAGAGCAACAAGCCAAGCCGCCTGCGCACACCCTTGAAAAAGAAAAAGTCAGGCCCCAGACGAAGCACCGTGCTAGACGACGTCAGAGAAGCATAAGGGCTGCACCACGCTGTGTCGTTCCTTATATTCCTTAAAGACCCTAAAGGTTAAGGCAAGCCCAATGCCGAGGAATCAAGGTGGCGGGCCGAAAAGGTCCGTCTTGAAACAAGAGTGGGGACTGCGAGGTCTCAAGCGCCTAAAATCGTGCTCTGTACTGGTTTCAGGGCCTGTCGATGACGGATGGTTGGTGAATCGTGGTGAATCGTGGAGATGAACTCTGGCAATAGATGAGGGACGCGGGACGTCGTTTGGATGCCCAGGAAGTTCGAACGGTGCGCTAGGATTGATAGATGATAGGCAAGAAAGGCTGCGGCTGTGCCGCCTCTGCGCGATTGACTCGACTGGGAGAGAAGCTGTATGAAAGACGCGGCGATGTGGTGGCGACGGGCACCGGCGCTTGACGAGATTCTTTCTTCCCCCTTTGTTTTTCGCTCGCCTTAAATTTTATTTTTTTTGACGCGCGATTATGCTGCGCCTGTTCGGAAAAGCTGGCTGGTGAGTGGCGGTTGGCGCAACGCAAGGCGGTGTCGTCCCAGCAAATATGTTACGAAGACCAAGAAAACACGATGAACAATTAGTTACCGACGAGTCCGAGTCTCATCACAGCATCACAAGATGGGAATGCGTGGAATAAAGCGGAGGACGAGAATACGGCGAGTCGTGAAAGAAGAGGCGAGGTGACTGGTGACTGGTGAGAGGTGAGCGTTGGTGGGCTTGCTGCTAAAAAAATAAATAATAAATAAATAAAAAAGCGTCTGCCGCGAGGGAGTAAGAATGGGCGCTTTATCCCTGCGTTTGCTCAGCTCATCCGAGGGGGCGTGTGCTGGGCGTGGCGAGGAAGCGAGAAAGGAGGAAAGAGAGAAAGAGGGCGAAGCGACAAGATGACGGGGGACGCTTGGGAATAATATTGTGGCGTACGGAGTACGAAGTAGAAAGTAGAACTAGAAAGTAGAACTAGAACTAGAGGAGAAATCGGTAGGCAGGAGGAACGATACCAAGAAGGTAGGGTGTTTAGGGAAAGCGCAAGGGACATGGTCCAGGTAATACCACCCAGGGCAGGTAAGGTAGGGGTACCGGAGAGATCCAGATGACGGGGCGGCAGCCAGCATGGGGGAAGTCGCTAAGGTCGGTATCTTCCTCGGGACAGGGGGGTCCTTCAAAGGTACATACGTTGTATCTTTCTCCCTCACTAAACGTGTATTCGTACAGCTTGTAACTGTACGTTGTACCGAATTACTCCGCGACGTTATAGTCGCAGGCACAAGAGAAGGGCGTGGGTCTCTGCGTCTGTGTGCGTGTGGGTGTGGTGTGTGTTGCATGCGAGAAAGTATGTAAGATGAAGTCGGCCAACCTTGAACCGATAAGCGGGGGTACCGGGGCTGGAGGGGGTGGGAAAGGGTTGAAAAGGGTTGTGAAGGGTTCGAGTGTGTAACAAGCTATAGGGGGGTCTGGACGAGTTGAATGAGTAAGAAGTAAGGCACTGCGTACGAAAGTACGAGTATGAACGGAGGAGAATTAGCAAGGGTCTTGCGAGGGAGGGTTCATGAGGAAGAAGGAGAAAAAGAAAAAATACCTAATAACTTCGTAGACCTGGGACCGGGGGGTGCGCGTGGGAGGATTAGTGGAGTGTAGCGTATCCGCCAAGTACCCGCTGGAGCGCTGCCGCGGAAAGTAAATCGCAGGTACTTCGTCTAAGGAATGCCTAAGGTATCCACCCTTTCCATTCGCGATGTGGACAGGATTCCTAATCCCACACCCCTTCGCCCACCGTCCCCTTCATTCCACTTCGATGCTCCGTAGATGTGTTTATAGGTGCCTGTGAGCCTTTCGGTCTGGCCTCGCCCCGCTGGTAATTAAGCTCGCGGAAGAGGACAACATAATAGTGGGAATGCTTCGCTCGTACTGAGTTGGAACCAATGGCCATAGGAAGGAATATGTATACATACGTTTATACGTACATACTCCTTGCCCAAGGATACCTTAAGGTAAGGTACCTTACTCTCCTCTTCCGGCATCGCTCTGGGTATCCGGAGTATAACGTGTTGAAGTACTGTACCTGTACCTCGACGCGTCCACGGCTCCCTCAAGCATGGGCAATTAGGGGAGCGCTCTGAACACTACCTACCTAATTAGCAAATTCGCACCAACTAAAGCGCGGCTTGGCGTCAGTTCCACGCCGCGGCACCCGGATGATCATGGACTTGTCGATGACCACAACACTAATAAGGTATTCAAGACAAGGTAGAGAAGTTGCCCGGAATGGTTTGATGACCTGAACTTTGACCTCGGCAAGATCAAAGACAGGAGGAGGCCAAGGCCCAGGCCCATACATCACATCGGAAGAAGAAGAACGCCCCTCCCTCGTTGAAGAACAAACAAGAGAGAAGGCCCACGGACTAGTGGTCCGGTCAAGGCCATGTCTCTCTAGCGTGTTTCGCCGCCCCAGCAATTCGTCAGAATTACAGATCGGTGTCGGAAAAGGATGATGCGGCGGGGGCCTTGCGCAAGCGCAGAGAAAACCAAAGTTGTTCGTACGTTGTAGATCGCGGGAATGCGACCAACCTAGGCCAAACCCGTCAGCATATCAGCCGGCCGCCCGAAACCCCAGCCCTGATAGTTGTTCAGAAACTCCGTACGTCGCAAGCAGAGCAGGCAGAGCAAGCGCCGGCTCGCCGTTACGGATGAGGGCCGTTCAGGGGTGTGGGGGCGCGACAGCCAAAACTGGGAAACGAAAGAAATCGGCGGAAACAAAATAGGATGACTGGCTGTTGTTTGCAAGTTCCTAGCCGAGTCGAAGAACGACGGTGGCCTGAAGGTCCCTCCTCGAAACACGAGGCTAAAAGGAAGAAGAGCACGGCGCAAATAGCTGCTTAACAAAACAACTGATTAACAACGACAGAGCATAAGTGCGGGAGGATTGCGGCGTAAGCGCACTGGGACGGAGGCCCATAAGGCGGACACCCCGTCGCCTACGAAGTCCGAGTATATACTATTTCGTACTCCGTTTATTCAACTCGCCCTCTCTCGTCTCTACTAAATATTACTTGTTGTTGGTCGCGGATACCGAGTCCACGGTTTTTGATGCAAGTGTGTTCTAAATGTAAATCGAGAAGAGCCTTCCCGTCGCTGGAAAAAGGACAAGGCTCACGCCCCAAGTGTCCTAAACTTTGGGACTGGGGTTACGCAAGGGGGAGGGGGATGATCCAACACTGCTCCTATTCAGGGGTCGTGTCAAGACTCGAGATAACCGACTCGTCTAGTCGGTGAGGAGTGCCGCCGTGCCCAAGTACAACAGTACCAGGCTCCGACAGCTACGGAGTGCTGTTTGTCGTGCCGGAAGAATACTTCATGATAAACGTACGGAGTATACATGCACATATCCATCCGTTGCATAGCTACCTCCGGTATCAGCGTCGGACCCCCTTCAGGCGCAGTGGAGCCGCCAAATATCGCCTTTTTTTTTTTTTTTT